TCAAGGGAAATTTTCTTACCGGACAACCATACTTTTCCAAAGTTCTTAAAAGCAATCTCAGCTAGGATTCTCCTTCTTTGAATGTCCTTCTCAGTGCAGAGTAAGGAACCTAGTGACTTGTTACTTCGCCATGGTTCGTTATTAGCTAATGGCTGACCGTTTGTGTCTTTATCAGATTTTTTCGCCAGGTAGAAGGTACTGAATTCAGTTTTACTTTCATTTACTTGGAGGTTCCAGTCTTTGAGAATCTCCTTCACTGTAGGAAGGAAAATTCTCAGTTTCTCGATGTCCTCGTCAGCAAAGTCACAATCGTCTGAATATTCCCACTCAGTTGGAAAACCTAGTTCTGATACTGGTGGGTTTGGTCTCCTGGATACAGCTCTGAGGTGGTGTAAGGCTGCTGCAAGAATAAGTGTGAATAGCTTTCCAGATAAACTGTCACCTTGAAAGGCTCCGAGTAAACTTTCAAACTCTTCCGACAGTGAGGAGTTAACACGAACTCTAAGGAGAGTATTCGATAGAAGGTATTGAACTAAGCGAATGTCGTCCTCCAAACAACCAGCATCCTTCAAAACATTGATGATAGTATCCCTTTTTACGGTATCAAAAGCTCTACTCATATCTCTTGTAAGCACTCTGCCATGGCATGGCGTAGTTGTCAATTCTACTCTCAACCCGTTTTAAGGCAATTTGAGTGAGCATCTTCCTCGATCCGTTTAACAGTGTAAGTGGTCTAAGGCTTGTGAGGGGACCTTTAGGTTTACCGGGCTTCTGTAGAGGAGTCACAATACCTTGTCCTATTTGTTCCCACTAAATGACTCATTAATTGCCTCAGCATACTTCTCAAAAGTGATTGGATGGGCGTATTTTATCAACTCATTCTGGAGATTATCTGGACCACTGGCACAGTTTGATTTGAGTTTACTTGCAGCAAGTTTAACTTCAACTGGTGTAATGGGGTTATCAAGTGGTTTTGGATCGCAGGTAAAAAATCAGCATGAAAAAATAAAAAATTGGCCAAGGAATAAAAATTTTAGTGCCCAAAATTTGGACCCCCAAGTGGTGTCAAAAATGCAGGTAATAATTATTTTAGTCTCCTGAGTCTTGACACCACTTTAGGGTTAGACAGGTTCTTGCTAGTAGTTCAAGAAAACAACAATTTCAAGAAAACAACAATGTTATTTAGTATCAATTAAAGCAGACAAAGCACGAACTTTAGACCAGATATCTTAGGGGACTTGGAGTAGCAAGAAAGTGACCAGAAGGTGTATATATATATATACTTTTTTAAAAATTATACGTTGAAAAGACTCCAGGGTGATACAGGATCGGAGAGTCCAGACCGTAAAGTTTACACACCCACCCTTGCCTCCTGAATTCTTGGTTCAATAGACATTTATGCAAACTTGGTCGTTTTTACTCCAATTCCCTTATGTCTGGAGTTAGCTTCATTCAATAATAACAATATCAATATAATCAATATCAATATCAGACTAAACTAATATCGAATAAATAAAGTATCAAATATTAATTATTAATTCGTTCTGATTAAAAATTTATAAATTAGGATATTTAATAATTAAAACATTACAAGTGGTTAAAAACGCCCAAAATCGATCTGAGAGTTTTTCAGTCTATAGTACAATCATGATAGTAATAGGACATGTTCAAACCTGGTTGGTGGTTCTGTTTCACTGCCAAAATGGACGATTTTCTCATTTTTACAATAACTCCATTAATAATTACTCGATGGTCTTGAAACTTTCAGAGATGACTATAATTGTGATAACAAATAGTCTCAGGTCATCGGCTATGAATAATATTGTAAAATGGCCCAGTTATGTTGAAAAATGTAACATTTGGTTACACTTTTCAATGGCTCAGCCAATTATTAAATTTTAAAGATTCTTGCTTCACAAAAATGTACTTTAGGTATTTGCTTAGCTGTGGAATGAAAAAAGGCCCACTTTTGATTACATAAAAAGGCCCAAAATGGACATTTTGTAACATCTTGTTTTCATGAATCTATCTTTATAGTTTGTTACAACCACAGCTAGTGTAGGATATGTATTTAACCCTCAAACCAGGTTATTAGTGCAGCAATTCTTGTATAAAGACAATCTTGGTATATGGTTCATAATCAATGAAAGGCCCATTTCTTTGAATAACGTAACATGGTTACAAAAGAGTATGTTATACAGTGTTGTTTGATCTAGTATTGGTTTTAAGTTGGTTGATGCATTAAAATAAAGACATGAAACAACTTAACAAATTAAAAAAATGATAATTGGGACCAAATTATTGAATTTTGTAACAATTTAAATGTAATGTAATTTAAATTGACAATCCGCGACAGAACGCGGTAAATTTAATCAAATGAATATAGCTAATTAGATTAAAGGTTGGATATTTAAAAACTTTTGATTTATATATAAAATTTTATAGAAAATAGAAATTGGGCCCTATATATTGAAATTTGTAACAATAAAATGCCAGGTCACGAGTTTATCCACTGAAATGGCAGAGTTCCATGTCCATCTATGCATATGGACTTACAAAATTCAATGTTTTGGGCCCAAGTACAAAATATGGTCAATAATATGGTTGATGGAACCCTTATGACCTAGGCAAACTGGTCTGAACTTCAAAAAATATAATATAGCTTGCCTAACACCCCTCACACTAGGATACATACTATATACTATACTCTATACATTTACTTTATAATGTTACATTATTCAAGTTCCGCAGCCATTTTATCAAATTATACGAATAAGGATTGCTTTACAATTCTGTATGAGAATCTAAAAACCATGTTACCAGTACAAGAATATATTGAACATTCCAGATATGAGCTTTGTAGTCAAAACATAAATATGTTACAAAATTCAATGTTTTGGGCCCAAGTACAAAATTTGGTCAAGAATATGGTTGATGGAATCCTTTGTGGCCTGGAAAAACTGGTCTGAACTTCAAAAACTATAATATAGCTTACCTAACACCCCTCACACTAGGGTACATACTCTATACACTTACTTTCTAATGTTACATAATTCAAGTTCCGCAGCCATTTTATCAAATTATATGAATAAGGATTGCTTCAGAATTTTGTATGAGAATCTAAAAACCATGTTACCAATACAAAAATACATTGAATATTCCAGATATGACCTTGGCAGTGAAAACATAAATATGTTACAGAATTCAATGTTTTGGGCCCAAGTACAAAATGTGGTCAAGAATATGGTTGATGGAACCCTTTGTGACCTAGAAAAACTGGTCTGAACTTGAAAAACTATCAAGAAGCTTCTATAAAAACCCATTGAAAAAGTGTAACATAGAAATGTGTTACAAAATTCAATATCCAGGGCCCCCAACTAAACTAGGCATCATGTAGCCGGTGGGCCCGACATGATACGACATATCTTGACACGTCGGGGTTTGTCGGGATTTGTCAGGGTATGTCGGGGTTTGTCGGGGTTTGTCGGGGTTTGTCAGGGTTTGACGGGGTTTGACGGGGTTTCAGGTTTGTCGAGCCTGGAGGCTTTTTTTTTTTTTTTTTTTTTTGAGTCTCCCAACAAAAAGCCGAGACGGAGTCATCAAGCTTTACGTGGAAAAACACTATACAAAAAGGCCTCATGTAGCCGGTGGGCCCGAGGCAAAACCCCTCGACAAACCCCGATATGTCCGGGTTTGTCGGGGTTTGTCGAGCCTGGAGGCTACATGATGCCTTAAACTGCTATATCTCAGGACCTGAATATGTTACAAAAATTCTGATTCAAGGGTGCCCTCAGTCAAAGGGTCTAGTTTTTGTCAGTAGTTTCAGTTTTTCTTAAAATGTTACAGATTTCAATCTGGGGGCCCAGAAGTAATGAGTGGGAAAAATGAAACAAAACCACCAACCAGGTTTGAACACGTCCAATAGTTTAAAGTGTGTGCCGCTGCAACTAGATTAGATTACTGCAATTTAAAATTGTTTGGAGTTCAAGTATCTTTTAAGTCAGCAACCTGTGATTGTATTAATATTAGTGCTTAAATGGTTCTCAATTTTATCAAGTTAATGGAAGTTTCTAGGCAAGTTTGTAATTACACAATAAGTTCCGCATTCCTAAGAGCAATACAACCAAACTGACGATGTTTCCTGTTTAGGCCTAGCAGTAGACATAGGTCAAATATCAAATCAACAAGCAGTACGTTGTAACCAGAGTAAACAAGAAGTAACAAGAGTAGACAAGTTATTATCAGAAATGATATGCAATTGGACAATTGGCATATCCTACCTGAGTACCAGACCCCTTGAGCGCGATTGCATGTGTGAGACACAGTTGTTCCCTTTATGTCATGCAGGTCTGAATATCAATTATCAAAGTACAATAGTTCCCGATTTAGGGCACAATTGTACCTTTATAGCATGCAGGCCCACTTAATCACTGGCTCGTTCCAATTAAGCGGCACAGTGCAGTAATTCCCGATTTAGGACCCTGATTTGCATGTAAGCTTGTTTGTTTGTTCATTTGTTTTAAATATAACCCGTCCCCAATCTGGATTTGGAAAATGACTAAACTCAATTCTGAGTGTGAATACGGGTGGTACCTGCAAGTGTATTCATTAAGCATTTTCTGTAAAACTGCAGTTACAATTGGCTAGAGTATTTTGAGTATTTACGATCGATATCAGATCTCGATCCCTACATACTTCCAAAATTTAAATCTCCAACCTTCTCGACAATGTACTGGAATGTTTAAAAAAAAGAAAGTGATAGAAATAAAATCAACGATTTAATTTTTGGAAACTAAAATTTATAATTCCCTGGTTTCTTTAGTCAGCTTTAAAGTCGGAAAATCAAAGTTCGATATCAAACCGATTATTCAATAAACAATAGTTCCTGGGTTGCAGAGTCCTCCTGGTTCCTCAGTCTTTGAATGTGGTTTTTGTACTTGTTCAGTTCTGTCCATACTTCCTCGTTTTATGTTCAAAGTTTTGTAGTGTCATGTTGTCCTCAAATTATTTGTTACGACTTACGCGACTTATGTTGGTTCAGAAAGGAAAACATGAGGTGGCCCCACGTGTTTTAATCAGGCGATACAGGCACGTGAGTTCTATGTAATAAGTATCAAATATATTACTATCGAAGAACAGGACCATTTAATTCACAAGTCCTTCAAGTCACCCAGTAAAACGTCAGCCGAAATATGTTTGTTTGGCGATATTGACAAGCATTTAGTCGTCCGTTTAAAAACTGTAAGATCGTTTATCAAGAAGGAATATATTTAATCGTTTTTGTCTGGTTGTCCAGTCCAGTCAATCTACCTTGACCATATAAAAAACTCGTCGACCAGTTGCAGTAATACAGGTCAGTTAATGATGGTCAGTTCTGCGAATTTCAGCATCACTTTAAAATGAAAGAACATTTAGCAGTAAGAAAAATTGTGAATTATATGTTTTGGTCTGGTTCGTCGAAAACCTTCAATTGCCGATTTCATGATTTATTGACAAATATTTGACGTAAGAAACTGCTAGAAACATTAAGAGTTCATATATAATATCGATTATGTTGGTCAGTTTTAATGCTAGGTTGACGGCTAGGTTGGTCGTGAACCAAAGCACAATATGAAGCAGGTCCTGACAATTATTAATTGTCATTGGCTTTTCAGTTTCCCTGAACTCTTTTTCAAAAATGTTTTTCTGGAAACCACTTTTTTCCACGTTTCATGCTACCCTGTTCATTATTAGCCGAAAATATTTTTCCGGTTTTTCGAAGTCCGCACCTAGTCAAAAAAATTCTTAAATATAATAATTTTTTAAAGGATTCGAGTGAAAATGTGACGAAAATTATGCCTTTCAAGAACTTAGAAATACATTTTTTTGAAGAAATATCCAACAAAATTTTCGGAAACTGGACCGGAACCGGATATTGAAGCCGGATTTCCGGCTGGAACTGGATACAGCCAGATATCCAGTCGGTTCCTAGTGGATATAGAGAGTCTAGATTTGAACTTGGAGCCACAAGGCCAAGGATGAATTTCAAATGTTTCTGCCAATATTTTAGTTGGGGAATAATAAAACAAAAGTTAAATTTATTACCAATTATTCAATCAATACGTATCATAAATGAACTAATATTGGAAACACTGCGCAGAATGGATGTCTTAAACTATAATTTTTTGTCACTAATAATCTATTGACTTTCAAAGTTGAATTTTAGTTAAGTATGAAATGCCACAACATCATAGTTAGGGTAAAATATTATTCTTAAATTATAAAATCGAGAAGATTGCTCTATGACTAAAAATTTTTAGCAAAAGCTATCTAATTTTTAAACAGTTGGTAACAGTTTCTGACAGTACTGGCATGACCAATTTAATATACTGAATTTTTGAAGGTTTCATTTTATATAGGGTCATTGCGATATTATGTGTATATTGTTTGAATACTTTTTCTATATTCCAACTAAATCTCGAAATAGCATCTCGAAATCCTTGTTTGTTAACAATTAACCAAATTTTTATGATGTTTTAATGGTAAGGCTGTCAACCACAATGATGCTCCAGCTCTCTTTTCTTGAGTTGCTTCAAGACATCAAAGGATCAGATTTCTCTATAACCACTGAATAACTTTAATGAAATTAAACTGTAATGCAATTATTTTCACAGGTTGCAGTTTTCATCTATGTTAAATAGTTAAATATGAATACGAGAATAAAAGGCCCAAACACTGAATTGACTTACTATGATGGATTATGTAGTGATGCTGAGAAAAAACTAAGGGTTTCTCAAAGACTGGTTTCTCATTGGGAAAACAAAGAGCTTGTTGCTGAATTTTGCAGATCTGGCAAAAACAATATTCGCAGCCCTGCTGCACTTAATAGATCTGTCCTTTATCTATTACAGGTTTGATCTTTCTCTGAAACAGATTTCTGTTTTCCATGTTGTGAGGGTTAATCCAATTTAGTCTGATCAGAATTTATGCTTATTCATAATGTATACGTGATACTGGGATTAGATTGATGTTAAGGACCATGGCTGTACCGGGAAAGAAAAGGAGATCGGCCCCTCGTTTCTAGCTTGCTAGGTTCGCCATGTAGAAAAATAATATTTTTAGCTCAGTAATTTCCTCTTCTATAACTTGAACCAGCTCCTCCTGGTCCACCACCTAACACTGTTGTAAATCATGTATTAGGACATTTTCTGTGATTGGCATGAATGAAAATTATTTAACACATACCAATATTAAAGTTCTAACTGTTGTCAGTTGTGAGCATTTCATTCCATCTTTCAGTTACGATTTTGTTTCAGGAAAGTGGTTTACAACAGGCCACCAGCCCAGAAAAAGTCTTTAATGAACCTAGCTGGAAGGACTTATTTTTCTTTCTGTCTGATCGACTGTCCAGTGTAAAGCAGGAATTCGTTATCAGTTCTTTGGGACCTAATCAATTGTACGTCCTGCATACAATTGTAAATTTTTACTTATTTGCTATGTTAGACTCTAAATGTGATTATCACAAATGTCACAGTGAAGTCTACAGTACAATGTGTTGCGCAGTTCAAATTCACAAGACTCACCAAAAAGATTTTAGCACCATTGATGAGAATATGTTTCTGTATTACGTGTTTCTTAACTTGCACGATTCAACATTAATGGCAAATCTTCTGAAGCAGAATGATATTACAAAGTATCCTTTTTCGCTGTGTTTTGAAGTGTATATCTGCTATAAGTCTTGTAATTACCATAGATTCTGGAAGATTTGGGATTCATTGGATTGTTTAAAACAAGCAGCTCTATCTAGTCATGCAAAGTCTCTAGGGCAAAATGCTGAAAGTGTTATAGTAGGAGCATACAAATCCAAGAATTTGAGATATCCAGAAAATAAATTTCTACGAAACACCTGCATGCCTGCAACAGGAAAGTATTTTGTTGACAGTAAGGGAGTGAACTTATCTGGGCAGACAGCTGATAATATAAACCTAGATGGATTGCAAAGGTTAACATACAATGTCGCACATATGCCCAACCTAGATAGCATTACCGATAATCAGAAGTGGGTCATGAGAAGGGGTAGACAAATTTTAATTTGAATTATTTAAACAGTACAGTGGTTTTAAGTTAAGGGGTCGTTCACATATTATGTAATCAGCCGAGGGGGAGGGGGTTCCCAAATGATTACGGTTGATTACGGGGGGGGGGGGGGGGGGGGGGGGGGTAGGGTTTGGCTGTTGATTACGTAATCAAAATTGTCTTTTTTACCCTCTAGAATAATAACAATAATAAAATTCCACTCAATTTCACTCTGGTAGTGATTAAATTTAGGAATGGATCGGGTATCCGGCTGCTAAAGTAAGTAGGTTGGAAGGTGCTTGGCCGGATATCATAACAATGATTTCGGCTCACAATGATCAGGGTAGTATGAAACATATAGAAAAGTGTTTTTAAGGAAAGAAAGTCATATTTTGCTGTCAGGAGGGGGGGGGGGGGTCTTGATTACGGTCGATTACGGAGGGGGATAAAAATTGCTAAAATATTGATTACGTTATATGTGAACGACCCCTAATTTCCAATTTAATTTATGTTTAAATACTAATTGAAAGATAAAATGTTTCAGTTAAAACATATTCTAAGTAAGTAAAATAATTGAGAAAATTTATCTTCTGATTTATTTTCTGCTGATATCACCTCCTGAAAGATTGTAAATTGTAAATTGTCACATTTACCGTATTTAACGTATTTAATGCATTTAAAGTATTGAACAATAAACAGTTTAATATCTATTTTAACAGATGGCCGAGGGAGCAGGCATTTTTTTCATTTACTATTTTTTATATATACATTTTACTTTTTTAGCCCTGTTGTTTTAATTGCTTAAATCAGTACATTTTAAGAACCGAACCGAACCATAATCATGAGTTTGATTCCTTTCTCCAGTAGAAAAAGAATCACAAGCAGGTAACTTTTAAGCACTTTATGAAATAAAATATTTACAAAACTACATAAGTTATGTAGTTATGTAAAATATGTGATCACATGCCCAACTCACCTCCAGCACAAAGTCTCATGTTTCTCACTCCCTCGCTAGTGTCTGATGACATGCCCTGGTTAGATGTGTTCTCAAAGATCACTGGCATCGGATGTGTATCGGAGTACACCAAAATCTGCAATATAAATGTTCACATTTAAATGTAATGTATATTGTATATCGTATATTAGGTATATATTATCATGTCGTTTTATATAATTTTACTTTCTTATCTCACTGTAAATTGACAGTTAAAATGTAGTTTAAATAATCGTAATAGAAATGCAGAGTACAATATATTTTGATGCTATTATAATTATTGATTCACCTTATTATCTTATACTTAATTGCATAAAAGAATATTCTATACAACTCTTTTGTTAAATCTCATTGGCTGTTCATTAAGCAGCCGCTAATATAAGCCACCTAAGTACAAACCCAATAAATCAAGTTCATGAAACAGTTTCAATATCTTTATAAATAGTTTGTGTGAATATATATGTTTCTGTATTGCTGATATTAAAGTTAATAGAAAAGCTGATTTAATTGATTTAGATTATCTTAATAATAATATTGTTGGCTCTCGCTACTCGTCTACATAGTATATACATTATACATGTATTATATGTAACATATGTACATGATATTTGCTCTCGGTATAAACTCGTTATTATATGGGCGATTCCAAGGCCGGCAATGGAAGACAGTTCATTGATTTTGTTCCTGCTGGGAGAGAAAAGCAGGTACAGACGACCGGAAGGAGAGTCGTGGTTTTGGGATCCTGAGTGGGTATCGGGATTGGATAGTGCTGTCAGACCTTGAGGGGCAGCTTAAGTTTCCCAGTGAGATTGTGGAAACACGGCTGAGGCCGGACCTTGTGATATTCTCAAGGTCGGCAAAGACAGTTATTTGGTGGGAGCTAACAGTACCATCTGAAGAGCGGATCGCTGAATCGCACGAGTACAAGCTCGACCGATACAGCGGTCTGCAGGCTGAGATTCAGGCGAAAGGTTGGTGCTGTTATAATGCCGCAGTCGAAGTTGGAGCTAGGGGAGTGGTTGCGCAGAGTTTGGAGAGAGCTGCGAGGAGGATTGGTTTTAGGGGAAGAGAGCTGAAGAAGCTGGTACGGGACAGCGGGAAAGAGGCAGCCCACTGTTCCAGATGGATTTACTTGTTATCGAGAAAGAGGGAGTGGGAGTTCAGGAAGGTTGGAGCTTGAGAGTTCACTATAACATCTAGAGGTACCATAAACGTTATCTCGTCGCCAATTGCGAGCTCTAACGGGTCTCCTCAAGTGACTCTCGGATCAGATGGTGGTTCAAGGGTGGACTGCTGGGGCGCCTGACAGGAAACCGTATTGCGATTAAAGCCCCGAAACGGTGTCAGGTTGGTAACTGATGATTCTGATCCATGCTCCTGTGAGTTTGCTGTTGTATCTCAACTCGCTAAACTGAGGCATCTCCGCATCTTGGGTGAATATGCGTACATCTTCATACTAAACCCAGGTGTGGCATGTGTCAGTGAATACGGGCGAGCGGATGCAATAGCGAAGGTGGTGTGGCAAGGCCTAAAAGACACAGTCAGATAGTTGTCAGCTCGCTGACTGTAAGGGAGAAGGTATATCCGTATTTCGCTGCTACTGATGCAGTCCTTGATCTGGCAATCAAGGCTTCTCTGTTTTTCGTCTAACTATGTACCGTTGGGCTTGTGGAACCCGTAAGGGGGACATACATAGGTTAGAATGGTTTTGTGCACCAAGAGGAGTGAGGGAATGAGGGTTGAAGAGAGAGAGCTAGAGAGTTGTTAGGGTGGTTAGGATCAGTAGGTGGAGTGTTTGGTTGGAGCGTTCTGTTTTTGCTGTATAGCATTTTAGTCACTCCGCAGTTTATTAACTGTGTCTCAACTCTGCTTTGTTGAATACTGCTGGGATAGGCCAGCTACCATGGGGTAAGACCCATATGATAAGACAGATAGTATGCCTGGTTTTGGTCTTTAGGTTGGGTAGTGGTCGGAGCCTGCAGCGGATCTGCAATAGAGAAGTCAGACGGGGTCATAAAAGTGGCTACCTCAGCCTACATCGGTACCACGCCTCCTGCTTCTCTAAGGCCCCGGGAGTCTTTATTTAGAGACGAGTTGCCCGGGTTAACAATAAAGGCTTTGTAGGCATCCCTCCACTTACCTGTACTCCGGAAAAGGACAAATTTAGGTAGTCGAGAGTCCTCGACGGTTGAAGCAGGAGAGGGACAGAGTTGTATCTGTGTATGTGGACGTCGGTTTGACACAGTCAAAGGCAGGAATATCCATCGGGGTCGAATGAAGTGCATTTGGGAAGGGGAGTCGTCGGCTGGCAGTATGCCTGTAACTTCGACGGAGGTATCTAGCCAGGAAAACAACCACAGTGCTAGAGATATCCGGGCTCTCCTTGACAAGAGAATTTCAGTCGAACCACCTGCTAGCAAAAGAGACAAGGTGAAGTGGCCGGCGTCCAATGATGGTCGATGGAGTAAGTTTGATGAGTGTGTGGTAGAGAAGTTTGCAGTGGTTCTCAAGCGGAAACCATTTCAAGAGAAGATGGTGAGTCATTGTGATGTAGTGTACGACGAGGGTGTCAAGTTGTTTGGTATTGTTGAAGTAGGTGCTGGTAGTGGAAAGAAGTCCATGAGCTTTAAGAACAGGCGAAAGGAGGAGATTGACAGCCTGATTGAAAGAGGAAGCAGTTGAGGAGGAAGAAAAGGAAGGCAAGGAGTGAGATAGAGAAGGATGGTTATGAGGCATTATTGAGAGTGTTGGCTGGTCGTTTGATGAAGTTGAGGAGGGCTGAGAAAAGGAGACAGAAGCAGAGAGAGATAAGGAGAGTTAGAGGGGATTTTGGACGCGACCCTTTCAAGACAGTCAAGGGAGTGCTAAATCCAAGTCCAGTGGGGGAGCTTAAGTGTTCAAAGGAGGAGCTAGATGATCACTTGGCCAGAACGTACGGAGATCCAGCCCGGCAGCAGCCCCTTGGTATACTTGAGGGTCTGCCTGAGTGTGCTCCTGAACCCTCTGTTGCCTTTGACCTCACAACGGTATCCAAGAAGGAGTTTGAGGAGGTTGTAAAGAAGGCAAGGAGCAAGAGTGCCCCGGGTAACAACGGGATCCCGTACACAGTGTACAAGAGATGTCCTGGTATTGCCAAGAATCTCTGGGACCTGTTAAGAACTGGATATAAGTTAGAAGAATATCCTGACAATTGTAGGTATTTCGAGGGTGTCTACATCCCAAAGGCGGATGGCGACTTTTCACCAAGTTCAGGACGGCCTATTTCCCTGGGTAACATTCAAGGGAAGATTTATTTGGCGATCCTGGCGAAGAGGTTGACCAGCTTTGTTGTCTCGAATGGATATGTAGACCTCTCTATACAGAAGGGTGGTGTGCCAGGCGTCCGTGGGTGCACGGAGCATTTTGGTGCCATGTGGGAGGTACTGAAGGAAGCAAAGGTCAAGAAGAAGGATCTGAGTGTAGTATGGCTTGACCTGGCTAACGCTTACGGAGCGGTACCCCATGTTCTGATTGCCAGGGCCCTCCGTTTCTACAACGTCCCGAGAAGGTTATCAATATTATCCTACGGTACTTCTCCGGGGTATTCGGAAGGTTCTCCTCAAGAACGGTGACATCAGACTGGCAGCAGTTTGAGATAGGAATCTTCATGGGGTGTGTGATATCAGTCATCTTGTTTGTCTTGTGCATGAACCTTGGGCATGAACACCTAAAGTCTAAGGTTCCGAGAAGCATTGAGTACATCAAGGATGACACACCGATACCAACTCTGAAGCTGTTTATGGACGATAGCTGTCTGACGACCGCACGTGCAGAGGATATGCAAACGTTACTCAATGTGTTTCAGAAGTACGTGGACTGGTCCAGATTTAAGTTAAAGTCCTCCAAGTCCAGAGCACTGGTGTTGAAGAAGGGAGTGGCTGTGAGGTGGGTTGAGGAGGTAGTGGTAGGAGAGGAGGAGGTGGAGAGAGAGTTGTGTTTGCAGTTGGGTGGTGAGGTGATTCCGAATGTGTCAGAGAAGCCGATAAAATTCCTTGGGAGATGGATAAGAGTGGAAGGAAATGACAAATCAGTCATCGACTCAACCAAGGTCGACCTTAACACTTTTCTTCGGAGACTCGATGAAAGTTCCCTTACTGGACTCCAGAAGTGCTGGGGATATCAGTACATGGTCCTTCCAAAACTGAAGTGGCCTCTTGCCATCTATGATATTCCGATCACAACAGTTACCAGATGGGAACAGAATACCAATAGTTTCCTCAGGAAGTGGTTGGGGGTGGGGCACACTCTGAGTGGTCTTTGTCTGTTCAGTCAATCATCCAGTGTGGCCTTACCGGTGAGCAGTTTGACAGATACATGGAAGATAGAGAAGTGTCGACTGTTGCAATCCTATCAGACATCTAAGGATGACCTGATTAAAGCAGTCCAGCCCCAAGTTCGTTCTGGTAGAGTTTGGAGGCCTGAGACAGAACTGGAAGAGGCCAGAAGAGATTTGGTCTGTGAATCGGTGCGAGGGATGGTGCAACCTCAAAAAAGAGTTGGCATCGGTTTTGGTGACTGGAAAAAACCTTGGGAGAGGATGGATGAGCGGGAAAGAGAGAGGGAGGTTATGCTGAGAGTGAAGGAGAACATTGAAAGAGAGAGGGAGGTGCAAGTAGGTTCTCTGGAGATGCAGAGCAGGTGGGGTGAGTGGAGAGAGCTCGTAATGAAGACGGATTTGAGCTGGCATACACTTTTTAAGTATGGTGACTCACTTATTGGGTTCATGCTAAGTGCTGTGTACGGCACCCTCTTAACCCCCTCTATGGTTTCCAAGTGGAGTGAAGATGAGGATGGGAAGTGCAAGTTATGTGAGGAGAGGATGGGCACCATTCAGCACATTTTGGCTGGGTGTAAGGTGGCCCTTAGTCAAGGAAGGTATAGATGGCGGCACGACAAGGTTCTGAAGCAGATCTCTGAACAGGTTGTCTTCCATTGTGATCGCCGAGTGAACACTTATAAGAACAAGGCCGGCAATGGAAGACAGTTCATTGATTTTATTCCTGCTGGGAGGAGAAAAGCAGGTACAGACGACCGGAAGGAGAGTCGTGGTTTTGGGATCCTGAGTGGGTATCGGGATTGGATAGTGCTGTCAGACCTTGAGGGGCAGCTTAAGTTTCCCAGTGAGATTGTGGAAACACGGCTGAGGCCGGACCTTGTGATATTCTCAAGGTCGGCAAAGACAGTTATTTGGTGGGAGCTAACAGTACCATCTGAAGAGCGGATCGCTGAATCGCACGAGTACAAACTCGACCGATACAGTGGTCTGCAGGCTGAGATTCAGGCGAAAGGTTGGTGCTGTTATAATGCCGCAGTCGAAGTTGGAGCTAGGGGAGTGGTTGCGCAGAGTTTGGAGAGAGCTGCGAGGAGGATTGGTTTTAGAGGAAGAGAGCTGAAGAAGCTGGTACGGGACAGTGGGAAAGAGGCAGCCCACTGTTCCAGATGGATTTACTTGTTATCGAGAAAGAGGGAGTGGGAGTTCAGGAAGGTTGGAGCTTGAGAGTTCACTATAACATCTAGAGGAACCATAAACGTTATCTCGTCGCCAATTGCGAGCTCTAACGGGTCTCCTCAAGTGACTCTCGGATCAGATGGTGGTTCAAGGGTGGACTGCTGGGGCGCCTGACAGGAAACCGTATTGCGATTAAAGCCCCGAAACGGTGTCAGGTTGGTAACTGATGATTCTGATCCATGCTCCTGTGAGTTTGCTGTTGTATCTCAACTTGCTAAACTGAGGCATCTCCGCATCTTGGGTGAATATGTGTACATCTTCATACTAAACCCAGGTGTGGCATGTGTCAGTGAATACGGGCGAGCGGATGCAATAGCGAAGGTGGTGTGGCAAGGCCTAAAAGACACAGTCAGATAGTTGTCAGCTCGCTGACTGTAAGGGAGAAGGTATATCCGTATTTCGCTGCTACTGATGCAGTCCTTGATCTGGCAATCAAGGCTTCTCTGTTTTTCGTCTAACTATGTACCGTTGGGCTTGTGGAACCCGTAAGGGGGACATACATAGGTTAGAATGGTTTTGTGCACCAAGAGGAGTGAGGGAATGAGGGTTGAAGAGAGAGAGCTTGAGAGTTGTTAGGGTGGTTAGGATCAGTAGGTGGAGTGTTTGGTTGGAGCTTTCTGTTTTTGCTGTATAGCATTTTAGTCACTCCGCAGTTTATTAACTGTGTCTCAACTCTAGTGTAAATTACACTTAGCAGAAAATGTGGGTTTTAATTGTATGCTAATCTTAGGCTAGCTACAGCCTACATGTTGATATAGAGCCCGATTGAAGTTCAAACCACTGTGCTCATGTGGCAATAAAAGTTGAATGACTATCTCTTATAGTTTTGAAGTGAGCTGCATTTGAAAAGGTAAACGTAAAATTGTGCACTAAAGTTGTAATTCGTGCCCCAGTGTTAGATCAGAAGTTACAATAAGGCATGAAAACAATAAAGGTGACGTTTCTTCAAATTCCTATTTTATTTCTATTATAGAGATGTGGAATGTGTGCAGTGTAGAGGCATTTTAGGAAGTATACGTAAATTACATTTGGAGGTATTGTAAATTACACTCTGTCCATTTTTTTTCTGTTTCTGCCTTGTATCGATGTTTGCTTGGTTCTAACTTAGTTGCTGCTAATTACAAAATGATGAAGTAGTTTGCAGTTTTTAAACCAGGCTCGATATCAACAAACTGTTTTTAGTCCCTGAATATATAGTTAAATATCTTGAGGATTAGCTATAATTTCCGTTAGCCCAACACCAAATTTCATTTTTTAGTCACTGGTTTCAGTTATCATGGAATCGCCCATATGCATTTAAATATTATTAAAGACTATAATATTGCAAACCACTGCAAAACGGTATTCGTAAATTATTAATATTACGGCACATAATAAATGATCACCCATATAATGTAATCCTTGTATTTGACTCACGGTCTCGAAGAGCCACCAATCGTCTCCTCCAACACTGATATCAATACAGTGGATCTCTCCCACCTCTTTCAGTCCGCTGAACACAAACGCTTCGGAAGCTCCTTTCTTAAAATCGTCTCTGTCGGGTTCATCGAAGTAAGGGGTCAAAACGTTTCCGTGTGGTCCAACCAGAGTCATGCGGAGATAAATGTTGTCTGTTTCGGCATTTTTCACGTTTGAAGTCTCTGTTACTATTGTGTATGTCGCTGAAAAGGTAAACGTTTGCAAATCAGACTGTATTGTTGGTGCAGCGGCTAGGATAAGGTCTCTGGGATCAAGTTAAAGTTTGCCAGAACAAATCATCGTTAAAAAGTATAGACTTACTTGCTGATGCCAAGGAAAACAGAGCACAAAATAAAACGAACTTCATCATGTCAAAACTCAAAGAGTAATTCACCAACTCAATTGTCTCGGACTCTTTATAATACACCTTAGTTAAGCTATTAACTCAGCTAAATCTATTAAATCGTAGTTAACCTGACAGGTGTCCCTCCACAGTTCACAGCTGGTCTGTTCCTTTGTGAAATGTCTTGTTGTTTACTGTCCCGTAACTTAGTTAGCTTTGCAGTATTAATCTCTTTTGATTTGTTAAGAGTAAAGACACATATGGTTCACTAAAAGGTTCTTTGCAGATGTGTGACAATGTCAAATTTAACATGTCAAAAAGTGGTGGTCAAACTGGTCATTGATGTACAAATTGCGCTGCAAAGTTTAAAGTCACCCAGGTGCTGATTCGCAGAATGAGAGTTTCAAGACTCATTGTCCATAAACCAGCAAGACCATGCTGTTTAGGCATCAACATAATATCACCTGATTGCTCAGTATCAAACAGTTGTAAGGAGTAGAAAGAGGTACATGTGGTATTGTACGAAACAAATCAACTTTATTAGGGAACAAAACCTTGACTGGGAGGTCTAGACTAATAAAAGTTGTACTTAGCAGGAACTGTATTTTAAAGGCCCACCATATCAGCGTCTGATCTACTCTAATTGGCAGCGGTACAAAACGTCTGATTGGCCACTCTAGAAGAAACTCATTTTAAAGTCATAGGTCTGTAGCTTTGTCATAACCCAGTGCTTTGTCATTATGCTGTGCTTTGTCATTACTGTATTTACATTTTGACAGCTGCTGTTCGCCCGTCGCCTAGTTCATTAAGTGGTAGATCTGATAGGTACAATAACTCGTTCTTATTTCTTTAACGAAACTTGTCAATGTTGGTTTGGAATCGTTTTAGCACCACTTATATCATCATTGCATATTCTGAGTAACAGTTGTGTATCTGGTTGTAGCTCCAACAATTGGGCTCTAAAAGGATTTAACTTACTCTAAAAGATTGACTGACGTGTATCTGAACGACCTTTAGTGGTGAACTACTGTTCAGTAATGGGTCTCTATAGCTCTATAGTGTTAAAGTCATGGGTCTGTAATCTGTATTCTGTAAAGTGTAAAACCCCGATTTACCGCGGAGTTTGGGAGAAAGGAAAAAGCTGCAGTTAATCGGGGTTTGCATTAAATCGGGGTTTTACTCATTACTGTATTAACAATACTCCAACAACCTTCAATTGAGGCCTCTTTAAATTAGTTAATAATCCTGATCGTATTTGTGTAAATTTTATTTTTATTATAATTGCAATTATTAGTACATGTCACGTGATCAGTTCATGATTAAATTCAATTAAATAAGCTAGATATGAACGACCTGTTAAGTTATTAAAACATGTGAAGTGTAAACTGTAAATAAATGTCTTTAGAATATTCTATGGGGGGGGGGGGGGGGGGGGGGGGGGGGGGGGGATGCAACGTCAATTAATGTCAGTATTCCATAAAAACCCCAAACTGACATTGACATTAATTGACATTAATTGACATTAATTGACATTAATTGACATTAATTTGTCTTGAAATTTGAGATTATCATTATTCGGTAAATATTCAAGATATTCACGTCTATGTAAGTTAGACCGGTTCAAAAAAACAAAATGTCCTTGAATAATTACGAGTATGTTCTTATCTGTTGATCCTTAAGTTCAAAGACCACCAAAAAAAATTTCAGCTTCCAACCCTTCCATCTTCGGTCCCCACCGGCCACGCCAATATTTTATTGGTTTCTTATACAGGTAAAATATCTAGAATCGGCTTTTTTAGTATGAAGGAGTAATGTTAGCTGTTTAAGATTCGTTATTCAAATATAAATGTCATGAAGGCATTTCGTTTAATGTGGGTTTTAAGTTCTGATGATGTCGAGAACCACGCCCTTGGATGGCCACGCCCATTTAAGAAAATTAAATTTCGGAAAACCGTACTATTTTAGTTTTATTGTTTAATGATCTGAATTTTTTCACATTTCACATTTCCATATGTGATAGTAGTGAATAAATTGATGATATAAACGTTCTAAAGTGCTAAAAATATGGTAGAACTACATAATCTCTGGTCGAAAAATATCGTGTCAATTAATGTCAGTATTCCAAAATTTTGCAAAACTGACATTGACATTAATTGACATTAATTGACATTAATTGACATTAATTGACATTAATTGACATTAATTGACGTTGCATCCCCCCCATTCTATGAAACATAGAATATAGTGTCCACAGTCATGTTTTCTTAAATTTGGGCCAGTTAAACCTGTGCTGGAGTCTGTTTGCTGGAATTTCAATAATCTGAATTGAAACAAAATGACAAAACTATATGCCAGATCTACTTGATTAAGAAGTGCACTCTAATTTGGTTGCTGATCATCAAATTTCACATTACATGTACTGATAGGCTTTCACATTCTAGTATCTGCTGGTGTTTTTTATTTAATGCGGACACCAATTCAATTGAATTGTGAACATTGAGTTCCATCTCTACATACTATAAAACGGGTGTAATTATTTTAACCCAGTACTCTGACCTAGGATAGAACAACATGTAACACTCTCAAAGTGTGTCTCATTACCTACCTGAAGTTCCCTCACTTTACACCAAGTCTTATTACCTTATTAAGTGCTTTACACCAGTCTCCTGTATATCATTTTACACTAGTCTCTGTTCTATGCTCTTCCTTTCTCTCGTCCTCTCTCTGGCACTGCTGACAGTTCACAGCCAATACCATCACACGTGGTCAGTGGAACTACAACCAGGTTCTGACCCTGATGAAGTGGCAAAACAACTCAACATGGTTAACATGGGCCGTATTGGCAATCTGCCAAATCACTACATCTTCAAACGTAAGGGTCAGCCTAGATACAGTTCCACGCGATCTGTGGCTGTGACTGATTCCTTAGTTCTTCACAGACATGTTAGGACAGCAACTCAACAGAGAATACTGAGGAGGTATAAACGAGGGTACTAAGATTTATCATTGGGTTTAGTGACACGATTCTCATTATCATTAATTTGAATTTTGCTTGGTAAAGTTGCTATATTGTGTTGTAATTTGTTACGTTATACCATTTCGATTGTGAATTTGATTTATACCATATTTGTATTTCAAATTTTGCAAGATTTAATGATTTAATCATTTTGACCGAACATAACATTTCGTTTCAGTTACAAATTCGCTGTTTTTTGATCTGTATATCTAAAATAATCTTCGTTACATGTGTCCTGCATACATATTAAGATTTGGATTACAATTTCATATGTGCAGTTAATTCTGGCCCACCCAGACACTAAACTTCTAATTAGACAGTTAATGTTATATTGTAATGTAAGGGAGTGGAGTACTGCTGCTGGGGAGGCATTTAATTACATCAATATAATAGTGGTTAAGTCTATCTAGTTGTTACTAGTCACTACTACTAGCCAGTACCTTTTGTAATGTGTCCTTCGTTGTGTCAGTTACAGGTAGAAGTAGGGTGGGCATTCCAAGTTGAAATCAATAAAGATAATTAGTTGGGAATTTATGAACTGAGTCAACATTCTTTGTTGCTTACATCATCATTAGTCGATTTGCTTTGTGAAGCTTCATTTTATGATATACAAAATATGTAAGTGTAGTTCGTAATGTACTAAGTTTGCTTAAGTTCTTAAAGTTGTCCCTTACAGTAGTGTTTATCTTTGTTAGAGGTTGCATAGCATTGCTATTATTATTCATAATGTTATAGTTCCGTAGGTTAGTAAAGTTTTTATGTATTATTAGTATGTATTATTATCAGTTGCAATGTATTATGGGTTACAATAGATTTTATAGTAGAATACAAGGTGGACCAAAATTAAAACAAGGAAAGTTGATCATACTATACCACTATATATTATATACCACTATAATAATACCACTGTCCACTGCACTGGCAACTCTATAACGTAGGATCTACTCGATACTGCTCTAATGATGGCCCGCCCGGTATTTATATTATAATTTATAATTACATCAGATATCTGGATAGTGGCTAATTCATAATATAATTCAAATAATATTAGCATACAATCTTCTTTACCGATTAATTTATACAATGTTGCTTTATACATTGTTCACATCTTTACAAGTTCCCTCATGGAATAGAACCCATTGCATTATTCACTGTGCTGCATAAAGTCGGAATAACTGGAAATGTACGACTGCTTAGTGCTTTTCATTATCGACGGTAATCATAAGGCAGTTGCAGTATTAGTATTGTACTAGTAGTAGTAGCAGTAGTTACTTACTGTCATGACATGGAGACATTTGCTCGTTTCTCTATGTGTACTGTATGAGTTGACACGTATTACCACGACGGCGGATGATGATTGTGCAACTTTTGTAGTTAACAAATCGTATGTGGTGTGTTTTGACTTTTGAGTTGTTGTGTGTGTTGCAACCTTTGATAGGACAAATGTTATTAGTTGCTCATAATCATTTCATTATGTTTGTCCTATAATTTGTTACAATCATTGCGACCTTCAAACATTTTATCACCTGATTTCACTATAAATAATAAAATGACCAACTATTCGTATTAATTTACAAACCATCTAACAGCCACCCTCCAGTAGGTGATGTAAAATGAGCTAAAAAAGAGAAGTACCCAGCCTCGCACAGCTCCTGTGTTGTATGTTAACATATTCCCTGATCTTCTGGTCACTCGCAGCGCTTGCAGTGCAATGCAAATACCACAATTCGTGGAGCGTAGAGCTTCACACGGGTGAGGATCCTCATGAGGTGGCAGGACAGTTAGACATGGACAATTTAGGGGGTATCGGGAGTGTTACAAATCACTATCTCTTCAGACACAAGACTCACCCTCAGTACAGTGAATCTCATTCTCATTCTGTAACCAGCTCAATTGAAAATCACAGAAAAGTCAGATCAGCAACTCAACAGAGAGTTCTGAGAAGGGTTAAAAGAGAAGCGCTGTTAAAGGGGTTCAGCAGAGCAGAGCGTGCTCCTGAGTTCAGCTTCAACGATAAATATTTCCCCAAACAGTGGTACCTGTACGATGACTACAACAATGTGACCGGAGCCTGGAGACAAGGTGTAACTGGGCAGGGTATTGTTGTCACCATCTTAGATGACGGCTTAGAGCGCACACATCCTGATATTCAAGCGAACTATGAAGCTCGAGCCAGCATTGATCTAAATGATAACGATGATGATCCAATGCCCCGGTACGACATAACAAACGAGAACAAACACGGTACAAGGTGTGCTGGAGAGGTAGCTTCAGTTGCTAATAACGAGGTGTGTGGAGTGGGGGCTGCCTATAACTCCAGAATTGGAGGGGTTAGGATGCTGGATGGTGACGTCACTGATGCTATTGAAGCTAAAGCCCTTGGTCTCAACCAAGACTTTATTGATATCTATAGTGCAAGTTGGGGACCTGATGATGATGGTAGAACAGTAGATGGTCCAGGAAGCCTGACAGTACAGTCGTTTACCAGTGGTATTACAGATGGTAGGGATGGGCGTGGCAGTATATTTGTGTGGGCTAGTGGAAATGGTGGTGTTTCATTTGATAACTGCAACTGTGATGGATACACAAACTCTATCTGGACTTTATCAATAGGATCAACATCAGAAAACGGGAACAAGCCGTGGTATGCTGAGGAATGTTCCTCTACCTTAGCAGTAACCTACTCCAGCGGGAGCGGTAAGGAGCGGCAGATAATGTCTACTGATCTGCACAGTAAGTGTACAGAGCGGCACACTGGTACCAGTGCAGCTGCTCCCCTGGCAGCTGGAATATTCGCTCTGGTGCTCCAGGCTAACCCTCTGTTAACATGGCGGGATTTACAGCATCTTGTGGTGAAAACTTCCAAACCCAGGAATCTTAAAGAAGCTGAGTGGGCTACCAACGGTGCAGGTTACAATGTTTCACACAAGTTTGGGTTTGGTGTGATCGATGCTGGTGGTTTGGTCGAGCTCGCTCAGTTGTGGAATAATGTTCCTGATCCGGAAATATGCGAGAGTGAAAAACAGAGTAAAGAGAAGAGTATTGGGTCAGGAAAGGAGGAGAAGTTTAGATTTACCTCAGACGGTTGCGATGGAAGAGTTATGTTTCTGGAGCATGTACAATCTGTTATTACCATTCAAGCAGAGAAAAGAGGTGATATATCTCTAAAACTGAAGTCTCCTAGTGGAACTGTCACCACGCTTCTAACAGCCAGAAAGTATGACAGAAGTACAAATGGTTTCAACAAATGGCCCTTCCTCAACGTTCACACATGGGGTGAAAATCCAGCTGGAACTTGGGAACTGAGTGTAAAGAATAACGGCCTAGATCGGATGACGCTGATTTCGTGGCAGCTCGTAATGCACGGCAGTACTACTCAGCCAGAACTCAGGGAGAACAAGATCTCAGTGCCAGATTTCGATAACAATTCTGACTCTGAATGTGACAGCCACTGTGACCAAAGCTTTGGATGTACTGGGACTGGTCCTGGAAACTGTACAACATGTGCCCACTATCTCCAACAATCCACCAACATTTGTGTAGATATCTGTGGTCCGGGGGAACACCTGAACAGAAAGGAACAGTATGTATCTCTCACTGTGATGTGGGCGAGTATGTGAACTCTTCAGGTCAGTGTGCCGCTTGTGATTCCAACTGTGAGACTTGTAACGGACCCTCTGCCACGGAATGTATTGGCTGCCACTCTGGTTCCTACCTCCTTCTGAGTGAACACAAATGTGTTAGTGCCTGTCCTCAGAATACCATCACAAAGTACGGACAATGCGAGATGTGTCACACTGACTGCTTTACCTGTACTGATGTCGGGTACGACAAGTGTCTTACATGTCAGCCTTCTCTCTTCTTTCTCGGTAACCGCTGTTACCAGCTCTGTCCATCAGGCTTCTTCGGAGACTCTGCTACTAAAACCTGCAGCGCATGCTCTGATGGTTGTGATTCTTGCTTTGGTACTGAAGACAACCAATGTGTGTCTTGTAAAGCTAATCTGTATCTAGCAGAGTCGAAATGTCAAGAGTCTTGTCCGGCGTCCTATTACACCACTGGTGATGAACACGTTTGTAAACGTTGCCATTATACTTGTAAAGCTTGTGCTGGGGACTCCATCCACCAGTGCGAGAGTTGTATCAGTAACCTGTTTCTCTTATCTGGTGACTGTCTCCGAGAGTGTCCCTCTGGTTACACTCCTAACTCCAACACAGGGACATGTGACAAGTGTGCAGATAATTGTAGTGCCTGTTCTGGTGTAGAGCCCAACCAGTGTACGGGTTGTGTTCCTCATTTCCGGCTAGATGGCAATGTTTGTAACCCTGCTTGTCCTGAAGGACAATACAGTTTAGGATCCGACGGAAAATGTAAATCTTGTGGCCACAGATGTCTGTCCTGCGCAGGACCAGATGATTGTACCTCCTGTAATGAGGCCACATTCCGTTACAATGGTGAGTGTCTGACAAAATGTCCGGTAAGTATGTTCAAGAGAGACCGAGCATGTTTACCGTGCGACAAAGCTGGTGCTTGTTTAGAATGTGATGCGATGGGAGCGTGCAGAAACTGCAAGGAGGGGTACAAATTAACTCAGGGTAACTGTAATAACCCCTGTGAGAGAGGACTCTACTTGAAAGATGATGCCTGCCACACGTGTCCAACAGACTGTGCAGCTTGTAACGGCCCTTCTGAGTTCTCCTGCACAGCTTGTAAAGACTCCACCATCGAGTCTCTGAGAGTGAAGTACAACTACCAGGACGAGGTGTACTGTGGAGGGTGCAGTGGTGGGTGTGAGTTGTGTCTTCAGCAGTATGATAACTACTGCGTCTCCTGTCATCCTGGTAAACATCTCCTCAGAGACACGACTCTAGCTCAGCGAGCACAATGTGTTGAGGCCTGTCCTGCTGGTACCTTCCCAACTCAAACTAATGGTCTGTCAGAATGTGTTCACTGTCATGAGTCCTGTGGTGAGTGTAATGGTCCCTCTGCTACCTCTTGTGCTTCCTGTGGCCCAGGTTTGATGCTCGAGGAGAGCTCTTGTGTAGCTCAATGTTCTGAATCGTTCTATCTCAGCGGAACAGCCTGTTTGCCTTGTGATAACATTTGTAAGAGTTGCAATGGACCTGGTTCCAAGTCCTGTTTGACATGTCCCCCCGGATTCGTAAACCAGGCTCAAGAATGTGTTCATTCCTGTAGTCCTGGTTTCTTCCAAAGAGGAGACAGCTGTGAAGCATGCCACCCCACGTGTCTGGAATGTAGTGGAGAAAGCGCGCACCAGTGCAGCGAATGCATCGCCGGCTTCTCCTTAGCGGGCGAGAGTTGCGTGAACGCCTGCAGTCAGGGACTCTTCAACGACCACACTCTTAACACCTGTAAACCATGCCACGTGACCTGTACCAACTGCACGGAAGGGGGACCCGCTCAGTGTCTGACCTGCAAAGCGCCCCTCGTAAAGAACACTGATAACAACGAGTGCTGGCAATGTTGCAATGAGGGAGCACGTGATCGCTGCTGCTACTGCTCTGGTAGCAACATCAACACCTGTACTCTCCTTGCTGAGAGTTTTGATAAACACGATGCTAGTACATGGAGCTCTTTTACGCGGTATGTTGTTGGCGGAGTTCTGATCGTGGCGCTGTTAGGTGTTCTCATCTGCCCCTTATATCATTGGAAAAATAAACAGGCGCCTACCTATTCCCTGCTAAACGATCAGGACTCTGATGAAACGGACAGATTCAACAGAATAAACGAAGCGTACAGAGTTGACGAGGACGACGAAGATTTTGTCTCCATGATTCACTCATGATTAGCTTTTCAAGTTCTTAATAGATTCTTTCTGATATTATTTGGGGTGTGATTTGAAAATCGGTCGGTTCAGAATTCAGATCAAACTTAAGTGTGTTTGTTTAATTATCTGCTACTAAGATAATTATTTGTATAGCATATTTATACTTCTTTTTTCAAATCGTTGGACACGATCATTATTTCAGAAATTGTTGCATTAGAGAGAGAAATTCTCTCATTATATATTGGTTTAATTAAATAATAAATACCCAAATTTACACCGATTGGTTTGATTTTATGTGTAAATTTTAGGTTCACCTTTTAGTTCACCTTTCAATAAAGCAATAAATCGGTTTTTCAATATCTATTCTACATCCATACGGCTTCTTCACCTCTGCTTTTACGACAGAAATATTTTAATGAAATTCTTAGTTATCTGCAGTTTTATTTTAGAAAACCAGTAAGACACGGGAAGGGTCAGACATATTATTATTATTTCAAGAATTTTTGATATGTATGATGTTCCTGACTTAGCAACATAATGCATGCTCTCGAATTTAGCTATATAATATTAATATAAAACATTCCATCTTCAAATTCCGATAATTCTGGCCCATTCGGTTTAAGTGCAGTTTATTTTTCTGCTGATTTTTCTAAAATTTTCTCGATCACTTATATCTTATAAAAATGTATATTAAGTTGAAATAGAGACTTGAGAAGGAAAACAAGAAGTAATCCATTATTTATTTTCTACCGCTATTAATAGTGTCCTTAATGCTATATAGCCCGTAGAGAAAACTAAAAGCTGTTTTGGCCCAGGTTTCTATTTCAAATGTAGCAACAGTATATGGTAGAATAAAGAGTAAATTATTAATTAGGATCAGGATTAAATAAAGGAATTGTTTATTTTGCGAAATGTAAATTAAATGATTAAAGTTTTGGTTATAATTGAGTCAGAAGATTTTGCTATGGGGTTGAATTTCTCCTAAATGGGATGCAAGTAAACGGAAAAATTGCCAATGCCTCTGTATTTTTAAAATAAATATGAATATGATGTATTTTTAGTAAGTTAAATGCGACAATTGTACGATTATTTTGATTGCTGTACAACAAATAATTAAAATTGATTTAATTTCAGATTGACGCTTACCTTTAGTCCACACATTTACTTGTTTTATTGTTTCAATTCATTAAAATAATGGACAGAAAAAATAATAGGAATACAAATAAAAATAATAATTAATAAATCAACTTGAAACACAAGAAAATATTTTTAAAGGTGGTATTTACAATTATTTAGACCCTCCAATCGACACAGTTATATGATGATATACCGCTCCCTCTTCTGATTGCCAGTGAGGATAGAGTATGACCGGAATCACTATTTCTGATTAACTGTCCAATAAAAAATGAAAGAAAAATAAATAATAGTCACCCACTATGACTGGCTACGTAATGCGCGTTATCTTTACCCTGTTATACATAGTGCACTTCACCACATCGCCTTTAGGTGGAAGTGAATGTGAACCACAATATCAATAACAGACTGAAGTGATTCCTGGACAAGTGAAACAGCATCACCATGGAGCAGATGGCAGTATCTCGAATCAAACGGGAATTCAAGGAAGTTGTAAATAGTAAAGAGGTCAGTGTTTTACGTTTTATATTCGGAAGGGTTAGGATTTCTCCGTCACACCCAAAAATGTCACCCCCACGTGTAAATGATATTTGCATCACGTGATGTAACCCGAGATATCTTATTCGTCTGTTCTGATCGATTTATTTAGATTCCCTAAATTGTCACGTGATCATGACATGACACACTGGCGGTCACGGTGTGGTCATTTCTAGAAGCCCACAAACAACAGCCCAAATATGACAATGTGCAGTTGTGAAATAATGCGAGATTGCATAATCTATTCTACAATGGAGACAAACCAGCAAAGAATACATAATCTCACAACAACTACTGTGCACCGGCCATTGTTGGGTACAATGGTACATTTGCTAGGTGTTTTAAGTAATGTTGTGTCGAGGAGAAGTGATCGTTACCAGGATGTTTTTAATTAGTTGTGACATTTTCAGTGTTACAAAGTGGGAAACCTAGACTAATCACACTGTATTGTAACACTTTGATGACTTAAAAATAACCAACATACCGTAATAATGATGTCACATTCAAATCAACATAACATTTTCATTGTATTCAGTAGTTAGCAGCAAGCCCCTACTTACCTTTTCTCTTCGTTGCAACATTAAAAAGGGTGAAGTCTTGGAAAGTCACCTATCTTAAAAGGACCTTTTGAAGTGTTGAAATTATCAAGATTACTTTACCATGATGTGTGAAATACTAATGCTATGTTTAGCACACAGCATTATATAATACAGTGCCAGGCTATACATTGTGATGATAATATTGTAGACGTATACCGTCTACTCACATTGTACTTACCAACACGTGATTTGCATTATCAGGCTGAAACAGCTGGAGTGAAAGTAGAACTGGTTGATAACTCATTTCTAAAGTTACGAGGTGAGATAAAGGGACCTCCTGATACCCCATTCGATGGAGGGAAGTACATTCTTGACATCACCATTCCTGAGACGTACCCCTTCAACCCCCCTAAAGTTAGTATGTTAGTGTGTTAATTCCTTGTGAGATGTACGTGTCATATTTTTGGTCAGTGTGACCCGTTCAGAATCCCTATGCACAGAAGAACTGCAAAGATAACTCGAAAATCGAAAATTCGTGACCTATTTCCCCCTTCTCAGGTGACATTCCGGACCAAAATATGGCATCCTAATATAAGTTCTGTGACGGGCGCTATATGCCTGGATATCTTAAAAGACCAGTGGTAAGTTCCGCAGTAAAATCATCATTTTCACACAATAGTTGCTGTTAAAACTATCGACGATCTGGGAAAATGTTTGGTTCGATCAACAAATGTTATTTTCAGGGCTGCAGCCATGACATTGCGAACAGTCCTATTATCACTCCAATCCTTGTTAAGTTCAGCTGAGCCCGATGACCCTCAGGATGCAGTTGTCGCTAAACAGGTAAATAAACAAGTAATGTACCTGTAGCCTAAGATATAATGGTGGTAATTGAGTGATGTAATGGAAGTAAACCGTCGACATACCATCGAACAGAAATAAATGTCTTTTCGGTGACGCGCGGTAGGTCCATTTTCAGGGTATTTCAGCATCAAAAGCTAGCAATAGATGCGCGCGCGCGCGCGCTCCCTCGATTGCACGTATTATTGTAATGAATGCGCGCAGTAGCTGAGCTGTCGCAGTATTTCTGAAATTAATCCTACTTCAACTTAAACTGAACTGGTACATATAATACCTAATGTGAATATGCCTCATGGATATAGAGATATCGGAGAGCAATCATCTGATGATTTCCAAACATTCGAACATAAAGTTATGCCATCTCTTGACCAATAATTATCGCTCGCCAATGGCAATGCCTTGTACAGGCTAATTTGGGTTGATTCGAAATTATTTTAATATTTTTGTCAGACTTAGCGAGACTTGTTCAGAATTCAGTGCCACTAAAACCTTTGCTTTTCAGTACAAAGATGATTATACATGCTACAAACGAACAGCTAAACACTGGGCTGTAGTGTATGCTCAGGGTAAGAGCTTCAGTCTTAATTAGAGTCTTTATCAATTTTAATAGTTGCATAACTCCCATACACATAATATGTACATAATCTTGCAACACTCTGTAACACGTCTATTACCACTGTCTCATCAAAACAGCTGTTGTTAAAAGTGACTGATATGGTCTGTACACGCCCATTGCATTTTTAAGTTAATAATATTGTGACCCACATTGCATTCATTATTGAAAGTACATTGTAAGTCCCTGTTTCAGCATCAGCCAGCAGCAATGCGGAGGATGTGGAGGCCTCGGCCCTTTTCGACAAAAATATACAGCAACTTATGCAGATGGGCTTTTCCGAGGTGAGTGCCAAACTAAATCGTTATAATGAGGAGCCTAAATCCAGCATCATATTAAGCTATCCAATACAGTGGATATTATCTTGTTTTAAACGGCATGACACCCACAACCCCTACTGATTACTGACATTGTACTGTCTTCAGCAAGATTCCAGAGTGGCTCTATCATCCAAGAACTGGAACGTGGAAGCTGCTGTGGAATGTTTATTTAGTTGACTTTCTGCCAACACTCCTTCCTCTCACAATACTTGCAATTTGCATTTGATTGTATGCAAAGAGCTTGTAGATTTTGCGGTGCAGTCTAGGCCGCAAAAGCCTCGCATTTATGATGCAGCCCCAAAACAAGGGCCTTGCATATTATGCAGTTATAGACAATGGGGGTACTTGAAAACCCGGCGGCTGGCTCCTTGACCCTTTAAGACCGAGATTTTGGTTTATTAACTCGTTTCATGAGCACAGGTCCTAGAGAGATAAGAGGATAATCGGAGATTAGAGGTTGGCCGCAGTTTTAGCGGAAGTTGGAGATGTGTTGAATCTGTGAACGTGAACTCAACAAATTGGCCGAGTGTGTTTCTGTTTATGATTAGTCACAATTTGCAGGGTAATATAAGGTAATTTTTATGTTTATATATAAGTTACAAAATATTTAAAGTAAGTTTTAAGTTGAATGTATAAATATAAATGCACTCTGGTCTATTTGAAAAACGGTATTATTATCGCGTTTTTAACGTCAAGTTGTGTCTAAAAGTGAACTAAAGTTTCACTGCCATGGGAGGATTTGCAAGTTTTCGGCATCCGTCTTAAATTTACCTCCTGAGTGCTTGGTTACACTTGTAATAAAATATTGTATACCAAATTAACTTTGTTTTATTTTTTCGGATGAAACTAGAGTAAGTCTTAATTCCTTAAAATGTAATTATGTACATACCTTAATTCCCAAAAATTTGGGCGACAAAAAATTTGAGCGGGCCTCTCGCCCAAATTTTTTGCAGACCAAATTAATTGCATAAATCTTTTCCGTCTGCTAAATTTTTTGCTAACCAAACTTTTGGCATTTGGCCTGTGGCCCTGAAATCTATAGAAAGATGGCTTTTTCTTCATATCAAAGTGAAATAATATTTAAAAGGGGTATGATAAGATATGCTGAGTGTAAGTAGACTAAACTATCTGATTGAGAGACTAAATATCACTATTGTATATCTATCATTTTGTACTGTGTCATCATCACTGTATTTTTTAGTAGTTACTGGGCAGATCGTAAATTTCATAATGTGAAACAACTCAGACTACCACCTATATGCTTAAAATTGAAAGCAAAATGACTGGAATAATAAGGAATAATAATAAACTTAGGCAAATATCTAACTGAAATTTTAGTGGAAAATCGTTCATTTTTCGAAGAATTTGTGCCCAAATGAGTTCAAATTTTCTGCCCACATTTTTCGGGCTCAAATAAATTGTGCTCAATATAATGGCACACAAATTTTTGGGAACTAAGGTAGATAGCAACTTTGAGCAGCAGTTGTACCGAATGCCAACTTGGTCGAATATTCATCATCTTCACACAATTGATACCTACAATTACGATTCCGGTGCATTACAATTATAGTACTCGAATCTTTGCTTTTAGTTATAATCTCTCAATCTCTAGCAATGCTGCCGTGGAATGTGATAATACGAGTTTTAACCCCCATAGCAACAACCATTGCGGGGCGAATGCTTACTGTAAGTGTACCTTAGGAATTTTAAAATACATTTTTGTGATCTGACTTTATCTCACTATTTTCGTTTAAAAGTTTAAAGATATTTAACATGTTTCCGAAACACAGCACGATTCAGTGAGAGTTTCAGGCTAAATCTAAATTGTATTTTAGAATCCGGACACAGTTAACAAAATAGCCAACTCTGGTGCTATGAGGCAGATTGCTAGAAGCGCTGCTAGGATGAAAGTTAAAGCTGAGAATGCCATAGAAACTCAACCAGAACTTCAGAAGTTAGCCAAGGAGTTTGGAAAGGATTTCAAATCTGGCAAGAGGTGATGATCAGTCAAGGTCTTGTTAGCCACCTTGTGACTGGCTACGTGCCTGCCTTGTGATGATGTGAAACAACAACACCCCTGATGTTTCAACCCTAAAGGCTGCAAACCCTCAATAAAAGTGGTTACCCTCAGTTCCCATTCAGTTTCAGACAGTGGCGCTCTCACTAAAACAGTTTAGTTCTCTAATACACCCTCTACAAGTAAAGACAATGAGAATTATTACGAATTCTATCCCCGTGACAACGTGGAGTTTCATAAGCATGCTATGCTCTGAAATGTTTCCATTTAAATGTACATTGTATAGTTACAAAGCAATCCCCCATATGGTATTGGTAGTGTGGGAAGTATACAGCTCATTTAGTACTGAAAAGAGTTGTGTATAATTTGATTATTCATAACATGTGATTGGCGTATCGGCCTCGTGGCCTAATGGCTAAGGCGTCTGACTTCGAATCAGAAGATTGGGGGTTCGAGTCCCTTCGGGGTCGATTACTTTTTGCGCTCGGATAGCTCTGCCTGTGCTCCATATTTTATTACCAATTGGAACAAAATGCTAATTAGCAAAATTCGATGACCACTAATTATAGCAGATAATGTTACTTCCGGTTTTGGAAGTTTACACGGGTACTCCTAAGATTAGTCTAGAATGTTCTAGAATGTTCTACTCAGGCATTTATGTGTTGCTCACTGCTCAGGGTTAATGAATAAGAGGTAGACTCTAACACTGCTAATTGTCACATCCGTTTATGATGTTAATTTATTTTGAATATGAAGGAGATTTGTATTAAGTTATTACAGTAAATGATGGATTTTTATTATTTTGGAAATTTTGTTTGACTATAATTACATCCGGTCCCTCAATTGTCCGTCATATTGAAATTGATCGTGATTCATGTTTCACGAATGCTCCTCATTTTGGAATTAGTTGTAAAGAATCAGTTTATTGTTTTCACAAGTTCAAAAAGTAATTTTGTTCAGGAAATGTCCCTCAGGAATATGACATCCGGATTTTAATTAAGACTAGCACTTTCTTCGTGGTAATATCTCGACAGATTGATAATTGTATCAACTAGTAGATCTGTAAGACAAAGATCTCTGTGATATCTATCACTCAACAAGGAATCAAATATTATTCTCGAAGTTTCTGTTCAGTATTTGTGTCAAATATGGCTCCATTAGGCGGCATACTAAGATTTCTAACGATGATCGTCACTCCCGTTTTGGGGAGATTTGTCAACGATCCTAACATTGTAAACAAGATGTCAAACTCGACTCCTATGAGAATAGCTGCTAGACTAGCTGTTAGACTGAAAATAAAGTACGAGGATATGGCGGAGGAGAAAAAGAAAGTTGGTAAGAAGGATGAAAATGGGAAACAGCAGGATCAGACTGATAATAGCTCGACTAAAGAAAAGATTAGTCGTGTCCGGAGTCGGACTCATTATGAGCAGACGGTGGAAAAGCTGAAGTTCAAACGCAAAAGGTGAATTGTGAGACGGTCGCATCTTCAAGTTCCCTTCTGGCTCTATCATTCTTAATTTTTGTGAGTTTTTTACGTGATTGGTTTTTGTAAATTTGTTTTGTACATATAATAATGTATGTATCGGTTATGCATCAGAGATCTCAAATTTCAATACTTGTTTATATGAATTGGTTAAGTTTGACTACTAAATTATCAGTGACCTGAGAAAATAACATTAAAAAATATGAAGAAGAATTTCTCAGACATTTTCATTGATTTTCATTGTTTAACATTCAATAACATACTGATACTGAAGCTAGACAATTATATAAAAATTATGCTAATTTTTCAATTAATTCTCAATCCGAGCAGTGAATGTTTATCAATTTAAATTATGATGCACCGAGATAAATTTCATTACCTTGAAAGTAAACCTTGCCACAGTTTAACCCGATGTCGAAGCGGAGGAATTTAAAGAAGCCGAGCTATGTTATATCAGACAGCGAGGATGATGAAGATTTCGTGCTTCCAGCTGCTAAACGAACAAAGTCTTCTCAGGACAAGGTACAATGAGGGCACATTTATTTAGGGGTTTGTACTCATCTACCATTCAGGTCCCTTAAATTAGTCAGTATTATTCAAATGACTCATTTGCATTTCAATTATGTCATAGCACTGACTTAGAGACGTGCGGCTATATCATTATGAAATTCTACTGAAATTGGTATACTGTGTCTGACTGACACAGTATAACAATTTCAGTAGATTTTGTGCCAAGAATGAAATGGCAGACAAATAATTATGACGCACAGACCTTAATTTAAGGCTAAATTTCTATTTCCCGAATGTAGAATACGCTGTATGCTTGCAGATCAACCCTTAACGTTCTTCATCGAGTTGTCGTTGGCATTGCTTATTATCTACCTTTATAAACTGACTTCTGATTTTCAGACCCGGAATATTAGAAGTAACGTGGGAGATAGAGCGCTGGAAAGGGAGGTGGAGAGAGCGAAACAGTTGTCATTGAATGAAAACAAGGCGGGGGGAGATAAGACGTGCACGGCCACAGGGTCAAACAAGGAAAATTCCAACAAGAGGAAGTCGAAACAATCAAACTCTGGTGGTGCGGTGATAAAGAGACAGTCCAAAGCTATTATTATTAGTTCTCAGAGTGGTTCAGATGCTTCTCAACCTACCCCCAACATTAACGCTATAAAGAAGGTATCCCCACGAAAGGGGTCGCGAAATGAGGGAAAAACCAAAGTAGCTGCCGTAAAACCTTTAGGATCTGATAGCGACGAAGAGTTTAGCATAGCTACTCCAGAATCTAGTGAACCATCCTCTTCAGAGTCAGATTTCAAAATTTCTCAGATCTCAGAGGAAGAGAAAGAGGAGAGGACCTCTGACGAAGAGTTCAAACTCAGTTCAGAAGATGAGTTTACTCCGACAAAGGAGAAAGTGAAACCTAGGGTGAAACAGAACGCGAAGTCAGCACCCAAAACTCCTGTCAATGCGAATAAACAATCTGCACCTGCTATAACTGCGAGTGCTATTAATACCCCTACAGTGACCAGTATATCTTCAAGTTCAAAACCTGGGGAACCGTCCTGAAAAACCAAAAGTGGCCGCCAATTTAACTTCTAGTTCTAGTTCTAGTTCTAGTTCTAGGACGCCTCAACCATCCCACAGGCAGAGAAAAACATTAACATCAACAAACTCAAGTGGGGCTAAAACTGTGAATATTCCTGCTCTTCTGAGTAGCAGCCAGTCCCCTAGTGCTGCCCAGAGTCCTTTGGGGGTGAAAATAGGACTGTCTAAAAACGCCAAGTTCAAATCCCTTCATGCGAATATCAAAAGGCAGTGAATTCTGGCTGAACTAGAGCACTTATTCTGGAATATTTGCTGTTTTTGAATTTTCTAAGTTAATAGTTGTTATGAATGCCGAATTATAAACATCTTTATGCCAAAGTTTTATTATGGATGACTTTCATTTTGTAGTTTGACACTGCTTTAAGTTTAATTTAACATTATTTTACGTAATCATGTAACGCTTTATAAAACTGTTGATTATATAATGCTGTACACCGATTATATTACTGTTAGTTAACCAATAAAGAATTTTCATCTTTTACAGAAACTTCAAATCAAATGATCATACATAATTAAATGTCAATCGGATCGCAAATCAATAAAATTGCATCGTATCCGGGGCCTGTTAGCATTTGAGAGATAAGAATTAAAGAAATTAAAAATAAGCTTTGAAAGAAATTTTATCTGTACTTTGAAATCTATGTTATGTATGCCAGAAAAGATAAAATCATCAGTAGATATAACATGCATCGGTAATGCAGTTTATAAAATCAGCACATAGTTTATGAGAATCTTTAGAATTAGCGATAGGCAAGATAAAGGGATGATTCACGAATCACGACCAGGATGGTCTTGATTGTTGACATGTCCATATAATTAGAAAATGGAGGGGTAGTTTCTTGTTAGTTCTGGGTTAGGACAAGGGATCAATCAAGCCACTGAGTTGGGTTATTCTCATTTCATTACATGGGTACTGGGTAAAATAGTTGTATTGTTGGTCGTGTGTATGAAGAGTGACTTTAGTTGGTGGTCTCCTCCTCCAACGTGCTCGGGGGATTAACTTTAGAGAGCTGGTAAGTTGGGTTCCTGTTGCCAGCCGTGGAGACGGTTGTAAGAGAGGTTCCCACTGTTACTGAGTTCGTTATTGTCTTGTTTGTGGTTATCATGTTCTGACGTTTTGCTAGACACTTGGCACGTAGCAGGTCCAGTATACCAGCCTGTGGGGGGTTTGAGGGGTTGAGGTGTTGTTAGGTTGAGCTATCAGAGCTGATGTCTGTGTTAAACAAATATAAAATCATGTTTTTGCTTAAATCTCTGCCTAAAGTAGATTGCTGTTCCTCGTATACATGTCCGAGACATTCAACATAAAACAAATTAAACTACACTAACTCATTAATTCTGGATTTACAAATAGAATTTCTTACCTCTGAGTTAATGAAAGGGTTTATGACACTATTGATTGGGATGACGAAGACACTCATATATCTGTAATACAAACACGTTCCCGTGCATTTCTCACTGACACTCACATCAAACTGTTCAATGCTATGAGCAAGACAAATCATGAACAGCGGCAATCTACACAGTATATTGAGAAACACCGCAATACTGAGCTTCTTTTGTAGTTGTCTCTCCGTGCTCTTTGATGTAGTCCCGACCTTCCAGATCCACAGGTACGAAGCTATAATTGTCAGGAAACAGACGAGATTGAGGGCGATGATACTGATGACGTAGGGGAAGCTATTGTTGCCCGTTGAGTTGAGATAGTTGAAGAGGCAGACCCCGTATGCGGAGTAGAAGGAGTAGGGCTTCTTCCCTGTGATGATGACGCTTCCGTTGAAGAGGACGTCAGTGCCGTTCAGTAGAGCGTCCCATGAGCTGTCTTCTGTTAGTTGTTTAATACCGGAATCGTTGAATTGTCCTACATCGTTGTAGGTATTCAGGGTGTGGTAGATGTGACGTTTCTCTCCTCGCTCAAATACGTTCCCACGTTTTGGGAAGTAGTACCTGCAGTGAGGAGGTCGTTAATACTAATAGCTTTGAATTTTAACACCAAGTAATGTTTCTATAACCCACGAGTAAATGGTTGTAAGGAAAGCTGGGAAGGTTTAGTAATTCAACAACAGTTGTACATCCGACGTTCCAGCTGGGTACTGTCGCCTGTCGACGAATTCATATGTTAATCATATATATTGGCCATTGGTGTTATCAAAATATTGTTGCTCTAAGTCAAACCTGTCCACAAAGCTATCCTTGAGAGAGTCCACTAGAGGTATGGTAGAAATGAGAGCTGCAACTATCAATATACCCAAAACAAGCACGATTGTTATCCTGCGAAGTTATAAATATATCATTGTTTAATAGGTTATTGTGTATTGGTTCATGGGGGGGGGGGGGGGGGGGGGGGGGGGGCCAATGGCATAAATGGAGAAAATGGAGAATTACTCATAGGTTTTTCCATTTTCTCCATAGAAATAGTCTCCATTTTATGCCATTTTATGCCATTGAAAACCTGAAAAATTTAGAATTTCGAGAAAAATTATTTAAAAAAAGATATTTTCGGCCAATAATGAACAGGGTATCATGAAACATGGAGAAAAGTGGTTTTCAGAAAAACTTTGAAAAATGTTGACTTAGAAAATTTTCGGTCCGAGTCATTTTCGATACGTACCTCCCGTATCGAGAGCTCCCGATTCCGAGCTCTTCATGTTGCAAAGGGGAGGCCTGCCTTCCGAGATCGCATTATCTCGAGTCCAAAATTGTGTATCGAGGGGGATGATAATTAATCACTCTACACTCGACTGTCACGTGACGAAAACGCCGTGATTTCATTGGTTAACCTGATAACGCGCCGCAGATCTCTATAAACACAAATTATTCATCGCGCGTGCAGTAAAGTCAAATTAAGTCCTTATTTGTTACCCGAAATTCAGACTTCCTACAAAACTAACTGTACCATAATGTGGATTGGTCGAAAATCGAGTGTTTTAGTGAATAACTTATAATATATTTTCAATTTTCTCAAGATCTGACCAATAGATTTTCTTTAAACTTTTGAGATAGTTACATGGTTATATGGCGGATAATGTGTGAGAGTTTTGGAGAAATTCTATGTGCCAAACTTGAGATATGACTTCAAACACAAGAAAATATCTCCAAATTGGCGGTTTCTAACGGAAATCAGGCATATATTTCAAGATCTGACTGATAGATTTTCTTTAAACTTTCCAGATAATTACATGGCTATATGACGGATAATGTGTACGAGTTTTGGAGAAATTCTATGTGCCAAACTTGAGATATGACTTCAAACACAAGAAAATATCTCCAAATTGGCGGTTTCTAACGGAACACAGGCATATATTTCAAGATCGAACTGATAGATTTTCAATAAACTTTCCAGATAGTTACATGGCTATAAGACGGATAATCCGTGCGAGTTTGGGCAAATTTCTATGTGCCAAACTTAAGATATGACTTCAAACACGACAAAACTGTACCATAATATGGATTGGTCGAAAATCGAGTGTTTTAGTGAATAACTTAGAATATATTTTAAATTTTCTCAAGATCTGACCAATAGATTTTCTTTAAACTTTCCAGATAGTTACATGGTTATATGGCGGATAATCTGTGAGAATTTTGGAGAAATTCTATGTGCCAAACTTGAGATATGACTTCAAACACAAGAAAATATCTCCAAATTGGCGGTCTCGACGGAACACAGGAATATATTTCAAGATCTGACGAATAGATTTTCTTTAAACTTTCCAGATAATTACATGGCTATATGACGGATAATGTGTACGAGTTTGGGAGAATTTCTACGTGCCAAACTTGAGATATGACTTCAAACACAAGAAAACTGTACCATAATATGGATTGGTCGAAAATCGAGTGTTTTAGTGAATAACTTAGAATATATTTTCGATTTTCTCAAGATCTGACCAATAGATTTTCTTTAAACTTTTGAGATAGTTACATGGTTATATAGCAGATAATGCTGTGAGAGTTTTGGAGAAATTCTATGTGCCAAACTTGAGATATGACTTCAAACACAAGAAAATATCTCCAAATTGGCGGTTTCTAACGGAAATCAGGCATATATTTCGAGATCTAACTGATAGATTTCATTAAACTTTCCAGATAGTTACTTGGCTATAAGACGGATAATCGTGCAAGTTTGGGCGAATTTCTATGTGCCAAACTTGATATATGACTTCAAACACGACAAAACTGTACCATAATATGGATTGGGTCGAAAATCGAGTGTTTTAGTGAATAACTTAGAATATATTTTCAATTTTCTCAAGATCTGACCGATAGATTTTCTTTAAACTTTTTAGATGTTTACATGGTTATATGGTGGATAATGCGTGAGAGTGGTAACTCCTGTCCAACAGCGACATCTGTCCGACAGCGACATCTGTCCGACAGCGACATCTGTCCGACTCAGGGTACCAGAAAAAAACGACATCTGTCCGAAATTGTTACCTGATTTCAATACGACACATTTCCAATTAGAGACATGATCTAAACTGTTACTTGCTAAATTGTATACGTAACATGTCCAATTTGAGATATGATCTGAGCCATAGTTTACTACCACAGTTTATTTTCATTTGATGTCGATAAATTGGACAATAGTTTCAATGTTATTTAAATGTTATATAAATTAATTCAATAGTTATAATACAATATCACAGAATCAAATCTAAAGCATAGTCAAATTTCCGATAGCTTTAAGGAAATCCATAGGGTTGCTGTAGTTGTCGTAATCATCTACAATTCTCTGAAGTTGTCGATTATATAGGATCCATTTGGGTGCACGTGGCTCAGGTAGTTCCCGCCCGTCTCTTTTGGTTTTCTTCACGTCTGTAAGGGCTTGTTCTGCTTTAAGGCAATCAAGGAACTTCCAAATTGTGGGCTTCGAGCAGGAGAGCATTGAATGGAATCCGTGATTGTGGATTGCGATAAGTGATCTCCATACTGCTGTCCTATATGTACTCATGTCCAGCTTGTTAGGGTACGGCTAGCACGATCCTGTTCTCAACTAGTCAATCACGTATCGATGGATCAGATCTTAAGGGATCACATCAGCTTTAGAACGTCACGAGATTACCCGTGAGCTTGTGAAATACGAATGTGAACCGAAATGACAATATGATCCGAAATTCGGACAGATGTCGCCAAAAACGACTCCTGTCCGACAGCGACATCTGTCCAATATCCCTAATTCAGCCCATAAAAATTCTCCCAAACTCCTGTGTTCAACCGAGACCGCCAATTTGGAGATATTTTCTTGTGTTTGAAGTCATATCTCAAGTTTGGCACATAGAATTTCTCCAAAACTCTCACACATTATCCGCCATATAACCATGTAACTATCTCAAAAGTTTAAAGAAAATCTATTGGTCAGATCTTGAGAAAATTTAAAATATATTCTAAGTTATTCACTAAAACACTCGATTTTCGACCAATCCATATTATGGTACAGTTTTGTCGTGTTTGAAGTCATATATCAAGTTTGGCACATAGAAATTCGCCCAAACTTGCACGGATTATCCGTCTTATAGCCATGTAACTATCTGGAAAGTTCAATGAAAATCTATCAGTTAGATCTCGAAATATATGCCTGTGTTCCGTTAGAAACCGCCAATTTGGAGATATTTTCTTGTATTTGAAGTCATATCTCAAGTTTGGCACATAGAATTTCTCCAAAACTCTTACACATTATCCGCCATATAACCATGTAACTATCTCAAAAGTTTAAAGAAAATCTATTGGTCAGATCTTGAGAAAATCGAAAAGATATTCTAAGTTATTCACTAAAACACTCGATTTTCGACCAATCCATATTATGGTACAGTTTTGTCGTGTTTGAAGTCACATCTTAAGTTTGGCACATAGAAATTTTCCCAAACTCGCACGGATTATCCGTCTTATAGCCATGTAACTATCTGGAAAGTTTAATGAAAATCTATTAGTTAGATCTCGAAATATATGCCTGTGTTCCGTTAGAAACCGCCAATTTGGAGATATTTTCTTGTGTTTGAAGTCATATCTCAAGTTTGGCACATAGAATTTCTCCAAAACTCTCACAAATTATCTCAACTATCTCAAAAGTTTAAAGAAAATCTATTGGTCAGATCTTGAGAAAGTTGAAAATATATTCTAAGTTATTCACTAAAACACTCGATTTTCGACCAATCCATATTATGGTACAGTTTTGTCGTGTTTGAAGTCATATATCAAGTTTGGCACATAGAAATTCGCCCAAACTCGTACACATTATCCGTCATATAGCCATGTAATTATCTGGAAAGTTTAAAGAAAATCTATCAGTCAGATCTTGAAATATATATGCCTGTGTTCCGTTAGAAACCGCCAATTTGGAGATATTTTCTTGTGTTTGAAGTCATATCTCAAGTTTGACACATAGAATTTCTCCAAAACTCTCACAAATTATCCGCCATATAACCATGTAACTATTTCAAAAGTTTAAAGAAAATCTATCAGTCAGATCTTGAAATATATTCCTGTGTTCCGTTAGAAACCGCCAATTTGGAGATATTTTCTTGTGTTTGAAGTCATATCTCAAGTTTGACACATTGAAATTCTCCCAAACTTGTACACATTATCTGTCATATAGCCATGTAATTATCTGGAAAGTTTAAAGAAAATCTATCAGTCAGATCTTGAAATATATGCCTGTGTTCCGTTAGAAACCGCCAATTTGGAGATATTTTCTTGTGTTTGAAGTCATATCTCAAGTTTGGCACATAGAAATTCTCCCAAACTCGTACACATTATCCGTCATATAGCCATGTAATTATCTGGAAAGTTTAAAGAAAATCTATCAGTCAGATCTTGAAATATATGCCTGTGTTCCGTTAGAAACCGCCAATTTGGAGATATTTTCTTGTGTTTGAAGTCATATCTCAAGTTTGGCAAATAGAAATTCGCCCAAGCTTGCTCAGATTATCCGTCTTATAGCTGTGGAAATATCTGGAAAGTTTAAAAAAATTCTATCAGTTAGATCTCGAGATAATCGACTTTCGTCAAATATTGTACCTTGGTACAGTTTGGTACGGAAAGTCCAACTCCCGAAATTTGGCAACTATCAACATCATGGCACAATTAAGTCGCATGCCCAGTAAATTGCTAATCAAATGTACAGTCTACAGTGTATGAATTCATGAACGAATTTATTAAGGCAGATTGGTATAACAACTATCGTAAATGCTATTTTGTAATAACAGTGGAAAGTGTTCTTAAGGGAGACTGTTGTGCAGCCATGCCGGGAGTTATAAAACACGTCATTAAAAACACTTTCCAACTACAAAACTTAACCACAAAACCAGCTTTGAGCACTATTTCTAGGTTCTGAAACGACTAAATGATGCGAATTATAACTCCTCAGAGCTGATCCCACTCTACATTAAAAACACCTTCCAACTACAAAACTTAACCACAAAACCGACTCTGAGCACTATTTCTAGGTTCTGAAACGACTAAATGATGCGAATTATAACTCCTCAGAGCTGATCCCACTCTACATTAAAAACACCTTCCAACTACAAAACTTAACCACAAACCGACTCTGCAACTATTTCTAGGTTCTGAAACGACTAAATGATGCGAATTATAAATCCTCAGATCTGATCCCACTCTACATTAAAAACACTTACCAACTGGATCGTTCAGCCCTTCACTTTCATTGTTCAGCCCTACACTAATAGCATACGTTTGTTTAATTTGCTCTCTTATCTGCTTTCTTATCTCGCCTTGTTTAACGGTGAGATATTGTGCCTTTCACCTTGTGGCTTAGCCTTGCATCATGGCAGCTGTGGACAACACGGAGATCGACAGTATTATGTTTAAAGCTGAGGATTGGATGACAAGAGTTATGGATCAGTTCGGTTGTGAAGAACCAATTCACATAACTTCTGTATTGTGCAAACATTTTTTGACTGAAAGGACATTAAATCTAGAGGATAAGGAAAAGTTTGCATTTGGTTCGCTTTCAAAATGACAATTTGAAGAAGATGAAAAACAGACTGAGCTCAATCAAGGATCAGTTGATTGAGAATCAGAAATTGGTCATCAGCGCTCAGGAATCAATAATTGACTGCAGAAACAGTTGCAGGCAGTGCAGACCGTCGTCAAAGACACGGTAGAAAGTCAGTTTAAATCGTACAGCGATACAGTTCAGGAAAACGTCAAGGTTTTTCAACCTGAAAGCTCAGTTACTGCCGAGACTTTGAAGGAAGTCGTCAAGTCTGTGGTGCAAGCAGAAGACCGGAGCAAGAACACTATGATTTTTGGTTTGCCTGAAGATTCCAGTAAAGACTTGAACAAAACTGTCGAAGAAATTTTTGAAGAGATTGGACTGAAACCAGCAATGGAGCTCAGTAGAGTTGGCAAGTCGAAGGAGAAAACTACTCGGCCAGTCAAGGTTACTCTGTCCAGTTCCAGTACAGCCTATCAAAAAATCAGTCAAGATCGAAAGCTGCGACAATCAGAGAAGTTGAGCTCAGTCTTCATTAGTCCAGACCGCTCTTTGGAGGATCGTGTTAAGCACAGACTTCTTGTTCAAAACCTGCATATGAAGAAAGAAGCTGAGCCAAACAAGCACCACTACATCAAAGGAGGGACAATTCATACTGAAGAAAAATCAGTGAGATGAGTGTGGCTTTCACTAGAGTGCATTTTTTACAATACATGTGTTGTTATTTCATTAGGGACGATAGTGTTTGTATGAGGATGGGAACTTGTCCCGTTGTGATACAATTTTTTGTTTGATTGAGTCATTCATTCTGGCCGTTGGCGGTTGGAGCACACAAAACTTTAAGTTTTCGCGATATTTGTCAGATGAGGTTTAAATTCCTTCGTAAAGTCGCTGTTCTACACAGTGAGGCATTTTCCTATCAAGAGTGCAGTGCCCTTGTGAGGGATTATTACAATTTTTATAATATATTTGTTAAGATTTAAATTGGTCATTAGAACCACCCGGGCACCGTCTCGGTTTACAATCAACTAAAAAACTTAACCACAAAACCAGCTTTGAGCACTATTTCTAGGTTCTGAAACGACTAAATGATGCGAATTATAAATCCTCAGAGCTGATCCCACTCTACATTAAAAACACTTTCCAACTACAAAACTTAACCACAAAACCAGCTCTGCGCACTATTTCTAGGATCGATTACAATTCTATTTGTACCTATAGCATATGTCAGTACACCTGCGAGCAAATGAGGATCAACATTTTTAACAGCTATTCATTAAACTTATAGGATTATAACTCATAACTACATATAAGGTATAACACAAGTGGCACTGATGCAGATGAATCATGGATAATTATTGACTGTTGACGAAAACTCGAAGTTTGAAATCCAAAGTATAAAGCTGCATGTAGTAGAAACGTAATTGGGAAATCAGGATTAAATATGATCACACGTAACGCGCGGATATAACATGTGCTTTATCCAATGCGAAACTAAAAGTGATGAAATAAGAAAATCGACTGTACAGTGATTTAGCGCGACCGTATCGAGGGGAAGGTGTGGACTTCGAAAAACCGAAAAAATATTTTCGGCAAATAATGAACAGGGTAGCATGAAACGTGGAGAAAAGCGGTTTTCAGAAAAAATTTGAAAAATGTTGACAAAAATATTTTCGGCTTATAATGAACAAGGTAGCATGAAACGTGGAGAAAAGTGTTTTTCAGAAAAACTTTGAAAAATTTTGACTTAGAAATTTACCCCTCGGTACACAATTTTGGACTCGAGGCTTCCCCCTGGTAATGCGTTCTCGGAAGGCAGACCTCCCCTTTGCAACACGAGCTCGGAATCAGAAGCTCTCGATACGAGAGGTACGTATCGAGAATGACTCGGGCCGGAAATTTTCTAAGTCAAAATTTTTCAAAGTTTTTCTAAAAACCACTTTTCTCCACGTTTCATGCTACCCTCTTCATTATTAGCCGAAAATATTTTTTTGGTTTTTCGGTTTATCGAAGTCTGCACCTACCCCTCGATACACAAATTTGGACTCCTATCCAGGCTTCCCCTGGTAATGCGATCTCGGAAGGCAGGCCTCCCCTTGGCAGTGCGAGCTTGTTTCGACTTTCGAGGATATAGGTCTCACTTCTCAGTGCCTATTACTCTCCCCTATTACTCACTCCTGCTGTAGCCTGTAAAAATAACTTTACACTAGGCTTGAGTAATTATGAGTTTGCCTGAAGTGTGCCTCTACTAACCTAGTATAAGCATCTAGTAGCCTACTATGAGCTTTCATAAGCTTGTTACGCCCCTATGTAAGCGTGAATAAACATGTTAGGATGTCCAATTTAGGTGTTAAACGGTGTTAAAGATGAAATTTTGAAGACAAAATTCGTGGCATAAAATGGAGAAAATGGAGAATTACTCATGGGTTTTTCCATTTTCTCCATAGAAAAAGTCTCCATTTTATGCCATTTTATGCCATTTTATGCCATTGGCCCCCCCCCGGTTCATGTTAGCATGAGATATACTTAGATGATCGCTCAGATAATAAACTATCATGATCCCCTAACCGGAACCCCTTTAGTGATTAAACCTTTAACCACATCTCTTTAAACTTTTTAAAAATTTTACCATAACTCACCTTATGGCTTTAGCCTTATTAACAGATCTGGGCCACAAGTAGTTAACCACAGTCTTCAGTCTGAACATACTGAGGGTTACCATGGCGAACAGGGATACATGGTTACCAAACGTGCTTAGCACTCCCATTGCCATGCAGGCAGATCCAGTCAACCACTGTTCTTTCATCTGCGAGTTGGGTATCGTGAATATATAAATCAATCCTTAATTGATTAACTAAAAGTAAAAATAAGAACAATTCCAAATTTCACAATACTAAGTGCTGTATCAACTTTTAATTTTGCTTCAGTTCTAGTTCTGGTAGTGGTTATCATCATATTTATTGCATGATTTGTGGTATATATTGTTCATTATTTTGTAAGTAAGGTTAACAAGTTACAAATTGTCTAACCTCACAATATTTTCTGTCTCTGAAGCTGTCGACCGAGGCGAGCATGACAAGATACACGCTCACCATCACATCACCTGTAAAACAAGGTGGTCCAGAATTAATGCAACATCGAGAGTTGAGTAAGGTTTATATTTCTATTGACAGGCCACACATCGAGATTGTGTTCATTATGGGCCACCAACTGCTTGTCACGATATTAATATTGTTACTGCTCTCGTGGCACAACGACAATTTTGAAATTGTAACATGTAACATGTAACAGAAGGTGTCGAACTCAATGATGACTGGTAATGAAAACAAAGCGATAAATAATAATTAATAACATTGTTGGAAGCATCACAATTATTCGTCGATTATAGCCCAACTTCTAGTTCTAATGAAAATTGAAACATAATGACTAATATTTTATAATGTTATAAGAAGAATGTTTACCGATAGCGATAGTGGTCACAAGTATCCGATAAATAAAACGGTGAGGCACTTTCTCAAGTACATCAAACGCAGATTTAGTCATTGCAATGATGAGGTAGAAGTTGAAGATCAGGGAAACGACCCCCATAATCCAGACCACCACTAGAAGACCTACCCCACCTGTGATTAGAAAGAAAATTTCAAAACTCGTTGAAAATTAAATATAAATGATAATTTATAATTCCACTGAATCTTCGACTACAATTAATGGTCTTTATCTTCGACGTCAATTACGGATTAAATGAAGCCAAATACCAGATATTTGTGCTCCCAAATATTTCATGTTGAAAACTGTCAGTGTCAGAGAAGCCGACTGCTTGAATAACTTCAGCGATGATAAATATAAAGCTGTTAATATAATTTACTGTTTGCTCACCCAGCAGGCTAACAGTATTAGTAATACCATCTTCATTACACTCGTCCAGACACTCATCCTGGGACCGATCACAATCTGATGCTCCTGGGAGACAAATGTAGGTCAGCTTTCTTAAATTCAGCTGAATACTTGGGGCTTCTTTTGGATTTGATGGTCGGGAAATTATTTCTATTAATTTTAAACAGTCTTTATGGTGAGTTTTGATTAAAACTATTATGGTACGAGGAAAAATTTGGAGCGAACTGCTGAAAGTTTCGTCTTACCATTGCACTTTTTAGAATTGGCTATTACTCTGGTTACATTTCCAGTTTGGCCGATTTTGCACTCGAAGTTGTTGCGGCAGTAGGTGCTGCTCTCGTCTGACCAGTCCCCGCAATCATTTACTAGATCACACATTGTTGTAAGAGGAATGCCACATTTCTTTTCCTCTGAAATTCCGTGGGAATGTGTCAGGGGACGTTAACCTTCTTTGAATTTTAAGGATATCAAATAGAAAATATAAAACTGTGAAGGTCACACCATTCCAAACTTACTTCTTGTTTTATTATTCTTGCAGAAGACTGATTTGTCGATGAACTCGCTAGAATCGTTGTGGTATCTCACGAATGTTCGGTATGTAACCACTCCGCCTTCTCCTGTTATACTGGTCAAGGTTTTTGTTTGTGTTTTACAGGAGACGTCCTCTTCTACTTTTGTGTTATAACTGAAGTAGAAACTATAAGTCAGATACGATCAACAAAATATGTTCAACAAAATACGTTCAACAAAATATGTTCAACAAAATACGTTCAACAAAATATGTTCAACAAAATACGTTCAACAAAATACGTTCAACAAAATATGTTCAATTATGTTCCTTGGTTATAACTCCAGAGTCATTTACGTCTTGGATAGAAATAGAGTGGAAGATTACAAATTTAATTGTGCAGGATATGTTAACTTTTCAATTAGTCACCCTTGTCCTATCACTAGTCGCAACGCATAGAGAAAAGTGAAAATGTTCAGTTGTATCTTGATATTTGAGATTTCAAGATCAGAAAAACCCAACAAATTTCAAAAATAAGTTATGAAAATGTAACTCACTCTTGAGTGTACCACTGAGCCATCAGTTCCGGATAACAGAGTGTGTTGTTGTAGACAGAGCTGTCAGAACACGGCTGATCCGTACCGTTTGGTTGAGTGTTGCAGACAGCTGCCATGTACCGGGTACCGGTCAGCTGGGAGCAGTCACATGACTTTACCACCTTCACTTTTATCTGAATCAGGGATAATCATGTTTCAGTTTGTCACCAATGGCTGGATGAAATTATATTGGCAGTGATTTATTAGCTTTGCTAGTGACTGTCTAATAACATATCATGATCTAAAGATTAAACTTATGATTCACGGTTAAATTTTGCGTATAAATCATATTACCAACCTGGGTAAGAGAGTAGCTTTCACGAGGATCTGAAATATTGAGTGTGTATTTTGAGTAGAGATGATACTCCTCAGTTCTGTTCACATCACAAGACTCGTCCACTGCATCTTCCGTCTGTGAAATAAGGGTTAAATAACGAGTACGAGTCTCTTTTCCTTAGTCGCTAAACTTTGAGGAAGAACAAAAGTTCTATTGTACTTGTGTAATCGATAAATGGTTAAAAACTGCCACATAACGAAGAATGAATGCATGCTCTCTTAAAGGTGATACTGTGCAAAATTAATCATCTCAATCTCATGATACAAGAAGACTTCAGTGAGTGAGTGTACGACAATAACTATATGACGGGGAATAAAAAAGTATAAAAGTAGAAGTGCAATAGTTTGCCATTTTCGTAACATACAACTTTCGACTACGACTCGACAAGAAGGATAAAATCAATGAGATTCCATTTCCAAAACACTCAATCATCAGGCACAAACAAACAAATCAATTAAATAAGGCTTGTAAGATATCTCATTTAGAGATTAAATCTTTATGTAAGATAACAGAGCTTATGCTTTAGAATCTCATGCTCAGTTATAATATGGAGCTACCCGATGAAATGGCTCATTGTATGGGACCAACTTAGAGGTCCTCTTCCGTTGCAGATTCTCTGACTGCTGTTATTTTAGTTATCAGTTTACCAAAACATGCTTGACGATTAACAACTATTATGCTCGTTAAAAGAAACATATAACTACACATGTTTTGTTGTTGTCACTTACCTTTTTGTAGTTACCATCACATATTTTCTCGTCGACCTCTGTTTCGCAATCATAAAACCCGTCACACACGTACGCATCCTCTATTACTGACTTGCCTGGTCCACATTTTAACCCCTGGAGGTGAATGTGCTGTGACAGGTAAGTTCCTTTGATTGTTCATCCCACAATAAAAATAGATTTAATGGGTGTTCAGCAATCGACTAATATTTTTGGGGCATTTTAAAATTAACCTACTTGTTCGAATATATACTGCCCTTAGTTCGTATCTCAACAGCAGTCTTATGTAAAAACTCAAGAGAGGATTTAGACAATACTGAAGTTAGATTTACCTTATTCGAGCAGCCAATTTCGTCAGTTTTATCTGCTATTTCAATGTATTTGTTATCATCGTTATCTATTTTAAATTCCGTGCAGTCGTTTTTGTTGTTGCACCTGAAGAAACAAAACAATTTATTAACATATTCTAGTAGTTCCATCCCAATTTTTTATTCCGATAATGAATTCTTATAATTAAATAGAATATTTGTCTATAACATAAATGTATAATATATATAATAAGTAATAAGTTTTCCTGGATCGAAAATTCTGACAGAGAAAATAAGAAACTACGATATAATGACAGCACCTCATATCATCTGTGTAACAATAGGAACTGTTTCTACACAGTTCTATCTGCGGTTTCTTGGTGCCCTCGAATTTACAGTAGTCAGAGTATTGACACATCCAATTTTTCATTATCTGAGAATGAAAGTGTTGCAGTTAACCTGTTTTTTAGATGATTATTTGTTTGATTATTTTGTTTGAATTAAATGAATTCACTTTCAGTAAAACGTTCTAATTCTATGAGAAAGGGTATGCCGAAACTGAAATATTGAGTCGACTCACTACGGAAAGTTGTAAGAAGGACTCAAACTTACTTTTTGATTCAGAGTTCCATTATTGGGAAACTTTGTCTCATAAGGGCGAGGACATTTGAAATCATCTTCATCTATACACAGTTCTTCTATAGTTTCCTTAATAATGTCCCCTTTTGGACCGTTAAGATTATAATAATACTCTTGACATGCGAAGGCTCTGAAAAAGTTTCAATCAAATCAAATCTCGTATGTTCTGGCTTATCTTAATTTGCAATTTATTAACATATTTTATACATGAGAATTGAGAAACGCCACTTTTGGACGCGAGGAGGATTAACAGTAAGACTCCTCCAACTACATGTAACAAATTCCTCATATATCATCCTGAACTTATACTACCATGATAATTGTATTTGCCCTAAGCGTTAATTAATATTTTTCTAATCGACTGGACACCTACCTGTGCTTCACAACCCTCAGAAGTGAATCTTTATCTACTTTATCAGCGGTTTCACCAAAGATAAGCTCTACGTTGAGATAATCCGCATAGTTGACTTCCTCATTCCCTTTTGTCCCGTCCTTGAATGTGAGAACGTCGAAAAAGTCACTCTCACAGTGCAGTTTGTCAGACTGGTCTTTACAAAGAGCATCTTTAATCGTGTTGGTGTTCACAGCTCCCGGGCAAACCTTTCTCCACCTTAAACCGCAGATGAATCATGTTATTTATATATATGTATGTTTTGTATCATTTCTCAAAAAAGTCACACTTTCTGTGGTACACCCTGTACTTGATGCTGGAATCAAATACTTAGTATACACTCTAGTCATAATAAAATATGTGCTTTTACTTACGGTATGAATATTTTCTCATTGCTCCTCATGCTCGTGCAATAGTAACCACTCGAACAATCCTCCTCGTCCTCCTTACCCTGACATTGGAAATTACCGTCGCACAGTTCGGCGTTTGGTACAAATATGTCCTCTGGGACATCGAATGGTCCAGTTTCAACTTTACTGCAAACTATCCCCTTACCTGTGAAGGTGAGAAGATTAGAATATAGTGTGGTAAGTAAGAGTTTCTGCACCCCGTAGTCGGATTATTTCCCGATGCGATATTGGGGACGGGTCACAAATACAAACTCAAGTAAAACTCGGCCCCTGATATCACCGAAAATTACACCTACTTCTCGTGTTTAAATTGTATTTTAATTCATCTATATGGTCTCCTTAGTTCTTACCTATCTCAAATCAAAATGACAAAATCTAAAGATTTATTTGTGAAATAAATTATACGTAGCATGCATGGACAAAAGGAAATCGCGGCATGTACGGAATCGCGATTTTTCCCATTATTTGCGACAAATTTTATGTATAGTTTAATGTATAGTCTGTTAAAATTCGCGGTATCGCGATTTTTGGCCAAAATAATCGCGAAATCCTTTTTTCCCTGGTAGCATGTAATACCTGTATAAATAGTATAAGTAGTATACCTGTATCTTTACACCGTTTTACAGAGTTTGCTGCTCCGTCAGCGCAGTATTGACAATTCTCATGCTGAAAGTGAATAAATCGTAACACTAAAATATCCATACACTTACGATACGTCGATACTATCAGATACTATCAGATACTATCAGATACTATCAGATACTATCAGATACTATCAGATACTATCAGATACTATCAGATACTATCAGATACTATCAGATAATCACACATATTAAGTATTTACCACTTAGCAGGTCGCTAAAACCTGACCTGATGATGATAAACAATACGGTAAATGTTTTATAACATTAAAACTCCAAACAAACCATTATTTGGCTGAGTCCAAGTGTTTTTGGAGTACAAATGATGGTACTGTTGCACAGTATCGTGGGTGTGTCAGAATCTTCTGACTCTGGACACTGTTCGTGCTGATCACAATTCCAACGCTCCTCCCTGTCCATACCATCTTCACATTTACCTGAACAAACGTTTTAAAACTGACCATTTCTACTGTCTTCACCACTACCAAGCTAAACAACTTTAGCTGTTTGGTCTTTAAATGTAGGAGACAGAAACTCAATGACAATATTTTTGAGGTACCTGAGCAAAGATTTTTTGATCTAATCCATTTAGTGTTGTTGTCACAAGGTGCACCATCGCCAGGATAAAAGAATCTAGCCAATCTTTCACAGTTGGCCTGCTGCTCATCTTTTGCATCGCCGCAGTCTGCTTTACCATCACACAATATGTTTTCTGTCATATATATTGAACTACCATTGCCTGCCTGATGTTTGGGAAATATTTTTTATTGATTAAACTTGAAATATGCAAGGAATGAGAACACAAACTCTATTTTAATTTCCATTTCCAAAGATTTTAACAAATGTAGTGCATTTATCAGATCTGATATAGTTTCAATGCATACTAATATAATGGGGGCGTTCACATATTACAGAATCACTGATGGAGGGGTGTCTAAATGATTACGCTAGTGTCATTTTAACACAATAACTATGCGAAAAAACTGATTACATACGTAATACTAATAATATTAGTATTACGTATTAGAAATATGTGAACAACCCCAAAGTAGTAATAGTAATTAGTAATAGTACTTACTTTGCAATAGTTATCCGGACATTTCTCTTCGGACTCATCGGACTCATCAGCACATTCAGCAAATCCATCACACACATCTTTAGCTTGCTTGTAGTCAATTTTTTCGCCGTCTTCGTCACAATACCTACGCGTGACATTCATAATAAATATAATTATGCCCAATTTGGTAAAGAACAGATTTTGGCTGCTAGCTCCACTGCTAGCTCCACATATTATTGCAAAACGCTTTACATCGCCCCTCTCTACAGTTATCATTTTACACGGTTAGAGGAACACGTGCTCGTCAAAACATTACTCTAACACTTTACTGATAATCTAAAATAAGAAATGGCTTATGGCAACGAGTGATTGCAAAACTTCTGTTAATCGGGACTCTTCGTTTCCCAGGAAGGTGAAAAATAACTTTCCCTGTATACAGAATCTAAAATGTTTTTTAAATAAAAAACCGAGTACAACTCGGAGTTGATATATAAATTATTGGAATTTCTTCTGAACTTACACGCCTGATGTTTCATCACAGTCCTTTTCATCCTCGGAGTCATCACATTGTGCAGTGCCGTCGCACTTGAATACATTTCTGATGTACCTGAAATGATGTGCTTTTCAATGGTAATAAATTAACTATTTTTGCAATATAGCGTATTACTTATACTATTAGTTATAGTTAAGTAATCATAGTTATAGTTTCAGTGATGGCATAGTCAATTTATCATTACAAAATAGAACTATCAGATTAACGATATTCCATAAAAAGTTGGTTGGAGTTTGTATCCTTACCCGTCATTCTCGTTCCTCTGACAATACATTCCTTTTTCCCCACAATTGAAACCACGGTCCTTATCAACATCTATCTTGTCCTCACAGACACCAACTGCAAGAATAAAATATGATAGTGAAGACTGAAGTAGGAAATTAATTTATACTCATACTCAAGTACAGAATAAAAACAAAAAGACACGCCGAACGAACGAATCTATCTCATATATAGAACAGTATCACTATCAGTGAACGAGGACTCAGTCTATGCAACATCCCCATTATACCCATTACACACATTGGCGTGAAAATGAAAGAAGATATGTTAAAGTTTTACTTACAACCGCATGCCTCGACGAACTTGATGTGGGAATTACCGTTATCCTTGCAATACAAGTATGCCTGTTTGTCAAATTGTACTGTGCAGTCTGTTCCGTTCACGTAGTGCTGAAATTTTTACAAAAAAAATTGATTTTAATTAATTTTGTTCAAGTTTGAGAACCAGAGAAAACTAAAAATTACAGAAATATATCATTGAAAGAACCAGATTTCCTGCCGATTTTTCGATTAAGTCATGATGATTATGATGATGGTTGAAATACTAAAGTCGACCTTCGCTCTAAAGATACACCTAATAAATAAAATGTAGGAACCTTTAAAAACTCAGAGCTACACGAGCAAATCAAGTCCTTTATAGTATCGGTCAGATCATGGTCCTGGTGACTTGCAGTTCTACTACACAAAGTGTAGTATTTTATGTAACAATTGGTTGGGTTCATTAGGTAGAATAGTGAGTCATCTGGACATTGGTACACTGCGTAACCATCTGCAATAACAATTACGAGTTATGCCTTAAACACCTAGTTGGTAGGTTAATAAAAAATACCTTGGTATGTTAATAAAAAACAACTTATAACTTAATAAGTTAAGTCTTAATTATGGCTAATGAGGATCCGAGGTAGAAGATCTATGAACAAATTAAGAATTGAGAGCCCATGAAATTATAAATTTGATTAATAAATCATACTTGATGGTTTAGAACATTGTGTTCTTAAAATGCCGTTAACTTCGACATTCCAACATTGGTCAGAGCATTTCTCCCTGAAGTACGCCTGGTTTTCCTCCAGGGTGACTTTGTTAAAATCTTTTAAGCTAACTTTCACGTCTTTCTGTAGTCTCTCGACAGTGCAATTAGCGGGAGACGTACCTGAGAAATTTGGTTACTGACAAATCCTTACTTAACTGGAGGTTCCCTGGCAGTTAAGGTTCCCTGGCAGTTAAAACCAACTTGAATCGATGATTTTAACGCTGATTCCGAATCACGTACACCCCACGGCCCACATGACTTAGTCACGTGATAGTCGAGTGTAGAGTGATTCATCACTATCCTAGAAATAATAGCATATCTAATGACCTTCAGTTGATTTTGTGCCCAGCGGTGTACATTCAAAGAAAGGGAACTCTTCGGAAAGTGCACAATAAAATGAATTAAAGTTAATGAAGGTTGTATAGAACTGCCCAGAGTTTTAGAATTTGGTAACATGATAGCTGGACTTGACGATACATCTGGTGACATTAAGTTCCACTCCGGCCCCGACCAGGGCCCGCCATTTTTACCTTCGAATCTTCCGTTTGTTCTGAGTTTATCAAATAGCACAAATTGTATTGCAGCTGCTACTTTAAGTTTCTTCAACCAGATTTATTCAAGGCATAAACTTTGCTGATACTTTCAACTTTTATTAAAATAGAAATATTGTGCTATTTGTTACAAGCTCCTATTTTACTCAAGCATCAAGACATTTGCAGTTTACGGAAGAAAATACTTGCTGAGAGTCGTACTCGGGATTGTAGCAATAACTGCTCGTTTACACTTATAGGGTTCCTCTACTTAATTTGGATAGCAAGACCGTGTTCTTATCCAATTCATCGCTCCTGGTCACTACCACTCATATTATGAAGATATGGCACATGAATTAGAGTGGTAGAAAGAGGAGCGTGATCGCGGATTTGCCCTCAGATTAATTGCTTTTCTTTGCTCTAATACTCTAATAGATCACTTGTAGCTCCTCTGCATTAACTCTACACAAGCTCTATATAATGTTATATGCCCGTGGCCCGTCCGTAATAAATTTTCTCCGCTGGTCGTTGAGGGCTATGCTAACTCAAATTCAAAATGTTCTTTGTCAAGATATTGCATTCAAGTTCTATGGATGAACCGGTTTCGTGTTCCACAAGTTTCGAAAATAATCAGCTAACACTAATTTAAATAATTTGCATCAGAAAATAGATTCTTACCTGAAGCCAAGGGAAGGAGTGATAAAATGATCGTTAAAATGCTGGGTATCATTTTTACATATCTTTTCTGAAAATATGGTTCAGTCGAAAATATAGAACAACTATAATGTTAGTCAAGTATAAATCAAGAAAAATACGTTATTGATTATATCATAATGAATAAGCAAAATGACCTATAGCCGAAAACATCAAATGACGATCACGAACGAAGCCAAATATTGTAGGTATACCACTGAATCATCTCTCGTTCAACCTCACCAAAACATTTCGTCTCATGAATACAAACACAGCACCTATAATACTTAACATAAATATGAATGGTTTCGAACTCTAACTGAATATTTAATGTACAAAATATAAAAGAGATATCACAGTGCACCGCTAAATTGTAGTTTTGTCCTATCAATAATATTTAATATTTGTAATAATTTTTTACCTATGAGCAGATTTGAGACACTAAGAGACCATTAACATTAAGAAATAATCCCGAATATCCCCTAGGCCAAGAGTAGAATCCGCAAATATCAGTGCCAACCCATAACCCCTGATACTTAACAGTTCTGCCGTTTTCTTATAAAAATGCTTAAAGACTACATTGACAAATTTTGGCAAATTTAGGCAAATTTAGGCATTTTAGGCGGTTCCAAAAGGGGGTTCCTGGGAGCCAGCGATTGGTTCTAATGGTTTCTGATGGTTTTCAGGGATAGTTCTTGACCCAAAAAGAAATTTGGGTTAAATAATTCAGAATTTCAAAAATAGCACATTTGTCAGAAAACGGCAGAGTTAACATAATATGGAATATGAATGGATCCCAACTAAAACTGACAATTTTGGACTTTCTAATGTTCCTATAGTTTTATTCTTTAATGTCAATAACTGCGGTGTCGTTATCAAATACTAGTATCAACGCTAAGATAATAGAAACTACTGGAGCCTGGAGGTCCAATTAACACACTGATACTGAAACACATCTCTGATAGCGTAATTCCTAGGCTAAGGGAGGCGGAAGCAATAACAAGCTGATCTCAGTTCTCAATGTAAAGAGTTATAGTATCCTGTACTACTACTACTACTAGTACCAGTAGTACTTCTAGTCAACAATAGATGAATAGACCCTGCACTTCATTAAGATATCACTGCATCAATATACATCTAGATATTCTATGTACATTGTATAATGCAGTGTGTCTTCATTACTTCCAAGCTGGTCTACAGTCTACACCATCGTGTAGAGTTTGATGAATTAAATATAAAAGAGGCATCACAGTGTACCGCTGAAAGGCAGTCTTCTCTGACTAACAATATTTAAGAAGAGACACTCCTTACTCCTAATAAACGTTCTGAAGAATATTTTAGGGTCTCAGAGCAATAGAATAATGCAATATGTTCAATAATCAACAGTTTATCTTTCTTGTGGTGGGCTGCAACACTCATCAGTTCTCAAATATATTTAAACACGGCGGGCCTCACTCAAAAACCCTGTGCTGGATACTGAGCCTTATATAGCATTGACCAAGTAATAAATAACGCTTCACATTATTAAATATCACTGCTGAATGCTGATGAGGATTTATAGCCTCACGGAACTCACGAGAATACATCCAACAACAGCTGATGGATTCAGGAACCTCTCTGGCTCATTTATTCCTCACTAGATTTAGAAATGTACAAATTTAATCTGCCTAATGTTGTTATAGGTTGTCGACGTTGATTGTCAATGTTACGCTAAAATTGTAGAATTCCTCTTAAGTTAATAAAATCAAAGATGTGGTAATATAAGAAAACAGCTACAGCTATAAAATATCTGAAAAAAGTAATAAATTAGAAACGGACTGTAATTAGTAAAACAATGAATTATACGAGAGAACAGAGCCCTGCACCCCTACTCAACACTAAAGTAAACGTTAAAGTTTTACAATTCACATGCACGTACCTTTAACGAAAGATAAATAAACGTAATAAGTCTCAAGAGGGTAACATTAAAGATGGAATTATTAATGAAGGTAAGCCCGACCGCCCCTCCGACGTGGTTCCGCAGTAACCACTAATGATTTTAGGGGACACCGTTTGGATCGGTCAACGGACAATATTATATGTGAACACTGGTAGTGAGCGAGAGAAACTTTACACCTGAATTATTCCACCTCAATTATTATCTGAACAATAAAACTTACAAACTTACGTTTCCGCGGGAGTAAGCATTCTAAGTTACAGTTACACATCGTAAAGTTGTAATAACGTTATTAGGTTGCTTCATCAAAATATTGAATTCTTTCGAAGTCGAGTATTTAACGACAGAAGCTTAATTATAATGCAGTAGCAAATGTCGACAAACCTTTCCAAACGATTGAATAGTTCAGAGGTAGCCATTTGATTAGATGAGAACAAATTAACAGCAGGCCCAACGGGCGGTAATGCAAAAAAAGTATATATTTTGGGTGGATCAAATTGTTTACTGGACCAGGCTATACCACTCAGAATTAGAATTTTAAGCCAGGTGGGCAGAATTTGGGATTAAATGTAGATCATCTTACCCACCAATTTATAACGAGGTGTTGAGGAGTCATGCCTTGTCAGTTCCCATATGAACTATGACGTCGGCTGAATTAAGCAAAATTGTAGATAAAGCCTAAAGCTTGGAGAAAAAGGAAAGTTTAAGAGATAAAATGATATAACAAATTTATGGAATTTATCAACTTTTATTTCTAGTTGGTTCTATAGTACAGTAAACAGTTCTAGTTCAGAGATCACAAGATATTTATTTCCCGCGATTGACTGATTGTTTCATGTAGTGTTCGCGTGTGCAAATTATACCTCAGAGAGAAACTTAAGTTGCCGATATGCGGTAGATATCAGATGCTTATATAATATATATATTTAACTTATGTTTAAGTGGCTTATAAAAAGCTTATTGAATTGCATAAGATGGTATTAAATGTCGACAAATTGAAACTTCGTTGACTAATTGGAACTACCTTGTCTCACGTCGTGACCCTCATCTTCATTTCATTTAATAAATGTACCGTGACGAAAGCTGGCCTACAACGTGAGGCAAGAACCACCGTACTGAAAAAATAGTTATATTGTTCGACCTCAAAATTGATATCAACCTTAAGTTTTTCGACTCTCGATTTCATTTAAACATATTCCAATGAAAAATCATATTATCTAAGTTCGGTTATCAAACTACAATTGATCACACTAGAGGCCAGAGAGACGCTAGCAGGATACCAAAAAATACTTAATGCATATATATTTATACGCATGATCAAAAACAATTTGGTTTAAGTTGAAATTCATAAGCTTCATTCCCCATTCATAATCATACTTTTATGAATTGTCGAAAATGTGTTTCTTGACAATGTGCTTATCGACTGCCAACATAGAAATCAAGATTTAAACTCATAATAAAGAATTGAGTTATCTGATTTACATAATACAGTCTACGTGGTAACACTGGAAGCCACCATGAACTAAGTATTTATATTACGCTACGTAACACTGAAATCTGGATGGTTTCGAATGGCACGGTGACTTAATCTCCCAAACCTTCTATTGAAATACAGTAAACGGGTATTTACAGCATGACTTCCAAAAGCAGATCTGAGTTTAGTTGTGTTTGCTGTTTCAGACTTTTAGATAAGGCAATATGTCACGCGTTCAAGCGTTAAACCATTCACTTACTCAGCATTTCAAACTTTTCTGTTTCGGATTCTTGCTTATCTCGCCTAGTTTTTCTTGCTTATCTCGCCTAGTTTACAGTTCACGCCATACACTAATTGCATTCGTTTGTAATTTTGTTGTCTCTTATCAGCTTGCTTATCTAGCCTAGTTTAAGCCATGGCTACTGCTAACGACAAGGAGTTGGAGGATCTGCTCGGGAAATGTTCTGCTTGGATACCTAAAGGCTAAAGCGATGGAAATTGAAACAAGTCGGGTGCACTGCTCCAATTGACGTGACGTCAGCAGTGTGTAAACGTGCGATTAAGAACACTTGGGCATTATTGTTTTCTGAATCGTTCCACTTTGTTCGGTTTCAGGCGGAAAAAATGAAACTGCTGAAGGCTGAGCTGAGCTCCATCAAGAGCCAGCTAATTGAGAATCAGACTTGGGTAATCATGGCTTACAGGAGCAGATTATCGACAACAAGGAAAAGCAGCTCAACGCAGTAAAGACTGTGGTCAAATCTTCAGTAGAGAGCAACTTGAAAGAACAGTTCAAGTCATACAGTGAAGCTGCTGCGGAGAACGTTATGGTCTGCCAGACTGATGGTTTGCAGATCCGGCTACACTGAAGAAATTGGTCAAGTCCGTCGTCCAGGAGGAGGATCGGAGCAGGAACGTTGTATTATTTGGACTGCCAGAACAGAAGGACGAGAATGTTGAAGACTAAGAGCGGGTACAGGAGGTATTCCAGGAGACTCTGCAGGCTACCAGAGTAAGAAAGATTCGTAAAAAGAATTCGAAGCGCCCAGTCAAGGTTTCGTTATCAAGTCACAGCGCTGTCCATCAAGTACTATGTCAAGACAAGTAGCTGCGCCACTCAGCGACTTTCAACAAAGTGTATGTGAGACCAGATCGCTCCGAAGAAGAACGATCTCAGGACAGGCTCCTGGTTCACGAACTGGTGAAGAAAAGAGAAATGGAACCGGATAAACTGCATTTCATATGATCGGGGACAATTCACTCAAAAGACAAGCCAGTCGAGTGATGATGATTGATGTGTGTTGTGGCTGTGGTATGTGTGCGGTTTTTAAAGATGGTGAATGTTTATGCATACCACCTTGCACTAGCTTTTCTTGTTTTCGCTCCATATGAGCTCACAAAACTTCATAGTTTTCGCAATATTTTGGTTTGATTTCATTTTAGGCTATTAAAGTGTTGTATTGGGGTGAGTTCATACTAAACATGAACCATGTAGTGTGCAGTGCCCTGAACAGTGAACTGGTGAACAGAGGGATTATTTATTCACTATTATTTTATATGTTTTAATTGGTCATTAGAACCGCCTGCACCGTCCAGCTTTCAATCGATCGTATAAGTTGAGTTTAACTTACTTATTTGTTTTACAATGCAAAATAGTTTCAAGGCTTTCTATGAATTTGAAAGAAGCTGTCTCAAGCTGTGACTCATTGAGAGTGTGGTAGAAGTGTAGTCTTTTCAAGTTTACGGTTATTATTTTTCAATTTTCACAGCAGAGTTGAAAAATATCAATTTTAGTAGAACAGCGCCCAGTTTTCTCTTTGCGATTTTTTTATGACTTCCTTTGATATCGTGGACTTTGAAAAAGTATTAAATTAGCAATCTGAAGACAGTGCCTTGAATACATGCATACAAATGTAACGCAATAGGAACGGTCCAAAGCAAATGCCTTCCTTTCTGCACCACAAGTTTTCTAAATCAAAAAAGATCTTTCACATTAATTATTTAATTGTATTGTAACCAGCAGTGTAATTATACTGGACTAGTGGAACCCGTGCCTACGGTCGGGACTTCACTATCGCAGTTGAATTGCATCAATTAAGCCACTAGGTACTCTTGTACTTGTTAAGACCAGGAGGTACGCAATTTTGCCGCTGTTTTCGACAATATGTCAAAGAATGAATGTGATAGAATTTAATCAACTGAAAACCTTTAACACATGTTATTTTACAGTTTCTGTAACATCAATACGCCGTATAATATTTCCAAAACCCCTTTTATTTCCAAACATGCCATTTAATGTTAAATCTCCGTTTCTCTCTCTTCCAGGGGTGTAGGAATGATTTTCTTCATGAGGGGGCCAAATTCTAAATATTTTTTGGCGCTTCGCGCCACAGCATAAATTTTTTGGCGCTTCGCACCAAAGCCTTAATTTCGGGGGCCTCACGACAAATCGCGATTTTTTTCAGTTCTCCACGTCATATTGCGCATTTTCCTTTAAATCTGAGGACCAAATATCACGTTTTCTATAATTAGTATATGAAACCAATCAGTGTCACTTCCACAACCTTCCAAATGTAGGTACTTCAAAAAAACCGAAAAAAATATTTTCGGCTCAGAATGATCAGGGTAGTATAGCAACAAAAGTAGTTTCCAAGAAAACTTTGAAAATTTTTGACTTCGAAAATTTTCGGTCCAAGTCATTCTCGAAACGTACCTCTGAAAGCTTAGCTCCCGCTTCCGATATCGTATTGCGAAGGGGAGGCCAGCCTTCCGAGATCCCATTACAAAGGGGAACCCTCGAGTCCAAATTCGTATATCGAACCTCGAAAACCGAAAAAAATATTGTTGGCTCATAATGATCAGGGTAGCATGAAACATGAACAAAAGTAGTTTCCAAGAAAACTTTAAAAATTTTTGACTTAGAAAATTTTCGGTCCGAGTCATTCTCGATACGTACCTCTGAAAGCAGAGCTCCCGCTTCCGATCTCGTATTGCGAAGGGGAGGCCAGCCTTCCGAGATCCCATTACAAAGGGGAACCCTCGAGTCCAAATTCGTATATCGAACCTCGAAAACCGAAAAAAATATTGTTGGCTCATAATGATCAGGGTAGCATGAAACATGAACAAAAGTAGTTTCCAAGAAAACTTTAAAAATTTTTGACTTAGAAAATTTTCGGTCCGAGTCATTCTCGATACGTACCTCTGAAAGCAGAGCTCCCGCTTCCGATCTCGTATTGCGAAGGGGAGGCCAGCCTTCCGAGATCCCATTACAAAGGGGAACCCTCGAGTCCAAATTCGTATATCGAACCTCGAAAACCGAAAAAAATATTGTTGGCTCATAATGATCAGGGTAGCATGAAACATGAACAAAAGTAGTTTCCAAGAAAACTTTAAAAATTTTTGACTTAGAAAATTTTCGGTCCGAGTCATTCTCGATACGTACCTCTGAAAGCAGAGCTCCCGCTTCCGATCTCGTATTGCGAAGGGGAGGCCAGCCTTCCGAGATCCCATTACAAAGGGGAACCCTCGAGTCCAAATTCGTATATCGAACCTCGAAAACCGAAAAAAATATTGTTGGCTCATAATGATCAGGGTAGCATGAAACATGAACAAAAGTAGTTTCCAAGAAAACTTTAAAAATTTTTGACTTAGAAAATTTTCGGTCCGAGTCATTCTCGATACGTACCTCTGAAAGCAGAGCTCCCGCTTATGAGCTCGTATTGCGAAGGGGAGGCCTGCCTTCCGAGATCGCATTACAAAGGGGAACCATCGAGTCCAAATTCGTATATCGAACTTCGAAAACCGAAAAAAATATGTTTGACTCATAATGATCAGGGTAGCATGAAACATGAACAAAAGTAGTTTCCAAGAAAACTTAGAAAATTTTTGACTTAGAAAATTTTTGAGTTAAACATTTTTTGACTTGGAAAATTTTCGGGAAAATTGTTTTTCCAAAAATGTTTAGAAACCTAAATTAAAAAGTTGGCCCTTTTTGGCCACTTGCCCAGATTTCATGGGGGGGCGATGGCCCCCCCTGCCCCCCCGCTTCCTACACCCCTGGACTCTCTTTAGTTTGTTTTGCGTGACCTTCTTTGATGTCGTGAACTTTAAAATAGTATTCGCTATGTTTCGCAGCATTTTAAGTCTTAAATGTCATCATACCACCTGATTTAACTTATTAAGTATTAACCGTCCACTCAGAGCAATGGAACGTCTAAAAGAAGAGGAGCAGGAGGAGGAGACAGGAGAAGATAAACTGTCTGATAGAGTCAGGTTCCCAAACAAAGGGAAGGATTACGTTGTTCTACCCACCTCTGATCAGGTACACATATGTAATAACACTGAGAGGATAAAAGATAAGGCCCCGTGGAAACTAGGAAATACCAAAAATAGCATAACGCCAATTAATGAAGAAGAGTATGCCAGTTAATTAGTTAACACCACTTCAGGAATCAGGATAGAGGGAGTGGTTGGGTATGTCCCATATCCTAGCACATTGCCTAAACATCCAGTAGTATACATATAATGATCCTTGACCTAGGTGGCAAGTTTGCTCCATAAAAATAACAGTAATAATAATGCCACATATTGGGCAGCGCAGAAAGTTTATTTATCACTGACAAAGGATTAGCAGCTAAAGATCAGACGTTTAAATATTGCATCAGTGATGCAGCATCACTGTATGATACTGTAATTTAGTGTAATTTATAGATCATAGGTGGCCTTTAATCATTGCAGTGCAGAAATAAGTCTATAATCTGTTATTAACCCAGACGAGCATAAAGCGCAGATAAAATGCCATTTAAATGCAATAAATGATTTACACACATAACATCAGTGATGCCAATAAAAAGCTATCTAAACTGCTAGGCTACCCAGACTAGGGACACAACTTGTCACTTTAGCAAATGACCATTTAACAGCTTTAAATCTTTAATATCACACTCCTGCACAACATCCCCGACACGCATGGACCATCAACAATAGTCGTATCGACCGCATGCAACATCAGCCTTAAAGTTATTGTCAAAGTGGTTGAGGAGATAACCGGCTTAGTGCAGCTGAGCAGTCCATTAAACAGGCCGCTCTCGCGTGTGTACAGGTGTTTATATTTTAGAGTGGTCGGACGATTATATTGTGCGTAAGTAGGTCGGTTAGTTGAGGGGATCTTGTTGCGAAACACTTTACCAGTTAGAAGGAGCTACTTTTTTACGATTATATAAATATACGATTATATAAACATACGATTATATAAATAAACGATTATATAAATATAATCGTAGTGGCGGTCATTGCCGTTCTCGCCATCTATGAGTATGCGAGAAATTAGGATCTTCGATGCCAAAAATAGCGAAAAAACATGGATGGTAACCTAGACTAGTGAATAAAATGTTAATAATCATCATTGACATAACAGTATCATTAAAAACGAAGATGCATTTACCCAAATTAAAAAATCTACTCTTCAGCCACAAGACGCGGCGGAAATACAACGACAGAGAAGACGAAGAGTTTTCATAATAGGAGGAGCAATCTCAGCAGTGGTGATCCTACTTGTAATAGTACTGTGTGTGGTGCTGCTAGTGGTCAAGAAACCCGGCATCAATGTGAGTAATTAGGACTCGAAAACTCCGTGACAAATGAAGACAACGCACATTAAAGGTCTGTACACGTGCACTTAGTACATAGACATGCGTTGCCTGTTTGATTAATTTGATCGAAGAAATCCTTTAAAATTAAATTGCTTTTAAGTGCTCTGGTGAGGCAGAGAATTCAATCAAAGCCATACTATTCGACATAATTCCGGTGAACTAAATGATTTGGGAACGTAAATATGGGATTTTTTTCCGAAAGCCACCGCATTTCGTACCTTTTAAATATGTCTCGTAAGGTATGGTCTCTAGAAAAGTCACCAGATCATAAGTCGATATAATAAAATTTCTGCCCTAAGTAATTAAACGCAAAAAGGATTTTCAAGGCTCGTGTAGCAAAATCGTAATTGCAAAATCGCATCGTAACTTTGTGATTGATAATGTTTCCATGAAAGCCCCCTGTGGATGCTGGCATATGTTGCAACAAAAATATATAAATATTGTAATGAAATGCAATGAACTGAAAATATTGAATGTTTAAACGATATATCATTATTCACTCATTTAGGTCCCGTTTCTACTTTGCGGCCTTTAATTACTGGCACTACAGTGTGACTACAAAGCTAGCTAGATCACATAAGTATGATCCCTATTTTCACAACCCTGATAATCACCACCCTGGTGAGAATCGAGGGGTTCTGTTAAATAGATAGATGACGAGGTTGAATAATGTTGTTTTAAAGTTTAAACGGTGCCCTACTAGACAACAATGTTGACAAAACAAGGGAGAAACGAATTTGTAACTGATGGTAATTGCTTAAATTGTTCAGCTACAACAAATTATCAGTGACTGTTGATTATTGACAGAGGACATATTGTATTGTCCGTAGTAAATTACCGTTTCAGTCCTCAAATAATTGTAATTAAATATGACGTTGACACACATAATAGAAATTATCTTAGCAGCTCAAAGGAATTTTGAGGATTCAGAAATGGTTGTGTTAAGGAAAGAAAATGGTGCTTAGTTTGTTAAGTAAAGAAAATGGTGCTTAGTAAGCTATCTTCACTATGGTTATTGTATAATATATATTTATTATTTAGTAAATAATATTGAGCGAGTAGAAGTTTTGGCAATTTCATTACCTTAGTTCTGATTCTATGATGACGAAAAGAAACTTTTCGAAACGTTTTCCATAGGGAATTATAGAGTTGGTTCGGTAAAGATTTTGTTTCGCAAAGTACAATCTGTGATAACGGAATATTCTAACAATCAGTATTCCAAACCATTGATCCCTTGACTATTATAGAATTAGGACTCATGCCGCGTGCGCGGAATTTATAAAACGATAAGAGTCATTAAACTTTATATTTAAGTAAAGTAATGTAACCATATATATATATTATATAAATATATTATATTAAATATATTATATTAAATATATTATATTTAACTTTATATAAACTGTGCACATCATTAGGATAATTTATTTCTTTGCCCCTGAGATTTATCACCCCTGAGATTTATCACCATTATTAGTCTAATACCTCTATAACTGCAAGGTAAAATTAATCATAGTTAAAGTTGAGACTTGATGGCCTGAACCAGCGTTCAGTAGTGGATATTATCTCCATAATCACAACCGTTTTGCTGGAAGTTGGCAAGATAAACGGCCTCGTGGCAATGTGCTCATCATGCGTAGTGAGCTGTGAACTTCTTCTTTTGATAAATTTCACTCGCCGACCGGGGCCTGGTAGATTACTGCAGCTGCTGCGCCATTCCTCTACCGGCTCGTAATATTTAAAGCTAACATATTTTAAGGCTAATCTTACGAGAGATCATGGGCCGATTTGCAATAAATTCTTGTAATCACTGCTTTTACTTGGTCAATGATGAAAGAAAAGCTTCTTAAAATAATCAAATGACAAATCTGTCATGAGCCAACGTAACTGTAAGAAAATGGTTGGCTCATTTTACCTAGCTTTGTCATGCTAACAGCATGTTGAGAATCGAGTAGCTGACAAAATTGGGCTACAATCTTTGTTTTTATGGAAGTTTTTATGGATTAGAGCCGGCCTAATTAAAGCTCAAAGTTATAATAAAATTAAATGCTAAAGTTCGTAGATCGATTTCTTGAATTATATAAGACTAATATTAGTAAAAAGAACGCCCAAACAAAATATGTACTATTATAAGATTTTAATCGACTTCTTCCTCTCCTGTGTGATGCCGCATTAAAAACATCGCTCAGATCGTATAAGGATTAGTCTACGACAGTTCGAATAGTATGTGATATTATTGGCTATTGCACAATTTATATTATGTTCATTGTGATCGCAAGTCATCAAAGACTTTAAACTATTAATAAGTGTAATTTTTGGTGATAATTATGAGCTTGTTAAAATAACTTTAGGTTTAAGAATAAGTTTAATAAGTATAATGAAAAGAGTTTACAAAATAAATAAGTTTCGAACACGCCCTCTGGACCGGGCTGAACTTATCACTTATGAAATGTAACAAAACTTAACAACACCCCTGTTGAAAATAGGTGTAGTTAAATTTGAAGAAAGGGAAATGTTGTGTTACCTTCTGTACCTCGTATCTCTGATGAGGCATGTGATCATCTTGTGACCTACTCATCAGGTCACGTGACTAAGTGATGACGTCATCATCATGTACGTGAGTCGACTTCGGAAAAGTAATTTCAATTTCAAGGTACAGTATGTACTCGCTATTACTTTGCAAACACTACGGTTATATTACTAAAGTTATTTGTGGGATAGTTCAAAAATCAATCAATACTGACTATGGCAGTCATTGAAAATGAGATATTTCGAATCGATAAGAATCATCATCAACTCCTGAAAACTTGATATTAGATCAACTCAATATAATCATCCCCCTTCTCAAAGTTCTATGACTGCATGACTATAATTTAAAAAGCGTTGGTCATGATGCATGGGGTTAAAGAGTTAAACGATGTGGTCGCGACAAAACTCAGCGAATGATCGACTCGCATTAGTCTCGGATATCGACAGTCTGATATTTGCAACCTTGAGCGACTAGAGTAGGTTGTGAACTTATAATCTGAGACGGTGTGTGTCAAATTGGAGTGGTACAAACAATAAAAAAGCTATATACGTCTGTGCTTTAGAGTGGCTATTATACACATTTTATAAATACATAGTAAATAATGCACAACATGGAATAGTCGTAATCTAAGGAAGTGAGAGTGTGCAACTTATGTAGATTGTTGAGCTTGATGAGGTAGACTCAGTATAAAAGATAAACCGTTCATGAACTGAATAAATTAATATAATTAACTGTTCTGTTCATGAACGGTTTATCTTTTATGCTGAGTCTACCTCATCAACAACATACCGTAGATTGGGGTAAAATCGCCGTGTCGGGGAACTTCGCCACTATTTTTCAAATAATCATTTTACTGTTTTGAATTGTTAGGAGATCGAGTTTTTGTATAGTATTGTGTTGAACAAATGGTTATGAAGGTATTCCTATTCAAAAATAAACGTTTACTATGTCAATTAAACTCAGGCAACATGAAATATTGCTATAAAGTGGTTAAAATTTCCTGCTTGCATATTTCCCATATTTTACAATTATATCCTTAATTAATTCTGTGTGACATCATTAGCATATGTCCTGTTCATTTAAGGGCAAATTTAGTTAGCCATGATGCACACAACTGATATTATAAAGTTTTCAAATTTGTGTGTGGCGAAGTTACCCTCTTCTGATCCCATCTGTTCGGCGAAGTTTGGCGCGAAATTCGCGCGCGGCTGGCAAAGTCACGCACGTGTATTGGCGAAGTTCGACTACATTTCTACTTCATCCCGGCGATGTTACCCGCAGCATGGCGATGTTACCCCGGCGACCAAATTGCCCATTGTAACACGCAGGCTAGAGCTAGATAAGTAAAATTGGCAGGTATATCAAGGAAATATAATTGAGTTTCGAGTGGTATGGTGCTTAGCACCGAATATGGTATAGTTTCAGAATGGCGAAGTTACCCCATATTGCAGGGTAACTTCGCCCTGATTTCAGTGGCACCAATCTAGCTGACTATTTATGCCTGGCTGATGTGGTTCATACGAAAACATTTGCTTTACCAATCCTGTTCATATGAGCTATAAACTTTTTCAAGTACTCCTGTCGTATTTTCTAAATAACATGAAATAACTGTAAAACATGGCGAAGTTCCCCCATTCTACGGTACATAAGGTTAAGTGTTAATCAATACACGCGACCCTATTATACAATGATGAAGACGGCGAAAATTAATTCCAACCTAGAATACTCTGTTTAAGATCTCATGACGTTTGATCCCCAACCAAACTCAAAAATGTCCGAACATTATTCTTACTCTTTCCAATCACTAATTTAAAGTTTTAAAACTGACCTGATCCCAACCCAAAATCTGAACTTTGAATTAAACTGGGGTATAATGGACATACTCTTAAAAATCAAAACTTAACAGGTAAATGACGAGGACCCAACAGAGTCAGAACCACTCCCTGATACAGCTGACATGATAACCTGCACTTTGGCAGGACTGAACCCGTCCAAGGTATCAACACCATCAATACTAACGGTCGTAAATTTAAATAACCTTTCAAATATTGGTCATGGATGCTCAAATCAAAAGAAATTTTGTAAATTAGAGTTTACTGTCTCCTTATTTTTACAAGCATCAGCTTAGTACTAAGTACTTACCCAGGGAATGTGTGAAGTGTCAGGATGCGAGTTTAGGAGTACGGAAAATTCTGATGGCTCCACTTCTAAAAGGTATTATTTCTACTTATAACTCCTACAATCAATGCAACCTTAACTTAATAATTTGAAAAAGGAATATCCTCTATTTTCAATTTAGTTGTTATTTGGGAAACAAAGGGGAGATTTATAATCTCTTTTATTTATTATTTTGTAGGTACTCACCTTCATATTGCAACAAGAACTTATGAAAAGTGCTAATGACAAGTGCTCAGGACACATAAAATGTGATGCAAGTCATCAATCATATTCATTACATGCTGATCATTCTGCGCTGATCAATATTCGATTCCAACACTTACTATAAAGTACTAAACCGCTAAATGCTCGGGCGCTTATATACGTCAAATATGAAATATTTAATGTACTAACGACCACGACTCTGACACTGAAAATGTCTATACTGAGTTAATATTTATACTGTAAACTTACTATCCTGAACAAAGGTTCCCATGTCAGCTGGGACAAAAGAGACAGGTCTCAAACATTAATAGGCGGCAGTAATTTAGAGAACAAACTACTGAGGACTGTAGTTTTAGTTACATGCTCCTTTTACTTCTGACATCATATGCGGGTAATATTGAGGGACAGGACCTTTTATGTTCTTTTTTATTCAACCAATAACCTTAGATGGAAAGTACGTACGGTACAGGGCTTTAAGTACGTACGGTACAGCTACTTTTAAAGGTACGTACGGTACAGGCAATGTAAGGTACAATTTTTTTTTCAAATTTTTAGAATCAACTTCAGTGAATTACTTGCAATTTTTGATTAGTATTATCATCATAATTTTTGAGACAGAACTATAGAAGTCGAAAATAAACACACAAATTAACCGGTACTACACTACTACTACTTGTAATTATCGTTAAACTCAAAGCTTCATCCTTTTGTTGCAGTATACGAACACCAGCTTTTCAGCTAGCTCAAGTCGCAACCTTAATCTACGCTTGTCCATTGCTATCCACTGGATTTGTACCTTTCAGCCTACTTTATTAAGTACGTACCGTACAGCTAAGTTAAAGGTACGTACCGTACGTACTTGCCATCTTAGCCAATAACCACACACCCTGCTTCACAGGGACAAAAGGATTTCGCGGTTATTTTGGCCAAAAATCGCGATACCGCGAATTACATTTCGCGGTATATTAAACTATACATACAATTTTTCGCAAATAATGGGAAAAATCGCGATTCCGTACATGCCGCGATTTCCTTTTGTCCCTGCTGCTTCATACTTTTATTAAACCTCAATAGCAACACCCTTGCTATGTTGAAACCTATGCAATATCAATAACTGATGGGTCCGGGGTTGTTCGGGGATTGTACGTGGTTGTTCCAAATTTCCTTGATAGAACCACGGTTTCAGGTGCGTCTATCCTAAGAAGAGTTCGTACTCGGTAGAGAGCAAGAACACGACGAGCACAACAGTGCGGATAACTCTTAAACTGGCTGATAAATCATCGCTGCATAAAAGAGATGCTGTTTCTTCGTAAGTTGGTTAAAATAATTGGTAATTTATTTAAGTTGCATCCGAGAAGCCTGGCGGTCAACATTGTTCATAACAACTGTTTATAGACCACTATAAATTTATGGGTAGTTTTATACTGCCAAAGGACAGATTATTTGAAACTACAGAAAATTAAAATTGCTAACACTATGATTGAAGTTTTAAAGACTTGTAACCGGAGGTTCCACGTAAGGCCAATGTAAATAAGGCCAACGTAAATATTTCCAAAACATACAGTTTTGAAAATATTGAATAAGATTAAGGAGTAGCCTTACTAATACTTCGGCCAAACAAGCATCGCTTGTTTCCGAAGATCAGAGAGAGGCTAGGGTGGATAGCAGAACTGTAATATTAATAAACTCTGGAAACAATGAACTGTGCCAATTTCAAAGTGAGATTCCGGTCATTATCATGATTATTGAGTTCGGTTTGATTCATCTGGCCAGAGTCGACTGCTCACAAAATGATTAACTGACAACGTGGCCATTCTCTCACAGTGTTTGCTACTGTCAAGCTTATCTTTGATTCTGTATCTAAAGATTATAAATGATGACTAAACCGTCACTGAATAACTGTAATTATTCGTCCCAAAATTCATGATTACTAGAATTCTGAATCCCCATCAGTGAAGCAGACTATTTGAACTCTACTCTTGATACAACAAGTGGAGACGAAGAGACAGGTGGAGACGAGGAGACAAGTGGAGACGAGGAAGAAGTGAAGAGTAACCCCTTAGCAATTCTTCCGGAGACTCTTTACGTGCTGATAACCAACGAAGGCGGGAGCACTTTACGAATAAAGGTCAGTAATCTGTAAATGTTGAGATTCTGGGAACTACCTTTTTAGATGATTACTTATTATGCTGGTGCTTGTCTGCTCTTTTGTAGCTCCTGTCTCCTCTCCCACATTAATTAGACCTGGATAAATAATCCTGGAAAAGGGATACAATCCGTCGTATATAAGCACTATAAAAACGGCATTACTTGGAAGCAAATTAAAGTAAGCGGGCCCAGTTTGAGATTTGACAATTTGGAGATTGGTTATAGAGCGCGCAGCTTTCCCATAAATATTTATGATAATTTCCGGAAAACTTTATAGCTGTCTCACAGCTAGCATGAGAGCAAAATACTACCCGATAGCGTGCACACAAGCATGTCTTCCCAATCAGGCCAACTAGTGTCGTGTCTATCAATAATTGGTACGGCTAACAAAGCAACATAAATACCAGAAATTCACAAGAAATTAAGACAGCAAGAAAGACAGTGTTATATACCTTACAAAGAAAGTAAACGATAACTGCCTGATAACTGTGCGTGCAATGAATGAGTTTGCAAATGATTAGATTGAGAGGGATGAGTTTAGGAGAGTGAGGGTTTAGGAGAGGCTGAGAACTAGTAATACTCTGATTAAAACTAGATATCTCAACAACATATCTCTGTAAACAACCATGTTATTGGAGAGATAAGCTATCTTAACCTAAGAGTCCGATTAATATAGTACAAAGGCCTCCTCAAGGTGGCATTACTATCGGATATGATATTCCTCAAAGTTGGATCTGATTATCATGATTCTGGGGGGCCTCCCGCACAGAGTTGCAAGTCATTTGCGGTTGTATGGTATAGTTAAATGTCTTGTAATACGCTCGTAAGTATAACCGGGTCAGACATGGGTTTCTGATTAGGCCGGCTGAGGCAACTGTTTTTACCATAACATCCATTTTTAAATTCGATTGGTTGTTTAAAATATCAAACGCAACTCTTAATCGAAAACTACATATGCCTATAAATGGAAGCTATCACACTATCTCAGGTATCAACAAGCCACTCGGACGACTCGGACGAAGAGACTGGACCACCCAGCAAGAGGGATCTGACGAATAGTAATTTTAAGCTAACTACAGCGGGACAGGGAGACCCCTTCTACATCATCGTCAGTAGGATTAGTAATGGTGAGAGAGCTCTTAAATGTTTATAATACTGCAGATTCCATTTACTGACTTAAAGCGGCTTCAGCGTCCGAATGAAAAATCAGTGAAAATACTGAATTGGCATACTTAAAAATACGTTTAGATAAAAAAAGTTAGTGATATGAAAACAAATACCTAAACTAGCATTTGCTTGAATTAATGTTGAATGTGGATTAATTCGATTATGAATAAAAGTTTTCCGAATAATTAAAATCAATACTACTGTAAATGTTTCTATTAAATTCTGAACCAGTAACCGACTTAGAATCGAACCTCTAGTATAAGTACGAGTACATACGACAACCAAACTGGCAACTAAACTACTAAACAACTAACTGGTTGGGTGATAAACTCAGCCCCGAACAATGATACCTCAAGTAGATAAACAATAGAAGGCAGGATGTATAATAGAGTGTGAAGTGTGCAAATAGTGAAGCAGTTAAACAATAAGCTGATAATTAGGGTCCCTTTGCCATTTAAAACCACTCTTGTAAAACTGGCGCTCAAACACATTACATGGCAAAATTCTAGAAATTGGATTTAAAAGCATTTCGAAACCACTCTCCCCATTTCCACTACAAAGAGTTTCAACTGTCAAGTAACAGACTATACAGAACTTTGGATTTGAACATTAAAAGATAAATACTGCCTAGCGAGAATGTAATACTCATAGCATTAGCAGGTAAAGACTGTCGAGCTGAGTGATTATTGGGAATATTACCGCGTCAGGAAATAGTTACAATTGACATTGAAACATTTCCCAAGGTTTTAAGATGGTGTTGACAAAGCTAAATTGTTTTTGAATTATAAATGTGAATAACAAGTTCCAGCTGATAAACCGTTCGAGCAGCCACGGGCCTTCACAGACCATGTGCATTTGTGTCAGCATAGATGAAATGTTCCAAAAAGAAAGACACGAATTTACAAGTAGAACAACAACAAAAACAACAAACAACAACTCGTAAACAAGGTACCTTTTGGTGGGAAATGAGCTGAGATCATTCTCAAAGTAGGCTTTGGCAATAGCATATTTAAAGAGCCTTGCAGCTAAATGAATACGAAATTTCGAGAGCTATGTTAAATATTCGATATCTGGACTGCTGTAACAAAATTGTTACCGATTTACAACGAAAATAATAGCTAAATATAGCTGGTTGCTCTTTCATAAACTAATTTACACAAGTTTAAAACCGTACCAATGTTTCGTGAACACCCTGTAAATAAATCAACATAACAAACAAAATGATAACAAAGCGTCTTCGATTAAAAATGATCTCTGTTCCTTGCCAGCCTATCTATTTGCCTAATCTTGCGGAACAGTGTGTAAAACGGAGCATGAGGTCCTCAGGTAATCCGTGCCTTGCCAATTTGTCCTTTGATCTGACCCAAATTTCGCTATCTAATATTTATATAGATAAATATACACGAACTAACTTTTAAAAAAATTTAATTAGACGAACAAAATTGTAAAACAACTGGCTCTTAGGGGTACGCTTTAAATTTACTACATTATGCTTAGATGTACAATGAAAAATAATATGTATATGTTACGAACTATATTGAGAAGAGTGAGCTAACAATATAAATGCGACCTGATCAGTGACCTGGGATCCGCTCTAAGCACGGGAGTGACTGAGAAATTGGATCACTGCCAACACCCCACAGAGATAAGACCACTGGGTGGAAACTTTGCAGTTGAGAATGTTACTCTTCAGAAATTCGTCATAGCATCCATCATATTATCCAATCCGAGTAGCCTATGATATATGAGCCGATGAGAATATTGTGCGGTCAGCAAAATCTTCCGCTGAGTAGCACAACACGAATCTAAGTCTACGTGGGTAACTTACAACATCATTGTGTATTATTGCGATTAGGTATTGCAAAATATAAGCTGATGAAAACCCATGATAAATACTGCATAATAATATGAATTATGAATAATATAAATTATGGACGATGCCAGATAATGGTTCCATGACGAGAAAATGGTTCAATACTTAATAACATTCTTAAAAGAAGTCGACTGTCGGAAATACCCAAAAATACCCAGAAAGCGTGAGATCCCTGGATAAACTGCAGTTTTCAAGGCGAAGCCACTTTGTTTTGACACGGAATTAATTCCTGGGCAATTTCGTGTCAGAACGTGACAGCTACTTTAAATTAGCCAGGTATGATTACTGATCGCTGTAGCTGATTGGTTAATCACTGGCACGTGGCAAAGAAATGGTCTTGTGTCCGAGTAATAAAGCATGCCATTACTTACGCAGGCATCTGCTAATTTAAACACTGAAAACTGAAAAGTGAAAGACTGTTCTGGAGATTAACAAGTTGATCTAGTTGGGTGATGAGCACGTTGATCTAGTTGGGAGATTAACAAGTTGATCACGTTTAGCACCATGATATGAGGCTGTGTGAGCTTGTTGTGTAACTACAATGAGAGGGTGAGAGAGGAGCTTGTTGTGTAACTACAATGAGAGGGTGAGAGAGAGAGGAGAACCACCTGGTACTGGTCAGGCACCATCAGTCCAGACGATATTAAATTGTACCGAACAAGGCAATTACTTTGTGAATATGTGCCATCGAGATTAAAATGGGGCGGCACAATGCACATATCCTCACCACTGCTGCAGTTTGCTTGATATGACGATGATGTTTCATTACTTGCGCCATCATCGTAACTGAGACAATCAACAGTAATAACAATAAACAAATCCTGGATTAATGAAATATCCGCGGAACAGCTCGTAACAATTTAGATGTGATCCCACTATGATGAAGCAACTCTCTGAAATTGAGCCTCACACCAGGAGAGCTGATCTAGAATTACCGTCCGTAATTGAAAGTGCCAGAACACTTGCGGTAACACCCCAGAACGGAATGATGTAACTGAAGCAGGACTTTTGGTATTTAGGGACCATGGTGGATGTTCCATTTCATCTACTACTTATTTAATCGCTATATAATCGGTGGAGAGCACACCAGGCCCCGGTGATATAAGTTAGGTTGGTACCATGTGCAAACTTACTAAACATAACGGCGCTTAACCCCATGGCTCTTTATATTATGTATGCACTAGAACAGCTGGTATCGATTACAACCCCAAGCATTATCATCTTTATAGATAGAGTGAAGGAGCGAGGTGGGGGGGGGGGGGTGTAACAATAAACTTCACCATTAGTTCTAATGGCGACTGTGTTCTAATATTGTTCATATCTTACATTCGATCCTTATCTACCAACGTCCAACAACAAGGAACGTGCACTTAGAACAATAACGAAACATAAATGATCGATAATATCTATTATAACTGTAATCAATTCTAAACTATTAGAAAAATGATGAAAAGTTACATTTGGCAGATATCTAATTACAGTTGTCGTAACCCACTGAAAAGAGCTGCAACAATTTCAACTAAACAATTTGACTCAATTCAACCTTTTCAGCGACTTTCTGTGTAACAATTTTTTTCAAAATTAACACTTTTCAGACGGAAAAGACAACGTTATCCTGGATACCCGAGAGCATCCTTTGATTGTCAGTGATAACCTTGTCCAATTCACTGGCGTCTTCGGAGCGGCTGAGATCTTTTCCAACGGGAATAAGATGGCGTCTGGCGACAATTTAATGGTATTATACTAAATTTCAGACAACCAGAATCCTCTATTTCTTGTTGATTGAAAGGAGCATGATGCTTTTTCATTTCAGTTGAACTTCGGATTAGAATTGAGATGCTATCAAATTAAAGAATCTGACGAAATATATTGTCCTTGCTAGAACTGTGATCACGAATAAATTTATTAATTTTGTATTTGATAAAACATGTCGAGCCCATCAACTATTCAACTTTTGCCTGTAGCAAACAATATCAAAATCTAAAAATAACCTAATTCAGATATGGAATAGCGAAGACAACTCAAACTTACCGTACTTCTATGGAATAGTCGGAAAAGCAAACCCTCAAGTGTTCGGAGTAGCTATGGGCAGTCCTGCACCGATGAAAATAAGTTTCGGTGCGAGAAAAGGCAGTGCTACAGTTGTTGATATCACTCAGTTGGGAGGGGATTTCGAAATGTTAATTTTCGTGGGACCATCAAGGAAGGATGTGGCAACACAGTTCGTTCAGACTTTCGGTAAACTTGCTCCGCTGACTTATATTTTATCAGGAAATAAGGGCTTAGGTAGAGGTAACGAGATCTACTGAACTAATTCGTTAACTCGAAGAAGTGGATATGATTCCTATACTCTATTTACTCTAAATCAGCAGCTATCCAACAAACAAACAACCCAATTAACCCGCAGGCCTTCCGAACAGAACCCCTTGGTGGAGTCTAGGCACCCTAGTTCACCACGATCCTAACGAAGCCATAAACAGTACCCAATTCAAAATTGATGTGCTCGTCCTCGATAATTTCATCGATGTTCCCGACGATTCGCAGCAAATTAAATCCGTAATAACGTACGTCAACTTGAACTATTCACGATTGTTCGCGCATGTTTACTTACTATCTAAACGATATCTGACGACTTGTATTTCACATGATGAAGTGCTAACTGATGAAGTGCTAATTTGCACCAATTTACAGATACGTTGATCCGCTCGTGCAGCTGGGATTAAATTCTAATGACCCTCCGATCCGGACAGCAGAGGGAGATTACTTTATGGGGACCTTATCCCACTCGGAGATGCCTGGTTCTTTTCGTGCTTACGTCGACTACACCCACCCAATGACAGATTATGATAACCAGTGAGTACTTTCAGAGGGATTATCATACAAGATAAACAATGAAATATTAAAACATGTCATTAAGTTTGCTTGCTTTAAATTAGTTTTTGGACAAATTTATTATGTGATTCAGGAGTGGCGTTAACAATAAGCAACCTCCCGAGAAAATCTAAAAAATATGTTTTCCAGAAATGACAGTATGTATCTTGCGAACCGAGCAGGACACAACTTACGACACAACTATCCTCTGAACTTTGCGGATCTCAATTGCACAGATAACGTTATCAACAATTCACCCTTTCTCAGCCTCTCAGATAAACCTCTTTTCAATGGTTCGTAAGTTAAACACAAGTAATTATTTTGTAAACATCACGTCTTTATCGGGCTTACCGGTGAACTTTTATTTTACAGCTTCCGATGCAATATGATCAAACGCTTTTTTTAATCATAAATACTCCTTGAATATCTATGCACAGCTCTGTAAGTGTAACAAATATATTCAAAGAAAACAATACCGCTTAGATAAATTAATGATACAAAACGAAAACGGTTAAGTTAACTAAGATGATGCGCGATATTTTATGAATTAAATATATTCTGTGGTATCATTAGCGTGAGTTATTGAACTCTTTGGCTTATTTAATCAAAGAGCTCTATACCTAATCCAACTACATTTAATTGGTATAGTGTGAAATTTAACACAGTTGTTTTTTCCCAGATTCATCAAACTTAACACAATATTATTAATATTAAGATTACGATGTTAGTATTCAGAAGGCCTACCGCAATTGTTAGCACAAATTTCGCGTAGTAACGCAAGTTTAGATCTACAATAATGTGTGGATCATAATAATATATTAGATTTATTTCATTTTGTTCCAGGTACAATTTGCCTAGATTACATCCACACCGGCAAAGGTCACACCGGAAAAGATCTCGAAGGTCTGAATGCGGTACATAGACGGATTCACAACCGACACGGTACCTTGTAAGTTTATTCTATGAACTCTAATGGTACACAAGAAATTTCCATTTGAAATACTCACATTATAAAAAATGAGGACGTAAAAAGTATTTAATATCGCAGGCAGGCTAAGATTTTGCACCAATATCGGTCGATGGATAGGGATAGTTTTATTCAGATCAGCGATAGTGTCAGCTTGGGAGCAGGACAGTATACTGCAAAGTATATCGAGATTGCCACAAGAGAGGACCTTCTCCAGGTAAGGGAGGCACCCCACATTGCCCCACATCATTTGTCTTGTTTGTGATGTACCAGTACCACCTGGTGCCAACACACCAACTAAATTAACAGCATTTCAAAACTAAATCGTTAAATTAGTCTTGTAATTTTATAAAAGTTTACACTTTCCCTGGCAGTTGATACCGATGATTATTTGGTATGGAAATGTAGGACTACTGGCGACTACAAGACTAGCCCCTGGTGTGACTGACAATGAAATGATATTAAATTACCACAAGCTTAATGGATTCCTATTGTTGACCTCAGGTACTCAAGAATTTTAAGGTTTCTTGGGAATTGTATTAAGGTTTCTAATCGTACGTTATTAAAATGAGTGCAGACGACACCATAAACAATTAAGTAGATTCAAGTATAATGAAAGATCGGGCTTGGTGAATGAATAAAATGAAAATGATATCTTTTGTCCAAACCTTTATTCAATATTAACTTATAAAAATCTATGATTAATGATCAACCTTTGATAAGAAATATACATTTTTGCTTTCTTATCCCCAAAATGAACCCTTATCGCACAGGCGACGAATCTGCACTGTCAAAACTGAACAGCGCTGCACTCGCGGAGATAAAGGAGTTTATCAAGACAAAATACCATCTCTACCCGGAATGGCTAACTGCTCTCCACAAATCCAGTCTCACCAACGGACTCCCCGTGATCCGAGAGATGTCCTTCAACTTCCCTGGCGATGTTCTATTAGCTGGATCAGATCACGGACTACAGTTCATGGTGGGCGATAAAATTGTCGTGGCTGCGGGAGCCTTGTTGGGGAGTGAGACGAGCGTTTATTTACCGACATCTCAGAATGACACCTGGTACAGACGAAACCAAAACAGTTACCAGAGAGTTGTTCCACAAAAAGGTAATCGGTTGCTTTCGTTCATCTTTAATTTCTGCTTTTCAAAGGTGCGACAACCTTTAATCAGCGATGTTATGAACGGTTAAACTGATGTGACAAAACGCTGTAAACAGCTGAATCGTTATAGCTGTCTCATTTCAGTTAAAAACTGATCTCAGGATTTAAATGATTATTACGAAGATCTCTTAAAGACAAGCGTCACAGAATCAATCACACAAAAACTCTAGTATTTAGAATTGAGGTGCATGCCTCCCTCGCCTCACCTTTCTAACAAGCAATATGAGATAAAGTTAATATTAATATTATATAACTTTAATCAAATCAAAAATTGAACATAAATTAACGTCTTAAAGTTAAACATTGAGTAACCCAATTAAATTTGACATTTTAATATTATTGAATATTGGCTAACTAGCTTGTGACGTGCCGTCTCATTATAAAGAGTATTATATAGCTACGTAGTCATGATCCTGAAGCCAGTTTAAAGCAAGTTGCCAGCCATGATTATGCTATGAGGAATTTGTGAAGCGCCAAAGCTACGTTGGGCGAAACTTTTAACTGCATGAACGCTATCCGCAGTCGAATATACCCACTCAAATTCATGTCAGATATAATAAATACCAAGAAATATTTCAAGAAATGACGACTGTTCATCAGTTCAGGTCTCGCATGTACTCATTCCACCCATAAAAGCAGCTAATATATTGTAGTTGTACCTACCTTAAATTCAAATATAACGATACTCCTGTTTCATCAGGTAAAGTAACGATAGACTCGAACGAGGACCCCTCACAACTCTATTTTATAAAAGGAGGGAGTGTCCTCATGACAAGCAGACTCTCTGATATTGACAAGATGAGTGGCAACCCAATCGAGACTGTGAAGTAAGAAAATGAATATACATTTATAATTGATTATGATCAATAATGCTGTGCTACATGGTTATGACATTAGAAGGTTAAGGGTCGTCGAAGTCGAACTCAAAATTACGATGATATGATGAGGTATTTAAAAGCATGGTTAAGCAGTCAAAGAATATTAAATTCAAAAGCAAATTGTCTCGTTTTGCAAGAAGCCATTGACAGTAAATGGTTATTTTATGCAACTTTCAAGTATTAGTAACAGTTTCAACAAAATTAAACGTATTACGATGAAATTTCGGGTGGAACCTCAAACATCAACGAGAGATCCTTTTTGTCACTTAATTTTGAAATAACTATTATGATTTTGCGCAATCTCAAGTTCAAAAGGCCAAAGGGTGGTGGCTAATTAGTGTTTCGCAATTTTGAATAATATGACGCTGTAATTGGATGGCAGTGCAATCAGCCCATGCAAAATATGTGGCAATTTGTGGTAATTTATGTATGTTAAATTATGACCCCGAGGGGGAAAATTTGTGAACTGTATATAAGTATATAGTCCAAAACTTAATGCCCGAGTCTTATCTGTGATTCTTTGTAAATCAGAGTAGTAGCACAGAATAAATCAAAAAAAGGATATCAAAAGCAATAAAAAATTTTTGCAGGCTAGAATACGTTGAAATAACGATATTTCTAAGCGGGACGGAAACATCCGAAACAATTTACGAGACATACTATCTGAGAGAACAAGATGATTTGCTCCTTCAAGTGGCTGTAAGTGTGGACAGCATTTCTGAAGGAGTCAGAATCACCATTCAACCTACTGGGGATGCTCTAGCAAAAAGTTCATCAGATGAACGGTTAGTAAATTATATTACTGAACATACCGTGATCCTACTAAGACATGTTGACATTAGAAGGTTAGGGGCGTCGAACTCAAAATTCCCAAATTTCCCCATGAATAATCAAAACAAAAGAATTAGCCTCTGCAGTCTGCACCCATAGCAACATTGTAGTTGTACAACAATTGCGAACAAAACCAAGTAAAGAGCACCCTCACTAAGGGTAATAAACTCAAGCATTATAAAGGTCACAATATATTGTTTTGAAGCTGTATCACTTTCTAGGACTTGGAACCAAATCATGATAGCAGCCGGAGGACTCCGCGGAAAAGTGTCCCACATCACAATTAACGGGAACAGGTTATCTGGTATAAGCTACAGCTACGATGCTGAAAACTGGAGGGAATCTTCTCTGAGCATTCTTGAGGACAGTGATATGAACACCACCCCTTCCTTGCATAAGACTTATGATATCATGATATACTATAAAACAAATTAATCTTAGATGATTTAATATAAAAGCCAGTACGCTTCACTTGAATCGTCGATTCAAGTTTAATCTTAACTATTAGTATTAGTTTGATTCACAGTCAGAAAGGTAATAACTTCAAAAATATAACGATTTAACAATATTCGACTTGTATTTTATCGTCGGTATTTTAACGTTTTTATTTTCACATGCTTATTATATTTAACGTTTTTATGTAGGGTTATATTTAATTTAGATGATTCCTACCACAAGTATTTCTTCATGACCGAAAATTTGAATCTTATCGAAGGTAAAATTAATACTAATTTGTTTTGAATAGTCGAATTGCACTGTACATGACGTACTATTCAAATAATATGAAGAACAAAATATTAACGACAGTCATTTGCATCGGCAAGAGTCCAGCGATTCAGCAAATTTCAAGTGTTCTTATTTCAACAAATTAGTACATTGAATACTTATGGTCTGATATTCAGTATTTGTGTGACAAAGTGGTAATAATAATTGTTGTTAAACGAATGAATGTAAGGTACAAGCTTTGTACATATAATAATACTGACCGTCTTTCCGTATCCGTTGATAAAAAGTGTTTGCTGCGGTGAAAACGATCGTCCAAAAATAATTTCATCAACCACAGAGAATTATTTGACACTATTTACAATTTGGTTAGGTAAGACGTAGAAGATCTTTAAAGGAGCGTCATCCGTTCTCTAGACCAGCTGAAAGGTATTTAACCTCACTACAACATATTCTACTATCAGCGGGATCTGGCTGAACAGTGTTCAGTGAACACATGATGTTCTGGCAGAGCGTTGCCTCACGGCAAGTTTATTGTCAATAAGGTACAGCTCTGATTTGAGCTGAGGATACGTCTGTATATTTGCTCGTTTGAGGATCTGCAGGTACTGTCACTTGTCAGTCTTAGTCTGGTCCTCCAGCCAGCCTTCATCGTGCAGCACTCGCTTTATCAGACTCTGGTAGTTGATGTCGCCTTTGCTGTTCGACTGGGAAGTTTGCTATATCAACATATAAGATCGTTAGCAACAGCATGGCATTATAAGAGTTGAGACACTGATTTAATGGGTGCCAGCGCAGATGGATAAATTCAATCTTTGTGGCGAGACTGCACCAAAACGTTTTACAAGTATCTGTACAAAGATCAAACAGTGTTTCTAATAGGAGCTTTTTTTCGTTCACCTGAACAAGGGAGAGCCATTCCTCTGCCTCGTCCTCGTCTAGTGGATCCCCTATCATGGTCAGGTGATCTTTCAGCACGGTTCTATTTGCGTAGCCTGTCTCAGTGGGATCAAACACGCTAAACGCAAACATCAGGTCTTCATAAACGCTCCAGGAGCCAATTGCCTGAAATTATACAATCAAATATCAAAACTTCTGACTTTTGATAGGATATTCATACTGGCTGTCAATTAAACCGTGAATTTTGTATAAATATTATGATTTATATAACACGGAAAATACATATTGTGTGGTAGAGATAGCATTAAATCATTTTTTAATTTTACCGTTTCGAGGGAATCAACGAACTGTTTGTATGTGAGCTTTCCTTTCGGCGTATTCTGTTCAATAATCATCTCCCGGATTTGAGGTTCTGTTGGATTCAAACCCAAAAACCTTAGAGCCTGTCCCATCTCTTTTTCTGAAAAATTACGCCACGGTATTAATCAGTTTTACTGTGTCAGTGTGCAATTTCATGTACAGAAATTTAAAATTCTGTGAGACAACTAATTTAACAAACTTTTATTAAGCAAGATGGCCAACTCTTTAAATTAAGTAAAATAACCGACTCCTAAACGTTTTATCTGTTAAGCCTACCAGTTAGTTTTTCGTCTCCATCCTTGTCGACCATCTCGAAGACCTCCTTCAAGACGTCATCCCTATGAAACTTCCAATCTCGACACACTTCTTTAAGGAAGATTTTCCTTTCATCTCCTGGTACTTTAGGGTCTGTAATCAGCGGTTCTGAAGCTGACATTCTGTAGTTGACTTTGCCTGAAATTTTGTGTATTCATTTAAAGATAATAATGCACGGTATCTTTAATGATGATCGGGTAAATCAGCTCTAACATAAAATCATAATCATGTTCATGATTTGATGCCACTTTTAAAATTATTTTCTTCCCGAGTTCAGCCTTACAATTTGCATTTTAAAGGCAATAATATTTAATATGCTTCTTAAAAATTGATAAAAATTGAAATAAGCAACAAAATTTTTAGAGTCTTTCAGTCTTTAAATCAATATCAAATGTCTCCTTCACGTTCAACAATCTCCATCTTGGTTTCTATTCCTCAAGAAATTTTTCTTTTCAGCGGGTGATGTCTTGAATAGTGTGAAAATCAGAGCTGGAAAACTATGTTGGCTTTTCATACATTCCATTTTAGAAGCAGTAGAGTACCCGTGCGTCCCAGAACTCAAACTCCCTACCTTGTTCGCTCGCGTCCTTTTATCTCTCAACCAGTCTTCATATCTATCATCGTATTCAACATACTCCACACATGTTTTGAGTCTTCCAAGCTTAAAAGGGTTCAAGGCTTGTCCCACGGTTTCTGGGAAGGCTGTCAGTGATTGACCAATGTTCCCTCTTTCCTTCCAAGGTTCGAATATTGTCTCCAAATATCTGGTCTGTCGTTGATACCATTGGTAGTCAACGTTAGAATGATGAATCCAGAATAAGGGATCTTCTGCGGCTCTTTCGGTAAAGAAGAGGCCTGTTTTTTCTCCACCGACTATGTAATGAGGAATTCCATGTTCATGCCTCAAGTCGGCTTCAGATCGCAGGGCATTTTTCCAGCTCAGAATATTCTGAATTCTCTTATAACTGGCAGGAAAAACGTTGTAAGTGAATTGTCTTACCAAGCACTGACCTTCCAGATCTTGATAGCCATATTGTGGCGAAAAGTAACCATTGCTTGGACATTGATCTTCAGTTGTTAGTTGTTGTTCACCAGTTCTGGCATTGTAATTCAAATTGGAACCAAAGTATCTCCAGTTGAAAATGGAGCTTTCCCACCACCGGGCAACGTTCTTGGTCCAGTCCCAATACGGCACAGTCAGTCGGCAATCTACTTGCCTGAGGAGGTTCTCAATCTTCAGCAAGTATATCCTGTGCCAAGGGTAAAACTGTACTCTGTCATGGATTCCTTCCACCCAGTACAGTTCGTGGATGTAAAGCAGTCTCACCCAGTTATTTCTCAGCCGCCAGCCAGCTCTTCCCGTTCCAATATTGTACACAGCATTGAGAAATCTTGTCTTTTCATCATGAGTCAGGGCATCCCAATCTTTTCTCTGTCTGCAGCAATATCTTCTTCCTTTTATACATGTGCATTTTAATCTACATTTCCGTGTTATAGTGTTTCTTTTACATCTGAAGTTGTTCGAGGGGCGAAGGCCGAAAGCCTTAACCTTTTCACTGTCTAGAGAAATGCTCGATGGTGTGCTATCCGAGTCAATCCAAGACTCAGGTGTAATTTGGGAGATTACTAAACCCACGGATAAACCTAAAATGAGAAGACAAACCATGATGCAGTGGTGCATCTGGCATCATGAAAAAGAGGAAAAGCAACACAGCGGTAAATTGGGTTCATATTTCGATTCATAGTCTAAACAAAGAGTTAAACATATCCAACCAAACCAATCCGTAACTTTAAACTTACCTTTTGTAACAGTTGTTTATCACTCAACACGAGGTACACTATTGTGACATTTATCAGGCAAATACTACAAAGAATGTTAGTAAAAATGTCAATGATATTTATTGGGTGGGTATTATATTTATAGCTGTACTATGGATGAGCAAACTGTAACTGTTTCATCATCAGAGACCTACCCATTTATAATTAATAATCAAACTGTAAACGAAACATTCATTCCTCCCGAATTCTGGTTATTAAGTGGTTCGGACCATGCGACTCCGCCTGGTTGTTAGATTACAGTCGATAAAGGCATCACAAGCAAGGTTGGTAAGGAAAACGGGCCGAATATCGCGGACTGTCAGACAGGAATGGCTGACTGGCATAATATACGGTGCCTATTGGCGACAAGTATTATACTATTATATACGCAACTGGTAGTGTCAAATGCTGCCATGTTAGTTAGGACGCCTAATTATGTTGATGGGCTGTCTTTATAGCTGCTTGAGATAATATACACACCATTTGGTGAATGATATTTCAGTTTCAGTATAGCTCCTGCCGGAGGAATCAGAGGGAGAGCACAAATTCAGAAAATGTGAGAGCTGAATTACAAATAAATATCCACAAGCTAGCTGTGATATCACCAGTACCATGCTCACCAGTTTGCCAGATTGTTAGCCAGGTTATTGTACGTACTACTACGTACTACATAATTATACATTACTAATGATCGCTGGATCTTAGACGATAACGTCATACACGTGGGAGACCAGGCCTTGTGTTAATACTACTACTACTACTACTATAGTAGTCACTACTACTACTATACGACTCCTAACTTAACTGCTGAACTTTCTGAGTGGCTCGAAACATTCAGATAAAAATTAAAAAATGAGCAGTTAGTTCAGTACATTGATCGACTTTTTGTTACATTCATCCGTAATGGTACTGGTATGTTCAATCCGCAATTAACTACAATTACTGAAATCGTTGGAAAATATGCTTGACGTAGAGTTAATTACAAGGAAACGATAACCACTAACCTTATTAAGATATCGCTACTTCAGAATATCATATGATTAATCAATTAATATGACCACAGGGTAGTACAGAGAGAAAAGGTCCATAAAATGGTAGATTTTTGTATGATTGTATTGGTAAAGCTCGTTGGCAGCATCAAGGTTTACAATGACATAAACTTTACAATGACTAGATTATTGATGATAATTAGAATGATTATTTATGTGGTGACCGAACAATTGGATCACAGTTGAGTGATTAAAGAAAAGAAAGCACTAACAAAACTGTCTGAATGATATTACCACATTTAACTGTAGAACAAAATTCGGATTAATCTGGAGGTATTCTTAATTCTAGCTAATACCCAGCTAACCAGCCCGCCATATCCGTTCTGTCCAGCGCCAATGGTGGGCCAATGTCACCAAATTAAACACAATTAACAGGATTTATTTCCCCCTGTGAATGCATAAACCAACTATGAATATTAAGCGATATTTTGGTACAAAGTCCTTGGTTCTATTTCTAGAGATGCTTTATATTAGACCGCTGATTAAGGATAACAAAGAAGTTTATAATCGATTTGGGGACTCCAAATAATTATTATATCAAAGTTCTAAACAAGGGATAGTTAAAAAACAACGCCCAAGTCTAATCTTTCCCTAAAACAAATAACTAAATATCAAAAACTTCATTGTAATTTCTGCCAATATCTCTTGTCATAAGCTAAATTACGGAGATAATACAAATCAAAAATATTATTTATATAAAAATTAAACTACTGGAGTAAGGTTAAAATTATAATATAAGCCAACATCGATGCAAAATAACATTGGCAGTTAGTCGACAATCATTGCTCCAAGGTCATGAGAAGGAATAATTGAAACAAACATGGACATGTCATACTTAACGAGCAACAGGTACAGCCAAATCGGGCCTTGTGGATGCAAATAGCTAGGCATAATATTGAGGTCACCGGTAAATAGAGGCATGATTCGTAATGTTTAATACATGAAATCAATACTTGGGGTAAAGAAAATAGGTGCGATAACTAGCGGCACAGCTAATAGAAGCTCGGCTGACACCTGTACAGTGATAACGCATGTATACCAGTCAGCCCTCAGATGAGAGCTCAGCCCTCCCAGGTAAGCACATTACACAGAGCTGACCGGCTCTCCCGGTACATTATACCGGGGTCCGCACAATAGGCAAGAGCTACATTAGAGCAACTAGATTCGAGCTGTGGTCTCTCCAAAGTGTAAACGGTCGGATACAAGTCGTGCTGGGGTCACGTGTAATGGGATAATGTTTGTTCTTTGCAATATCACGGTCTCTCTCTCTCTCTCTCTCTCTCTCTCTCTCTCTCTCTCTCTCTCTCTCTCTCTCTCTCTCTCTCTCTCTCTCTCTCTCTCTCTCTCTCTCTCTCTCTCTCTCTCTCTCTCTCTCTCTCTCTCTCTCTCTCTCTCTCTCTCTCTCTCTCTCTCTCTCTCTCTCTCTCTCTCTCTCTCTCTCTCTCTCTCTCTCTCTCTCTCTCTCTCTCTCTCTCTCTCTCTCTCTCTCTCTCTCTCTCTCTCTCTCTCTCTCTCTCTCTCTCTCTCTCTCTCTCTCTCTCTCTCTCTCTCTCTCTCTCTCTCTCTCTCTCTCTCTCTCTCCTCTCTCTCTCTCTCTCTCTCTCTCTCTCTCTCTCTCTCTCTCTCTCTCTCTCTCTCTCTCTCTCTCTCTCTCTCTCTCTCTCTCTCTCTCTCTCTCTCTCTCTCTCTCTCTCTCTCTCTCTCTCTCTCTCTCTCTCTCTCTCTCTCTCTCTCTCTCTCTCTCTCTCTCTCTCTCTCTCTCTCTCTCTCTCTCTCTCTCTCTCTCTCTCTTTCTCTCTCTCTCTCTCTCTTTCTCTCTCTCTCTCTCTTTCTCTCTCTCTCTCTCTTGTAATATTGTATAATTGTTGGTAAAAGTGTGTAAAAGTGTGAGAAGTAACCCAAAGGAAGGGAGAGCAGAGCTAGAGATACAGGTCATCATCAAGGAGCCGGGAGCTAGTTAACTTTAAGTTATACCTTTGGTTTGAGTAATCATCATCTTATCGTTAGCTTACAGTGTCTTTAGATGAATAGGATTGTTGAATAAATTGAACATTTCTTGGGTAAATCACTTTTACGTCAGAATAAAAATGTGAAACAGCAAATTTAACACTGAATGAATGCAAATGCAATTGGTGAATCTCAAATGCAATCTCTGAAATTGTTCCTTTTGTCAATGAGTTATGCTGACATCCCTGCCCATCATTAGAATTCAAACCATTCCAAGTTTAAATTACCATGACCACCATAGCAGATTAGTCGCAGTCTCACATACAAGCACAAAATAACTAAACTTGTTAAAACCTGTCACAATCGACATAATAAAACCAGTTTAAAATATGCCAATCAAGCAGAAACTGTTTTTAAACTTTCGTCCTCCCAAATAAACATATTTTGAGTCTCACGGTCCTGCCTTAACCGCGCTATCATCTTTTGTTCCATGAACCGCTTCTCTTCATCATATCTGAAAATAGACAACACTGTAGTAATTTTCCAAATCTTTTGAGATAAATGAGTATTCCTGGAGAGCCTTGATTTTAATTTTATGCTATTATGATAATACGATATAACGCTTTTCCCTTAAAACTCTTAACTTTTTAAACTTACGAGCTAGAAAACTTGCTGACAATGATAGTCATGGGAAGGGCAAGGATAACAATCCCCATGACAACAACCAGACTGCCAAATATCCGACCAAGGTGGGTCCTAGGTGCGACATCTCCGTAGCCAACTGTTGTTATGGTGACCACTGCCCACCAGCAACCCTGTGGTCATCGAGTGTTACCACTTCAACATATTATTCTGCACGTTGACCACTTGCTCAACAAAATATGATATTAATATAGAACTAAAAGAAGAGTGTTACTGAGGATGATGGTGGAGAAAAGCACCAGAAAGGTAAAAGAACAGACAACTGACCATTACGTTTTCAAAACTCCAATCAACACAATCTGATTATGAACCTCGGAACAAATATCCATACTTGAAGGATATACAAATTATTACAGTGGAGCACTCACCTCAAGAATAGATTTGAAATCATGATTGTCCGAATCTCCGTCTGTACACTCGATGTAATACATAATAGTTCCACATGTGAGCACGAAGATTAGGATTAGTAATAAGAGCACTAGGAACTCTTTTGCTGCTCCCGATATAACCTGGATTGAACAAGAGAATCAAGAGGTATTACGTTTTTCATTTGTAACTGGCAGTTTTAACTTCAATACAATCGTGTAGATCAATCTCTCAGCTAATTCTTAGATTCAGTTCCACAAATCTAACCTTCATCACCACAATGAGCTCCTTGGAGTGCCGCACAAATTTGAATATCCTCACAATTCTAAACGTCCTACAGACTCTTAGAGCCACATAGCCGTGTTGTTTGGTAGAATCTGTTGTTTGAGACATCATGTCGGCGATAAGACCGATGTAGAATGGTAGAATGGATAGTATGTCCATGATGTGCATCGGAACGGTGAGAAATTTGATCATGTTCTTCCAGGTTATGAGACGTATAAACAAATCAACACTGGAATGAATGGTTACAGGGAAACTACCTGGCAATGATAAGAAGGGATTATACAAATTTCAGTATTCAATTTTTTTAATCATTGCGGGAAATAAATGTCATTAAAAACAATAAATTTTAAAACCACCAAAAGAGCAAACCTGAAAAAGGCAATGACAAGAGTATCTAGAACAAGGAAGAACATGTAAAGAGGCTCCTTGTTATCAGTAAAGTAGATCACAATTTCAGGGATAGTTTCCATCACCAGGAGAGTCAGGGAGATACAGATGAAAATGATATCCACCACCGCCCAAACACATGCTCCTTTTGAGTAGTGTGGGTTGTTCATGAACTCTCGGATCTAAATAAGTAGTACTTTATAAGTAGTAATTTATAATGTGGTTCAAGTGTGAAACGGGTATTAAATCTGTGACCATTCTCAAAAGAATATTCCAAATAAAAAGGATTATAGACTAAAAACTATTTCAATTAAACTGATGTCTTTAATTGTATACCAATTATAAACCAATTATAAACCAATTATAAACCAATTATAGAGCCTAATTGAAACCACTTACCTTTTGCTTTAAGGTGGTCGGAACGTATTTCTTCTTGATGGCCTCCTCAACGGCCCCAAAAATATCATCTAAAGAAATCTTGTAGAACTCCAACTCAGTATTGACAATATCCTCATCAATATTCGTCGGAGGCTTAAAAACTCCTTTAGATTGGTAAAAATACAATATGGCGTCAAACATTGACCTATTCCTGCGGAATATTATCCGTCAAAACAAGTCGGCAATGGTATGTCAATACCTGTAAATAAGTGGATAAATTAATGAATTGTCAAAGAAATATTGTTTACTAGGCAGCTATATTCCCGTTTGATCTTCATTAGAGTCCAATGACCGTGAAAATATTCACAAGAAGCGTACCTGTTGAAATAGTACATTCCTATTTCAGGATGAAAAAAGTCTTCTCTCTCCGAGGAGCCGAGGAGAGTTTCAGGGAAGTAGGCCAGAGTTGATTCTCGAGTGATGTAAACCGAGCCACAAACATTGATGTGGAGTAGTTTGTCCTTCCTCCTGATCTGTTATATCCGTCAGACATGATCAAAATATTGGAGGTGCTCATTTAGCAAACCAACCTTACAGTATCTTCATTCGATCTTCATTAAAATTTATAACAACAAGTTTTATATTTGAATATCAGCGTTGGAACTTATCTTATAATGAAAAACTTAGCGTACTTTTTTGGGCGAAGCAGTGGTATCCTTAGGCTCAGCCTCACGCAGAGCTATCGTGCAGGAATCATCAACATGATTGTTATTATCTCCGTTAATTTCGTCATGGTTTGTGGGTAAGTTGTTCATAAGCAGGTATTCGCCGTCTCTTGAACTTGTAATAGGGAAAACATTAGATCATTTATTAAGTAACAAAATGTATGTAAGACTCTGGAATAATAAAAGTTTATAATCCAAATCGTAAAATGTACCCGTTTTGTTTTAAAGACCCGAGGGCCACCCATAATCAAGGGCTTTGAAACCGGTTTATTAAATACAATATAATATAAAAAATAAACTGCGATCGAAACATTCATGTCGATACTAACTGAAATAATATGATCTGTAGGCAAAATAATAATACTGACACATAATTAAGATACATGATATAATAAAATAAATATCTCTTTCATATCCACACTAAATACCCAATTTAATGAATTAAATACTTACCCCCGGTGATACAAAGTCGAGCCAGCAGCGAATCCGCTATCATCAGTATTAACTTCCATTCGTTCATTCTAAAAGTACCTTCAATACAGAGTTTTAAAAACTTGACTTGCAAAAAATCCGATTGAATAACTTCTGCTCTTAATTTATTTATCACTTATCAAATTCTATACAATAATAATACACGACTTCAGGCAGTCATCTGACAACAAACTTGACAGAGAAGATCACACTATCCGAAATAAAGGAAACCAAGGAACAAATGCTGAATGGGAGCATTGTTGAGGAGTTTCCTGCTTTGGTACGTACTCAATTGTCATAGCAACATAAAGGCACGTGCTGCCGATTGAATATCTCAATTCTAGCTTACCAGCAACTATTCCTATCCCTCATTCAACCCACAATCTATAAGTCTGGACAACTAAAGGAATCATATCACTATCAGACATCAGTACTATTCGGTGGAAACCACTAGGGAGGGACCGGTGCCGATATGAAACCACATAGGTTTATAAGTAATCTTCTACCAAAAACTAATACAATTGCCTGGACTCCCAGACATTTTAATATCAGATACCTGTAGGGGTAAAGTTAGAGGAGCATTCAGATTACATGATAACATTTCCCCATGATGGCCTAGTAAGAGCCAATCCCAGGCAACCAATATGTCATATCAGTTGTGCGGGTTTGATGAGATTGGCCCGAAATACTGGTCATGATTATTGATGTAAAACTCTATTTCGGCCATAATATTGTTTGTCTGTGCGACCTAGTGAAATTCTCAATATGCCTTTGCTAATAATATAATTAATCACCAACATAATAATTAATATGACGAAACGTTAAGTTATTGCATATGAAAAACATGGAAATATTCATCCAATTCTTGAACTTTGTAGATTATTCGAGTTAAGTAGTGAATTCTTACTCATACTCATAGTAAATAATATAATAATTAAAACTTTAACAGTAATTATCGAACGATCTGCATTTTAGTATTAATACGACATTTAAAAAAATAATTTAATGATTTTACCTGGGTCCTCAAACGTGAATACCTTACTCGGGATTATTATGACCGGGATAAAGTGGCGGGTTTAGGGTAATTTCGCCATATTTTTCCCGAACCACATTTTCACCGGTCGTTAATAAACCCGCCGACTCAGCTTTTAGGGTTCCCAAGGGGTATGGGTGCTCATATTTTAATGGTTGTCTTATATTCACTAAAGAAGACTATTGGGACACTTGTTGTAGGTTTTTCGACTTCATTTGGCTAAAATTGCAAAAAATTCACCTTTTTGCCCAATTCTTGTCATATATCCTTATTGTCAAAGTTGATTTAAATAGGCCAATTTTTAATTTCTTAGGTATTGACTATCTCTACATAATGAAATAGGACTCAAAGTAAAAGTAACAGTTAAATTAAAACTCGAATTAATTAAAACGGTCAATAACATGAATCAGTTTCATCAGTCATTTATTCATAATTCTAAACAATGTGAACGATGCATTCTTTCGAAGATTTTCTACAAATTGAGTCATAATGGTTATTTGATACACGTAAACATGTAATGGTAATTCAAAACAACGAATTTGCTAGAGTCTACTTTCAACAATTATTGATAATTCGACTTGTTTCACAAGTTTTAGCAATGCGAAAATTTCTGAACCTGCTTATCTCTAATAAGGAAATTTACATCTGAGACAAAATTTTTGAATCTAAAATTGAAAGGTTGGACACCGGTAAAATGGCGACCGGGAAAATGTGGTGGGTTTTGAGCAATTTCGCCATATTTTTCCCGAACCATATTTTAACCGGTCGTTAATAAACCCGTCGTAATAATCCCGAGTAAGGTATATAGTTTAGAACTTCTAACTTGCATTCGCAATTCAATGAAGACATGAAGTGAATCTAATAGCCTTGAATAATTCAAGCGAGCATTATTGGTTTTTATACTTGTTGATTATACGTGTTGATTTTGCTGTTCGTACATTTGTCATTGAATCTTCGTGGCCAATCTGCGCCAATCAGTGGAAACAAATAAATTTAATACAAAGTACAACGGAACTTCAAATCTCGGACCACGTTTGTACCAGTTTATAACCGGATCAACCAATGTCAATATTCCCATGGCTCAGGCTGATTACACTGTAAATGGGTTCAATCTACACCAATTACGCTATCTAACCGTTTTATCTGCAGTACCAACGTATTATTGGCATCATTGAATTCTGCTACTGAATACTATCTCTAGCCATCACATTTAAACAACTATTTTAAGCTTACCTGAAATTCTACTGAAATATGCTGATAATGTTATTCAAAGAATCTGTAGCGCTATACGACACCGAAAATATTATTGTGGTACTTTCCGATGCATGACGTATGCATTACATTGTACGATAAAATTAGCCTTAAACCGTTGTCAGGACGACAATTCGGAAGGGCATGAACATCTCATAAGATCAAATTTCGTTTATTTGCTAATCCCGTATCACCGTCCATCGGTAGAAATGGCATCAATCGTTCCTCAATTCTCAGTATTTATTTAAAATTCAAGTTCATTTAAAAGCTTTTGTTTTATAATTAATCGAAGTTAATATTTTCACGTGAAAGGATAATAACTTCGAGTAAAGTTGAATCCTTTTTTGTAAAAATCATGAAGCAAATGGATATACTACCTATGCCAACTCAATCATGTAACAATATTCATTGTTGTAAAAAATATTCATTGTTGGATGCATGTTAGATAAAGCTAACAGAATTTAAAGTCAAAGTTATGAATTTTATTGCTCGAATGATTATTATAATACTGTTTTATTCCTTGCTTTTTGTGAGATGTTCTATTCATAGATCAGATAAGTAAGTTAAGTACTTTCAACACTAATATATAACAAATAATTTGAGGCTCTAATGATGTAGTTTTACGAAGATTTAAAGCCTAACGTTGTGTGTTTCCCTTCGTGTCCAAAAGCATTATAAGTTAAGTAGTTAGTATAGCAGTAAGTACGATCAATTATCTTTTAGTCTATCGACCGACACCAGTTGTTTTCGTCTTTTGGAACCGTCTGGATAGTATTTCTGAATTTTTAAACAGGCTATGAAAGTTGAACCCTTTATCAATATTATATAATATGTAATGTATGTGTAATATGTAATGTATTGTCGTTTTATTTACGATGCCAATGAAATCCACAATGATATTACTGTATCTAACTCAATTATTTGAATGGTTGATGACTAACAATGCAGGAGTTACCCATGTTTCTAGTTGACCGCATCACGTGATGCTTGTTTTAACATTTTGTTATCAAGTACGTAATATTCAGGAAGCTTGTGTTTAAATGTCTGATGAATGGAACTGGTGGTTCTGGTACGTTTAGATTCGGTAGAATGCGCTGAATATTGATCTACTTCTAAACCTACATTTTTTCAGTTGGACTTTTCACTTTTTAGTGACCATGTGTTGACCATCAAAAGTGACCATATAGTAACCACAAATCTGCAAATAGGTACAGTGGCGATCGGCTATATTTCGGTTGTTATGGTAACAGCCCTCTATTATCCAGGTATTTGTTTTTAGAGGGCTGTTAGAGGGCTATTACCATAACAACCGTTAATAGAAGGTCGTCATTGCACGTGTTTTCCCAACAAATGTTACAGTGACGATATAATGACGATATAAAATGACCATAGTGCGGCTCCCTAAACTTGTCATGCACATCTCAACAGTTCAAGGTTCATTTCAGCAGTACACGAGCTGCAATAATCACTACTCCCTGCATTAGGAGTGTATAAACTGTAAAACGAACACCTTGTGCATCAATGAATGAGTATGTTAAGTAGGTGCTATGTGTCTAGATTGAGATATATCCGTGCATTTGGTCATGCCGCATTGTTTTCTTGATGACGAGTACTAGTAGGACTAAAGCTGTGCGTAAGTTTTTCTTGTGAGCTGGATGAGATGTGTTTAGTCCTACTCTGAATTGTGAAACATTTTGTAAACGGCTTAGTTCGATGTATTTTATAGCAAAACCCATCTTAAATTAAATTGAACAGTTGACTTATGCGGTATCTTTCTTTGTGCCAATATAAACCAGGCTTACCATCAAAACTCACCGTCGTACTTGAATAACTGATAGTGTGACGGTTCCTGTGCGGTAAAAATATACCAGTGCGGTAAAAATATACCAGTGCGGTATAATATAATTTTCCTGTCGAATCAGTTTGCTTGATCAAATGGTTAGTTCCTTGTACAAATAATGCTAGGCTTTAATAAATATTCAACTTTTTTCGTTGTTAACATGCATTATGCCGAAGGTTTTTATATTTTTTGTCATATTTTTTATTTAAAGATTTAACTATATTCAAGTTTGATAACAAGTGGTTACTTTTACCGCAGGAAGTTATAATAGCTTTATGTGCATGTCATCGTTTTCTGGGCGTTTTAACTAATTGTGCTGTCATTTTGAGTTACCTCTGAGATGAAAGAGAGAATCAGATTAATACTTAAAATACGCATTAAAACGTGACGAGAGTATCAATTTCAGTGAAAGTGTAAATTTCAATCATCTAAGGAGCCGACTGACTGAAATATAGATTACATGTAAGATACACTTACACTCCATTACTGACAGTTTAATATCTTTCAGCGGGTTTTAGATAGAAGAAAAATACGCAAACGGCTATCTTTCTGTTCTAACTTTAAACTGTTTACTGCATTGTTCTGTATAGATCAGCGGTGGATTAATTAAAAAGTGATTTAAACACGCCACTAAACGCATTACCACGTTCAAGAGTTGAAAGTCTGTAAGCTTCTCTCGCACCGTGTGACGCGGCACTTAAACAATCACTGAAAATTTCTAATTATTTGTATTTTGTCACGCTTGATCACGCGGACTTGTTTGTCACACTGGCACTAAATGGCACTAAAACAGTAAAGCTGAGTTCCGGGTTACTGGATATCTCACAGCTCTGTTTCTCAAGAGATCGCTCTGCTTGCCACATTCACGCAATCCAAACTCTATGCTATTGCGATGAATACAGCTTGGATTCTAAAATCACAATTGCTTTCATTCACACTGCTTGTTACGGCAATTTCGAACATAATGATCGGTGGAGTTCACTCTAATTTGCTTTGATTCCATGTGTACCACTTTGTCTTGTTAGTTATACAGAGATATGTCAAGGCTCGTAATATATTATGATTATATTACTCAAACCTGGAAATTGTTTCCAAGGCAACCAAAAAGCTTTTAATGATGTTTGGTACAAACTGTGTGCCATTGTAATGTGAGCCCTGTGGACATGCTCTATAGCTAGGGTTGCTGATGCACTACAGCTATATTTTTATTTCCGGTTGTTCGTTTTTTAGAATCTTGGTTTCCTGATAGTAAATAGGTTGGCAGTAGTCTTTTAAGAGATTCTTTTAGCTTCAATACTGCTAATACAACCATGTGATACAAAAATAGCTCTAGGGCTTGTCACAATTGTGATTTTAATATAGTACCATTCTGTAACACCCCACCCCATCCCCTCTCCCCAACAAGTAACGAAATTGTAACTTCCAGTAGTGGTATAAAAACAAGAAGATGGCAGAAACAATTCACAGTCGACAGAACACAATGTTCAATGGATCACAAGTGAATCGGTCCATCACCAACTTTGGTATAGACCAGAGGTCCTTGTCGAGCATTGAGCTCAGTCCCTCTCGGGATCAGAGACAGATATCGAAAATAAACATCGAGTTTGGCGGCAAACGTACGTATTCGTTTAATGATAATTTAATTCTGAATCACGATATCTTAGTACGTCAGTATAAGTAGCGCGATATCATGATTGAGAAATAAATTGTAGCAAGTAGTCTGAGTCATATTTAATGGTATTCTTTACTTAATTTATTATTAACTACATATTCATCAAGGGTTTTAATGACGAAATATTTATTATAGAAAGATCGGATATTTGATAATGATACTATTCATTAATCTAAAATAAATGAACAGTATCATTATCCAATATGCGTCGACCGGTTGAACTTAATGACATCCCTCGCTGCTTTTTATGCCCCCCTTTACATTACAGATATTTATTTAATGTTTTAATCAAATATACAATATGCATGCAACTTAAACGATCGACTGTTATTGATGATGTCGACCCACTCAGGTAATTTAAAAGTAGCAAGTCGCGAAGAAGCCACCCCAACCGTGGATATGGTGGATGCTGCTTTCAAAATAAACACTTTTCTCAACAAACATCTTTGCCTCTTTACCCAGGGGCTTACTTACAAAAACAAAAACATCAAGGTTAGTTGTTTATCTAGATTAGCTAGTTTTAAATCACAATCATTGATTCACGATGACTGCAGCAGTCAGAGAGTGCGTTATGTGACTTATATTCAATATTTATGATATGTTTGATGTTGTTTTCCCGATATGACTAATCCATAACGATATAAAAACATAAAATGATACAAAACAGATATCTGAAATTCAAATTTCACTATGTATCAGTCAAAAAGGTGACTAAAAGCGCGAAATTTAAATAGAATAGTCTGTCGGTGATCGGATCCGTGTTAATTACATGGCTCTTAATGTTAATTACATGGCTCTTAATGTTAATTACATGGTTAATTAGACGGCTCTTGTTCGTGGATTTCCAGAAATATAGAAATATTGATAATAATTTGTAACCTGGTTATAAAATTAACAAGAGAACCTTTCAAATTTATGTTTTCGTACGACGCGATCTGTGTGTGATATAAGATATTACATTTATTATAATCTTGAAAATTCAAGACCAAAAATAACTGATAAATTGTCCACATTGCAGTGTTCTCAACCCTGAAATAACATTGACACGATCTGGTGGTCGTATCGCTTCAATAATTTTAAATTTATGGCATGATCAAACTATCCAAATCCAGGAGATCATACTCCTTGGGGGTTATATTTTATTTAAGAGTTTAGATATTGAACCTGCACAATGCTCGGAAACGGCTGACGGTAAGCAGCGAAGAAAAATAAATGATTTACTACCGGTTTGTAACACTACGCAGTGGGTATCAACCCTGAAATAACATCGATATGGTCCGGCAGCTTTATCAATCCAATAATGCATATAAATACCCTGAGCCGTTTACGGTTGCACATTAACTGCTGCAATGCCCATATAACTGCTGCAGATTTATTCTTAAAAGCAGAGGTTGAGAATAATGGTATCATTACAAACGTCACTGGAGACCATGGTCAGTCTCCTAAAGGCTCGTGCCGGGTTGAATTCATTACTAGGAAAGTACATACTAAGAAAGTGCATATGTAGTGTCTGCTGACAAACCTCTCGTGCTAGCCTCTGTCTGACATCCTACTCAAGCAATGGCTGAAAACTGGAACATCTTCAGACAACCTTCAAAACATGCTTTAGAGATAACTACTAAAAGATGCATACTTTGATAGAATTGGGTTTAACGGTCTACAAGATAACAGGAGACAAGCTACAGTATTCTCAGTTGAAGTGGACTCCTGAAATCTCTCGAGATCTCCCTGTATTAATATGTATTATATACAGGGTGTTTCATAAATAGTGTCCTGTAGTTCTGATCCATCCCTCATTATCCCAGGGGCCAGTTACTCATAATCCCCAGGGTTATCTTGACGTGTTATCTATGGAATGTTCAGTTATCCCGCTACGCTGCAGGGGTCCCTACTACAACCTTATAGGTAAGTTTTATATTTGTAAATCTTGTAAGATTTAACATCTTTTCAACCAGCTTTATGATTGTTAACATTTCGACTAGTTGTATTCATCAAGCAAGTTGAATTATTATTAATACTATCAGTGGGAGAAATCTTGATACGTATCAGATATTTCATAAAAATTATGAAGATCTTACCTGAGGACTTCAGGCTTTGTAGCTCAAGCTGGTGCCTTCTAGTTTGTAAGATGCTGAATCTGTAAAGTTCTTGACAATGTATTTAATCTCAGGTTACTTCTACTCGATGCTTGACAAGTTTGAAAAAGCGGAAAAGTATTTCGAGATGGCTCTGAAGATAAACGCGGACGACACCGTCGCCTGTGTGAACAAAGCAAGAAATTACCTCAAAAACAACGAGATCATGAAGATTCATCCTGTTATAAGAAGACTCAAAGACGTGAGATATCAATTAAAATAGTATTGTTGATAAAGAAGCAAAATATTGTTGATAAAATAAAATAAATCCGTAAAACTCTTAAAATGGTTCATTTTGATCTAGCATAGATGCTCAACGCAGATAAGCAATCTTGGAAGATAAGCCAGCAGTGGGATTAATTACTACGTAATTTTGCCTCCATCTCGTACCCCATGTACGGGATGACCCTGCGAATGATTATGTTTTCAAATTTCCAGAGACATTCACGTTTAGCAAATTAATATCTGAAATTTGTCGTAAGTTGCAGAATTCTTCGCCCGAAAGAGCCCTGTACCTACTTCATGGCTTACTAAGTATTATAAATATCTCCGGGATTTCGACGCGGGATCATATTATCACTCAGCCAGGCCTGCTGTTAGATAAACATCTCAAGGTGATATCATCCCGCCCCGGAAATTTGTATAAACCCGGCCCGCTTTTTAGTCGTAACTGATGTTTATCATTCAATTCTCCGACTTACAATAATCAATGATACTGCTGATTAGAACTCGATAATAGTAGAACAGTTAGACGCGCGATCACGTGGGCGCGTCACGTGCGTACCACGTGCCACCAATAGCATACGCCGAGTCTATACCACGTGACACGAAAGCGCACCACGTGATATGAAACATCGTAACCGTCCACTTCTTTTACACGCAAATTCCTGGGAACGTTGCCAAAGCAGCTAATTCTTGGAATTTCTCCAACGCGTGGCGTGAGAATTTGGCGACTAGCCAGCTACCCTTGTCCGTGCCCTAAAAATAGTATTGTTTTGCTTGCTCTCCTTCCAGCTCTTGTTCCTGTTAACGTTCAAGCTATTGCTCCACTATGACAGATCGGTTTGACATTCAGATTGATGAACTGCTTTCCAATCGTGTTCCGGACATACAGTACAGTTAGTCTTCTAAAGTATAAATCCCTTGTCGAAATCGCCGGAGATAATTATAATCCATAAACACTTCACGCTCAGGGCTAAATAAATGTAATCCCTCAGCTGGCGCTTCGGGATTACATATTAACACAAAACTCGTGCGCTGCGCGCACTCGTATGCGTTTATCAGATCATCCCGCTAGCGCGGGATGATCTGTTATATAAACCCTTTGCGTGGCGGGTTTATGTTATTACAAATACAGTGATAAAAGTGTATCATATCACTATCAGGTTGATTGCTTCTTCCGGAAGGTCAATCAGCTCTAAGTTTTATGATATTTATTTTAAATTATAATCAGTTGTCATTACTAGCAAATAAAATCCATTGCTGAGTAGGATCCTCTGAATCTGATTACTGCTTACCTTATACCAGATGTATAATGTGAGGGGGGGGGGGGGCTGGGGGGGGGCCGGGGGGGGTGTGGGGGGGATGTTGTCTCTGTTTTACAGTGGTCTGTTCAAATTCGATGGTAATTCCGTATGCTATGTTGAAGGATGCAAATGCCTATTTAAGAAGAAAAGGATAGAGTGAGTATGATGCCAATTGTTTTAGGACGATTGAGAAGTAAGATCCTTCGTTATTGAAGGATCTACACATCACATTGTACTGAGTAAAGTTCAATAAGACAGTGGATTACACATCACATTGTACTGAGTAAAGTTCAATAAGACAGTGGATTACAACCAGTCACATTGGTGTTTAGAAGTAGGAAAATATGGAGTGGATCACCTTAGGATAGCTACTCAGATTAAATCTGCTACCAATCAAGCTGGAATAAGTCGAAATAAAATTGAAGTCTGGCCCGTCCAAAGTTTAGTTATTAAAATTGCGAAATTCTTAGAGCTAAGCTGTATCAGGGGTAAATTAAAATCTTGTAGACAGAATGAGAAAGTCAGTTGATACAGGTTAAGGTGATGGAAGTGAAAGTAGAATTTATGGTAACACACTTCATGGAATTAATTATTAGGTAACAAACGAACTATGGTAGTGATTTAAAACCAGCAGATAGTTCCAGAGTTCAGACGATGATTACGAGTTTAATGAATCAATATTTAATACAAATTCGGGAGGTTAAGTTGTAAAACAGCGACCTAAGAATCGATAAAAGCAGAAAAGCCTCGTGGTTTCTGTATCACTTGCTCTTTTAGTTTTAGGTAATAGAACAAAATCTTTAATATAAGTGAAACAATATCGATGTGGAACTAAGGTAAGACGTGGTTAACGAAAAGGGCGGCAATATTCCGGAAACAGGAATTAGGACTCCAAAGTTACAACAACTTATTAGTGTGACACTCGTTTGTCGAAGCTTTCAAATAGGTGATATGGCGCGGCACCTTCTCTTCAGGTCCATTGGCTGAAAAATGCGTGACGCAAGGGCACGTGATCGTTGCACGTGACTGAGCGCGTCGAATGTTCTTCGAGCAGGACTGGGGATTACACTCATAACACTCATGTTTCGATGATAAAATAAATTATATCATCACGTAAAGGCTAAATTAATATTGTGTACATACTTTCTGTGGAAATATCCTGTCCAAACCCAGGATACATAACATGAAGACTTTGTTGTAACTTTGTATGAAAAGCATTAATTAATATGATTGACATGCAACTGAAAGGGATTATTAAAATGAGATAAAGAAATCTCACCATACCGGATACCCCCTGGTGCTGTTCTTAACAAAATCCATCCTCAGATCGAAGCCCGATCCTCTCACGTACCCGGTCTCTCCCCACTATCAGCAGCAAACAACACGATAGCACTGTCCTACAACAAACTGGGACTCAGCTGTGCTGCTCTGAAACACTATGATGCTGCTCTTAAGGCTGATCCTCTTAACTTCGACTGTTATCTGGGAAAAGGTGATTAGTTCTGATAGCATGTTATCAGAGAGGGATGGAATTTTTCGTTGATAAGAAAAACAGCACAATTTCATAATCCATCCCAATAGCTATTGGATCTAATAAAGTTGTTCAATCTATATTGAACCATGATATTGATAAGGAAAAATAATAACATGATAAGGATGATGACTATTGTCGACAATATTTTGATATTAAGTTGACGAATCCTCTATTAACAGGGGAAGTACTGGTGAGGCTCAGTAAACATCAAGGTCGAGCTAACGCCTTGAAGACGCTCAACGAGGGAGTTAAATGTCTGAGAAAGTATATTGCTGAGTACAACGTATTGAATCTCGCTAAAGAAAAGGACCCACGAGAGTCGCCGCTCCCTCGAGATAACAAAGGTCGGTTCTAAGTAGTAGTCTGATTTGATCTTAAAGCCTCAAACCTAATGCAGTTTCTAGGGTAATAGCACGGTTAATCAGCTAACACGACTAATTGTCGACTAATTGAGATTGAGATTATAAAGCAATGAAAGGCATTAGTTTGGTCAAATCAAATGACCCCTTTAATTCAGCGGTGAATAACGTTTATGCGGTAATCCTTCTGGCGAGGGCACTCAACGAAAGATCTAGAAGACTGGAAAAAGAATACACTCAAGAAGCTCTAGATTACTTGGATCTTGCTTTAGGACACTGCGGTATAGTTCATAGCTACACGAGTTCCGATAAAACCATAAAATTAATCATTTTGCACATGTCACCAGTCACCTTCGATTATATCTTTAATTTATATTTGATTTTGGAGACGAAATATTTTGAAGAGCAGCTTGTTGGCAGCTGAAGCGTAAAAGCTTAAAATAAACAGCAATATTTGATTTCACATTCTCCTCAGAAGGTTCAGTGTACACGTTGTACCAAATTGGGGACGAGAAGAGACTGATGAACTACTTCGATGGAGAGGAAAGTGCACTAAACTTATTGAAAAAAGCTATTGAGATCAGAGAAAGCTCCCTGTTATATCATTCCTACGCCCTTGCTATTCTCAAGTTAGATTTAATTTTAGTTGATTATCTATTATCTAATCTTCATAATATAAATTTTTTCATTTTTATCTCAATTCTGATGAATTCACCATTACAGAAATGAAACTGTTACTCCAGCGTAGTTACAGTTGAAGCCATTGAATTTTCGATAAGTGCAGCAAAGCGGTATTCAGGAAATATTCCATTCCACACATAGATTTCTGACCATTTCGAAAATTCCAGATGGGAAAGGTTGAAGTACGAAGAGCGGTTCAGAGCTGTCTCCAACATGACCACAGCTACCTCCCACAACGGAGCAGCTGAACACGACTCTGCTATGGATAACGCTCTCGAGCAGGTTTGAGATCTACAGGAATTGTTTTGAGATATCTACCCTCGATATTCAATTATTACTTCTCGTCTCTAATGTGCTACTGCTAGTTCTCTTATTATACCATCATTAACATTTTCTTGAAACTTTAATGTTTTAATTCATAATTAATTGGTGTTTGAGATTGATTTCCCAGTTTCCACACGCAAAATGCACATATAAACGAACTAAATGTGTAAGTTTCATTGATCTATTTGCAAATACTATGAAATAATGATAATTTATGACCATATCTAACAACGAATTTTATCCAATGATCCCAAATGCACGATTTGCATGTTTCATTGTATGAACTATAGATGTTCTTGCAATAATATCTGATTCTGATGTGTCTTTTTTATCATATATTAAAAAAATATCAAAATCACTCTGGGATTCACTTTGATTCTTGTCATTTATCACACGATTCCTCTACAAGCAACCTCTGATTTCTGATTTCTTATTCAAAGCATCATATCATGTTATTTTATATACAAATATCAAAAGAGATCATCGCAGTCATCGCCATTAGCTATAGGTTTCGATTGCACCAATGACATCATTGGGATCTCTTTTATGCCAGCTTTTAGCCCATCATGCAAGTTACAGCAGGACCACCAGCTGGACCAGGTTAAAATAGGAGTGGATAAAGCACCAGCGACTCCTCTTGCACCACCAGCCACGGCTTCTTTTGGGGGCACAATTAGCAAACTGTTTCCTATAAAGAGGACACTGGGTAGTTTAATGCTGAGTAGCGCAAATGCACTGGTAAGATGTGGTCCGTATCAGTCCTGATGTGACGTGAGCAGGGGTCGACCGGGATTGTGGGGAGAAGAATGAGAATGAATTTCCGGGGCCGGGTTAAACCTATGATAGATCGGAGTTTGTCACTCTGCCGGATAGGGGTTTTTGTTAATTTTTTTGTTACCCAGAATCGGTCGAAATTTGTTCTTATTTCAGTTCTTTCTGCATTTTTTCTGCATTTGTGCAGCAGAATCTTTAAATTACGGGGAAACTCCTGGCTGATATCCCGGCAAAATCTTAAAATTGTACCGGGGCCGGGATTAGTGCCGACTTGTCGGGACCGGGATTTTTTCAAGCATTTGTTGGGCCGGACCGGGAGAAATTGGCCAATCCCGGCAGTAACCGGGGCTTGGTCCAGAATTCCGGTCGAGTCCTGGTCACAAAGGAATAATATTGCGAAGGTGCATGATCTAGAACAACCCGGGGCCGTGCATTCGGAAACCCACGGGTGATGCTTGTGCATGTAATTTGCTGAACCGAAATGTTATTTGTGAATGATCAATGAGTAACGGAATGCTGGAATGATAACCAAAGAATGATGTGATTTAAATTACAAATTAGCAACAGATGGGTCAAACTTCAAATGGACCAATATTAAACTATCTAAAGATATTGCTTTACATTCATTTTTGCATGCCTCTCACTGTGATATTGTTCACTAACAATAGTAGCACGGATTCTCACAAGTCTACGATGGCAAGTTTAAAGTTGCAACTTTAGTTTACCAAGTTAATACTCCATGACAATGAATATTTAAATCGTAAACTCGGTGAATCGCCATGAAATTAATGTAATGACCGCAGCTAGCTAACATCGCCGGATTTTTGTGCATCTCAATGTTTGTACCAACTTATTAATAGAAAAATAAGTCGTCCGAAACCCACCTGTACAAGCATGGTAAATATTGAATATTAAAAAGACCTGTGTTGACCTTGTTATGATAGTTTGCATGAGATTAACATGTGACATTTAAATTTGTCTATTATCCGGTTGAATTCATTCGTATCTCTATCTCATCCGGACTTCCCATCTTTTACTATTTCTAACGCACTCTTTTCCGTAGAAATGATGAATGCACCTTTTAAAAATGCATTGTATCTAGCAGGAGCAACGTAAAAAGAGTATAAAGCATCATTCCTCTAAAAGTGACAAACCAAAGCCGTTTGTCTTTGAAGGAGACAACGAACTTCAACAGGGCTTCATAAGGGTCAGAACTTAAGTCCAGTTATTTTTTCCTCTGAAAAACATTTAATTATGACGACCATGATGTTGTTTATTAACAAATTGTGCGAACGTTAAAACACTAAACGCACGATCTCAGGTAGCAAAACTGCTGAAACATGCACTGAAACTTTCCCCGGTTGGATCTACACAGATCTCACTGGACCTTGCTGAGATATACTGCTCGTTGAATCGAAAGAGTGAGGCGGAGTCCATGTTTAACAATATTCTGGAGTCGAGTAATCCAGTGGACAGAGAGCTAGCTTACAGGAAGTTTGGGAGGTTCCTTATCAAGATTGGAAACTTTCCTCGGGTGAGCCAGCTTAGATTTTAGAATGATACCTCATAACCTCATTGTCATAATACCGTCTTCCTCACTTGAATTTATTAGTGGTTCAATTTTTTCGGATAAACAATTTAAGATTTGACAACTAAAAAATACGATTCCAAGGGTGATGAGATGATTGAAGAGGCAATTAAACTGAGATCCCACGCAAACCACGACGAGGTTGCTCTAAAACAACTAGAAGAAACCGTCACTATCCTCGCCGAGCACTTTAAGAGTGATGTATGTCAACTTATATATTAGCTTACTTTTAGAGTTCTTGATAACAACATTCCTCCACAAAATTCCATATGCATTCTGAATTCGTAGTATCAAAATTAAAACTAATAATTTTCCTCCACTCAGAATGCAACACGGGAGAAGTTCTGGATGGACCAGCTGTTACAGATCAACCCAACCCTGGCAGAGGATCCACCAACACGAAACGGCCCTAAAAGTTCCCGGCAGCGAGGAAAGTAAGCCTCTAAGTCTGAAGTCTGGATTCTGAAAGATAGAAAACTTCCAACCGTTCACTCTTAGCTCGATCTGTGAGATCACACTTCCAAAGGTGGCAAAAAAAGAGGTTTAATGAATTTAACCAGGGGGTTCTTATCACAGTTATAACCAATTGAACAGTGCTTATCAGTAAGCTTAGAGTTTTAACAAACGGACTCTGTCACTGAAACACATTTTTTGCCAAATACAAAACTTTAAAAAGTGTTTCAGGAACCGGATGTGGTTGATAAAGCAATTCACAAACAATTTATTTTAAATCAGTATTTTTAGATTGCAATTTCAATATCGAAAACACGAGGAAATTATCACAAAAATTAATTCCTTGATTGTGCACTACTGTCTCATTTTCAATATTCTACTTTGATAATCCAGACTTTTTACTCATCAATTCGATATTAATCTATAATGTTCACTATCCGTCTTGAATCTAAAATACAACTTATCAAAGTACAACAATCACTATTCAAGACGATATCCCAAGTTGAAAACTTTCTACTTCATGAAATTGAAAAACAAGCCATAACACATAATAATTCAATTGGCGCTACAGAATTCAACAAGCAATTGAATATAAACAAGACAAGGTCTCGCAAAAGCAGAAATCAAAGCGACCTGTCTCTTGAAGTATTGATAAATGATCATCAGAAAGGTTAAGAGTTCGACAACAGTTATCGACTGATATGATTTCACATTAGAATACGCCTAATTGGCACTTCCAAAACGGCCAGTCCGTTGCAAGTTTAAAAGAAGTACAATCGCATTCAGTTTTATAAACTTTGGGAAATCTTATACCTAGGTTCAAGTTTCAGTAAGGGTTCAAGACTTGCTCGAAATACTGATGTTTGAAATCTGTCTTTCAATTCCTCCGGCGCTCGAGCTGCTCGATACTGATACTGTGGATGATTGTCTTTCCATACTTCCATTATCATCGCTTTTTAGAACGTCTCTCTTTGATTTTATTTTCTTTATCTTCAACTTAGATGGCCTTTTCTCGGTGAGGGTGGGCTTCTTTCCCATTTTCACGTCTCCAAATACTGACGCTTTTGACGCCATTTTCTTCCTTTTTTCTTCCTCCGCTTCTTTCTGCTTCACTGCTTCTTCTCTTTCTATTCGTAACTCAGTTTCATAAGAAGTTTCCCTGGAAAACTTAAGTTAGTTTAAATTAAGACAAACCAAGGTATTGGAAGCAGTATATCCGGATAAAACTTTGATGCAATGAAAGTTTTGAATATGTCCTACCGGTAGGACATATTCGAATTTCAGCTTTCCGCGACCCAAATTTCACTTTTTTGAATGAATTTTTCTTGAATGACCATCTTACAAGGTCACGGAGGATGGCACAAGACACGATTGGGGTACTCAAAGTTCTATTCCCAAAGAATGCTTTGACAAACGGAAAATCATCAGAATATAAAAAGAGATTTTGGAAGATTTTTGAAGAAGACCTTTTCTGCCATCCCCTTGACCGAAATTTCGCGATTTCGACTGAAATTTTGACCAGTGACCAATCAGTGAGGTCGGTCAGAGTGACACAAGTCGCCATCAAGGTTCTGGAAGCAGTTTAACGGGTGATACTCGTAAAATATCTGTTCCATACCAGGACCGTCGTTCCTACCAGGACCGTCGACGAGTCCAACTCGGCGCGCGTCCTGGTAGGTTGTAAACCTACAAGAAGCAGTATATCCGGAGAAAACTTTGATGTAATGAAAATGTTGAATATGTCCTACCGGTAGGACATAATATTTGAATTTCAGCTTTCCGTGACCCAAATTTCACTGTTTTGACTGAATTTTTTATAAAACATAAAGAGATAAAGGATCAAATGAGGGAAACGTTGAAATATTTTTGATAAAAATAATTTCACATAGAAATTAAAATATGTAAGGAAGCGTGCCATTTACAAAATGAATCTTTAGAGAGACTGAAAGGAAAACAATGCTTATTTGGTTCGAGCAGCCTTATCATTAAAGAGACTGAAAGGAAAACAATGCTTACTTGGTTCGAGCAGCCTTATCTTCGAAAAAGTTCTTCGCACCACCAACTCCAACAGTGGCTACTTCAATCTCGTCCACCAACTTTTTGAGGCTGTCTGATCCGTCCCCTGACCTTATCTTCTGATATATGCAGATGAACTGAAGAAATACAATTGTTAAGACAACCTATCCGGTTTAAAACCAGCTTTAAGCCGGCTACCATATTAGCAGCCGACTAAAACTTACTTATCAAATGTCGTTGACGCACCGCAATCTCTATCATGTATGGTCAAGAAAAGATAGTTGCTAGAAGTTAAATCAAAATAAAAAGATTCCAAAATATTTCACAGTTTATAAGTGGATGCTTCAATAAATACCTCTCTTAAATCAAGCATCTTATCACCATCAGTATCCAGCTCCTTTATAATGTTTTTAAATTCCATGTGAGTCATAACAGTCCCTAACGTCCTCATCGCACCCTTGATCTCCTCGAGAGTTAAGAGACCGTCATCGTCAGCATCAAACCTGATGAGTATAATTTAGCAGGTTAAGGAATTGAGAATTCGAAATAATTGAAATGGTAAGTGCTATGCAATTATATTTTTATAAGTGCTCATTCAATGCTTTCTTGAATAGAAACAAATGTAAATTAACAATTTCTTACACGTGAAAAGTCTCCTCGTATTTTACGATATCTGCTTTTGCCATTTCCTTGAACTCTATCAATGGGTTGAATACCTGGAAGTGATAAGTGGTGTTAAAGAACAAATTAATTGTTAACAAAGTTAAGATATGATAAGACATACTGGTCCAGTGATCTTCGCCATTGAATCGATTCAATTAATTTATTGACGCCCTCTAATTCCGAACCATTGGCCATGTGACCATCTGTTTGCGACTGACGAGCTCAGCCTGTCATTCCGCCGAATCTCTATTCATGTTTGTGAACATGATAGCCTGGGGTCCCCAGGTAATGAATTCATACGCCTCTCAAAATTGTATTTATAAGGTGATGCACACTGCAGAAATATCAAATTTTACCAAAATTTGAGAACAACCATAAAATCACTACCTTCTTGTTGAACACTATCTCTAACAATCATTGAGAAAGTAAAAACGAACCATCATAGTATTCTTATTCAAGACATCATCCGGATTATCCATTTTCTTCTGTCGTTTCTCCAGCTTCTTAAACAGACTGTTCCGCCGTCCGAATCCAGCGAACCCTTTAGGCTTGATCAAATCTCTTTGCTCTTCATGGAGCATGATGGGAGGACCGGACATTCATCAGTCAGTTCATCTACTGGAGTTTTATCCTTGATGAGAGGATCAGGTTATAGATGGAGGGTTTCTTGCTGTGAGCTGGCTTCAAGGGAACATAATCTGCTGTTTTATGGTGCTCCATTTTTTGTCTGTTGATAGTCTTGAGAAGTGCTTATTAACTAATTAAAGGTGATAATTAACTGAATAAAAATGCACTTGTGCTGAATGTACAATTTGTTGTTCTAGGATGCTTCTCGCTCTTCATATAAGGACCAATGGTTCGTGGATTTATCGAGCATATTCGTGCACACATTCGTGCATATTCGTGCAGTGCTACATGGACACACACACCAGCTCCATCAGAAAATACTCTCTCGCAAGATTTCACCTCATCTAATTGTTCCATTGCTGTGAAATCCTCCTCGAGCTTTCTGCGGATCCCAAGCTTTTGAAATAAACTATTTCTACGAGGTCTGTTAGCTTGTTTCTCGTTTTGTAGTGACTTTTTATTGCTTTTAGCCTTTTTCGGGATCGGAGAGAGAGGCTCTTCCTAGGGACGGTATGCCTGATCAGTTCAACTGTCATGCTTGATGCTCTCAAATAGGCTTATGGTTAGAATACAATAAATCATATTGTTCATCATCATGCCATGCTATCATTTCCATAAGATATAATACTTTATCCAAGATATTTCCATTTTAGTTCTAACATCTAAAATTTCTTTTAGTTTAAATATGTCGAGTTCCACAGAATACAACAATCCATACCTGGGAACCCTCTTCAAGTTTTTCTTGGTCTCTCTTCTGCTCTGCTTCCTCAACTAACTTTTGTCTCCTGCCCAGAATCTTAAACAAGCTGTTTGACCTGCCCCTAACTTTATTCTTCTCCTCTGATTTACGAATGACGTCGTTCTTTGCCATGTCTTTCGCTACTGCTAGACCATCATACTTACTTATCGGATGATCGAAAGTTTGAGGTGAGGGTTTCGTCAGAGCAGGTAGTTCGATATAGTCCCCGTCACTCTCCTCCTCCTCCTCCTCCTGGTCCTCCCCAATGTCACCAAGAGAAGAGTCGTCAGCATCTGTAGCACGTGATGATCGCCCCTCTCTTGACCCTGCCACCGCTATCAGGTAATGATCATCTGGGTTATCAGCTGTTTCGTGTGAATAATTGCTGTTATCTTGTTCCAATTCCATCATGGTTTGATGCACACCTTTCTGGTTGAATATTTCTGAGTCTGAATTAATTGGAGAAATGTGTGAGATCAGTTTCTCTAGGGGACAATCTTTCGATATTTGGGGATTGATTTTCGTTGGCAGAATCTATTTCACTGTCTGATTTGCTGAGTTGTAGATCGGAACCATTCAACTCTAATTCCTCCTCCTCGAGCAAAGGCTGAAGAATTTGTTATGGTTTTATTGAAACGAAATACTTTAAATCAAAGCTGCTCAAGCAATCCGGCTTTCAAAACAAAAACTGTCTTTGGTTAACTTTGGAAATGTTAACGTTGCTTAACGGTGTCTTATAACTCGACTATAAGTATAAATGGAAAAGTGAAATTCAAGCGAACACAATAAAATGCACATGCGAAAACAGTATGGTACATTGTGGAATTTGCGTACAAATTATCTCTTTCGCAAAAGAAACGCGGGGACACAAAATTACAGCAAAAAACAGAAACTCCACAACCTCAAGTTAACTTCAAACAATTAAGTGGCTAACAAACAAAATGTTGTCCTTGTAATTACAGCTTTATTGACGGTAATTATATGTGTATGTGACATACAGCTGTGAAACTTCATGCTTACACTGCCAGTTAATTAATTGTGGCATACACTATGTTACTTTTAGCATAGTGTTAAATGTTGAATGATGCAATTAATTACAATGATACCATTGTGCAGTTTGCACTTTCGAGCTACTTCCACTTTTTGAAAAACAGAAAAATCCTTTACTGTGGAAATGAACCAAACTTGGTAACAATGCCAGGGTGATAGTCAACCCGTCAACGTAGCATTTATCGATTAAATTTTATAGCTCTATTTTAGAGTTAAGACTTAATCCCGCTCTCTTTGTGAATGTGAAAAGTGAAAGTGCTACAACTGCACAGTGCTGAATATATTTACAAAACGGAAGAGTGTCTTGGTAATTGTCCTGATTATCTCTCTGCTGAGTCGCCTCTAAACAAAAATCACTTATAAAGCAACAAGCTGGTAAAAAGATAAAATATCAGACAAAATTATGACAAAATAATTTATCTTTATAAATAAATAAATAAAACCCGTCATAGTAACGAGCCGAGTAACCTAGAGAAAAAACCGTCAAACCAGCATCCAACATTATGTATCCAATGTAACATGTTTATTGTTGGCCATCTTTGACGTGGCTTAATAAGTGCCAAGAAGATTAAAAGAAACCGGCCACAGCTCAGTCGCAGGTGTAAATAGCTTGTTAGGTTGCTGTAACCGCACATTTTATTTGTAGTTGAGCAATTACGAATATAGTTCACAAAGTATATCTGGTCAAATCGAACATGAATACAATTACATTGGTAACAACAAACTTCAAATAACACATGGTACAAATAAAGGCTGATCCAGATATCTTCTCTGAATCTGTAATCAGACCCTGGTGATGATGACCCTTCGTCGGACACTGGACAATTTCTGATTCGCGTTGAAAAATGATCTAGTGTGAACAGCTCAAGGTGGTAAAGTGTAAAGAACCTAGTCGGCAAGTACTCGAGTAGCAAACCTAACGGTGTCTAGTTAATGGAGAGCCTGCATACAAGGGCTCACTGTCTGTACTATTCACTACTTAATAAAATGTCGGCCAGTGCGGCCAGTGTGGCTCTGGTCTTATTAATTTTAATAACCTGTGGCCCAAACACAGGTTTATTGGCATCCTTGATACTGTTCATAACTGGAGTAATTCCAATAATTATGCCAATGCCATAATGTAATTATAAATTATCTGCTAAACGGATCGGTTAGGTTATTTTTGCCTTATCTGTTTTCATCCCCTCTCAGTTTTGTTTTCCATAATGGAGTACATTCTTTCTTGATGTATCAAACTCTGAAGAGTAAACTCTTGAACCGTAGTTTAAATCATAATAATGAAATGAAAAATGTTCACAATTTTTGAAAATTGTTAATCGATGTTATGATTAAAAACACAATGTCGACAACACCACATAATAATAATAATTTCAATAATCTTACCTCCATAATGGGCTCTATTTCGGCTCCCTCCCTTTGTTCCACGATCTTCTGTCTCCTCTGAAGTTTCTGGAACAGACTATTGCTTCTCTGTCGAGGCATCGGCACTATCTTCTGTCCACCCAGCATTTTATTTTTTCTTGAAAATAGCGGCATTGTGAGATTTCTAAAGTTGCAGATGTCACTCTTCAATCTTCAATTTTCACTCGTCACTCTCCAATCTTCAATCTCCCACTTTTCACCCTTCACTTTTCACTTTTTTCACACTCTTTTCTATACTTCTCACTTCGCCCAAACACAATCTGATCTTTGAGGATGACATGTTAAAATTTCAAGAAAAGATGTTTCAAAAATTGCCATACTTAAGCAAAAGCTAAGAGAACAAAAATAATGATTGATTGTATTGACTCAAAACCAAAATCTCGACATCAATCTATCCTAAAATGTAATTCACCTAGTTATAGCTCTACAAAATGTAAATTCTTGCTGGTAGAACCACAACCGATTATAGAAGAAACAAGATTTGTAATAATTTGCAAAATCAAACTGACTTTATCGAACAATTGCGAAACAGGAACTGTTCAAAATAGCATATTTTGTATGCGAGAGGTATTAACGCATAAAGGCTTAATGAAAACATCCTAACAGCACGAATGATTCAATTAAAAGCCAGACGATCGTGCCAACAGATAACACGTAGGTTTCATTTATTCGATAACGGAATAACTTACCTGGTATTTTTAATTGTTGTACGGTTGTATACTTTATCAGAGAATACGTGACCGCCTTATTAGTAAAGGATGGTAAAAATATGACAAGCTGTCTACTTCAAAATGTAGAAATGTGGACACCGATAATATCTACAACGACAAAACATGTTTATCGGCGGCAACACCAGGGATGAAGCCGAATAAAAGTGGGAAATGTCGAATTATTTTCACAACAGACTATGTCAACTCAAAAAATAGTGAAATACAGCCGCGCTATATCTAGCTATGTATTAAAAGCAGGCAGGCGGTGTAAATTTGTTTCATCTGGACTGGTGCCAATGTGTCAACTTTACCAGTGTTATATGTGTGTAGATACGATGCTGAAGGTACCTACTTTTCTATCGTCACGTGTATTGATACGATGCTGAAAGTACCTACTTTTTTAATGTTATGTAATCTTGAAATGGTGTTTACTGTTTACGGTACCTACTTCACAGTTCATAAGTGTTACTCGATGTTGATATTTTGCAGATTTGATCATGAAGCGATGTAGAATCTTAGCGGCACGAAAATTGCAGATACAAAATATCTTCTGGAGAACTACAAGAGTAAACATTACGTAGTATTTAAGTGTGCAGCTCACAAGACGTTTACGAACTGTCAAAATATCATTTTTCTGCGATAGTTCAACGGAAATACTAAAGTTAAACTCCTCCACAGCATCGTGATCACTGCATCCAGCTGCTAGCTTATACTTGGTTAACAGGGAACTAAAGCTAAACTGACAACCATGTGTGGACAAGGTAAGTAACAGATGCCGGGCTCACGGTGTCAATATTATATATAACGGTGTAAGTTGTTAATTTATAAAACCATGGGCTTGTTAAATCCATACCAACTTAAGATCATGTCACATCACTATAAGTAGTTGTGATCATACATCGTGTACTGAGTCACACTATTGTCGGTCACAAAACATCTTCTAGCTTGTGATTCGGGAATTATACCTGATCGGAAAACTGATTGCCAAATTGATGCAATCCAAAAATTATTTAAATACGACTAAAACATACGACCAAAAGTACGACTAAAAGTACGACTAAAAGTACGACTAAAAGTACGACTAAAACCACGACTAAAAGCACGTCTAAAAGCACGACTAAAAGCACGACTAAAAGCACGTCTAAAAGCACGTCTAAAAGTATGACTAAAAGTACGACCAAACCTACAAAAGGATATTATAACTAGGCTCGTCTTTGATTGATATGATACAAAAGTTAAACGCAACACAAACTCCCTATTCAGACTCTAGTCTGTAGAGAACAAACAATCTAGTCCGTTAAGTAATAATATCCATTTATCTCTGTGCTTATTAACAGATCCTCTAAATAATCTAAACCTCTAACTTTTAAATCAGACTTGATTGTGTTGAACAAAGGAAAGTTAGGCTTTAGTTTGTAGTTCACTCTGCCAAGTTTGCCATTTCCGTGTGCGGTACAATCTAACAACAATCTTCTGAGGACAATCTTCCGAGGACGCTAACGTACATATAAAATTACTAAAACGTTTACCTGCATTGCAAATCTGAAACTGTTAACGTAGCAATATGAACGGAATTAAAGTTACACAATTTTGTGATTTGTGATTATCGATTGGTTTTATCTGCTAAAGATAAAATTTCAAACCAGGTTTGAGAAACATCCAATCAATTCCATTCTTTTTGTCACGTGACTAAAACCTTTAAAAATTAAAAGCAAATGTTGCCGATATCTTTGACCCGACCAAGATCAAACTATCTTTTGTAACCGGTGAATCTTTTAGGTGGGATCGAAGGTAGATAAAATATCTTTAACTGACTATTAGTAATCGCACAGCAAATAATATAAATGATTATTTTCAACAAGACTAATCGGAGATTAGTCTTGTTGAAAATCTTTGCATTACGTACTAGCAAAAATTAATTCATCTGATTGTGTCTCTCACTTTCCATATACATTACTTAAATCCAATAAATCAAGCGCGTCTTCGAATAGATTATTTCTGCAGATTGTGAATGACGTAGAAATTCAGCTGTTAGATTTAGTTTTACAAAGAGATCTGCAGAAGGCCGAGCAACGTCTGACAAGTGTGATTCCTCTATTTGTGTTGGTTCAAATTTTGTCGGTGAGTTATTTACAACATTAACATTTACCTTCACTGGAAACCAATTGACCAAGTTTGCAACAAATTAATGCTCACTGCAAATGTTTGGAACATTACCGCGCATGTGATTACGAACATATGAAATTTCTCGGCAGTGACGAGAATGACATACGTTGCCATGGTGACAGCTGACATGCGTGCATAATTTGACATGTCAGTTATCCGAAAATCATTAGGCAAATAATCGCCCAAAATATCAAAATATTTGACTACTTTCTTTTAAGACTCTAGTCGCGAAATTTCGCGACTAGTTATACATCAATCACAATTGTGATTGATGTATAACTAACTTAATACATTCATTTACTGTATAATACATTCATTTACTGTATAATTATAATAAGAATGAATGATATGGATTATAATAACCATCAAATAAGCAAAGGTTTAATGACTAATTCAGCTTTTTCTCGTAGGCGCCAATGTTCTTCATTGCGTATCAGCGCCTTCCTCATTGGTGTTATCAATTGATCAATTGATCAATTGATTATTCAACATGGGTGGCATTGTCACTTAGGTATAGCGGCAAGGGCTTGATTGGCTTTGATATGAATAGCTTCAGTCATCATCAAGGAATTGGTTGCTTCAAAAGCACCAACTACGACAATTATACCAATATAAAGTCACTCAGCAGTATACAAATAACAATGGTAATGAAATCATTTATTACGCTAATGACCCGAGGCCGTTTAAACAAGAGTTAAGGATAAAATAAGTAGTGTTTCTTGACATTTGGAGGCTTTCTAATGGCATCCCAATTTATCCATACAAATTTATCCGTGTCTTATCGGCATTTTTACGAACGGTCCTCATTTGAGTAACATGCCCCCTCTTTACTGCTGATTATTTGGGTCGCTCGTAATTTTTGCCGCCCACACTGATTTGCTCGTATTATACGGGTATTATGAAAATATTATTATAGGGTATTATACACATATAAATATAAATATGAATATAAATTAAGTACATGGTTCTTATCAGATTTCAAACATTCTCGACTTGTTGAAATAAACTTGTCGTTAGGGTCTGGATACTTGTGTTGGTTATTCGGCAAGTTTCCATAAACGATATTTTATG